AAGTTGATGAGGAAATTGGCCGACCACGGACAAGCCATCTTGTGTACCATCCATCAGCCATCTGCCCTCTTGATGCAAGAGTTTGATCGTTTGTTGTTTTTGCAAAAGGGGGGACAAACTGTATACTTTGGTGATTTGGGTGAAAACTTTGAAACCTTGATTAACTACTTTGAAAAGAATGATGCCGATCCATGTCCTGCTGACGCCAATCCTGCTGAGTGGATGTTGCAAGTTGTTGGAGCTGCTCCCGGATCTCACGCTAAGCACAACTACTTTGAAGTTTGGAGAAACTCTGAGGAGTACCAGAATGTTCGAAAGGAGATTGCCAATATGGAAGCTGAGTTGTCCAAGTTGCCCAGAGATGAAGACCCAGAGGCAAAGTACACGTATGCGGCACCTGTTTGGAAGCAATACTTGATTGTCAGTTGGAGAACTATAGTACAGAAATGGAGATTACCAGGATATGTCTACGCAAAGGTCTTTTTGGTTGTCACTTCGGCCCTTTTCAATGGCTTTTCCTTTTTCAAAGCCGACAAGTCCTTACAGGGCCTACAGAACCAAATGTTTTCAATGTTTATGTTTTACTCAGTTTTTGCCACGATGGTGCATCAGTTACTTCCTCAATATATTGCTCAGCGAGATGTCTACGAAGTTAGAGAAGCGCCTTCACGAACGTTTAATTGGTTCACTTTCATTACTGCACAGTTCACCTCAGAGATACCGTACCAAATATTTGTTGGAACTCTAGGCTTTTTCTGTTGGTATTATCCTGTTGGTTTCTACGCTAATGCTGAGCCTACACATGCAGTTGATCAAAGAGGTGTTCTTATGTGGCTTTTCATTATTTGTTTTTTTGTGTACACCAGTTTTATGGGACTTTTATGTATCTCATTCATTGAACTTGAAGATAATGCCGCCAATCTTAGTGTTATCTTGTTCACAATGTGCATGACCTTTTGCGGTGTGCTTAAGACGGGAGAGCAACTACCAAGATTCTGGATTTTCATGTACCGTGCAAACCCGGTAACGTATTTCATCCAGGGTATGTTGGCTACAGGGTTGGCGAATACCGCAGTTCAATGTGGCAGGACGGAATTATTGGCAATCATTCCCCCAAATGGTATGTCTTGTTCTGAGTATATGCAGCCATACATGAGCAAGGCCGGCGGTTATATCGTAGACACAGATGGTTGTTACTTCTGCAGACTCAGCAATACTAATCAGTACTTGCAGTCGGTAAATGCTATATACAGTCAGAGGTGGAGAAATTTGGGGGTGGTCATTGCGTTCATCTTCATTAATGCTGTCTTAGCCTCGTGTTTGTACTGGTTGGCTAGAGTTCCCAAGGGAGATAGGGAAAAGGAGGTCAAAAAGAAGAAAAAGAGAGAGAGAGAGAGAGAGAGAGAGAGAGAGAGGAGAAGAGTAAGTAATTAGAGCTTAACAGTTAGTTAATAAAGAATTTGAAATTGATCGTTACAAAGGGTTCCACTTCGTAGACAAAGACTAGAATGCTACTCAATTGGACATTTAAAAATCATGCTGCACAAGGTAGTACTGCATCAAACGAATCACTTGCAAATGTACTTCGGAAATAACGATTTTATTCCCGTCTCAATTTGTTCATCTTGAAAACCGTTTTAGATCATGACACAAAACAAATGACAAGTGAAGGTGGCACAAAGGGACTGGGCGTTCGTTGCATTGCAGTTTGGTGCCGTGACGAGAGATTATTTATAGATGCTATTATTGAAACAAAGGAGAGCCTACTGCGCTGTACACAACCCTTCCCAGTCTAGAGCTTGAAATGCAACTGATGATGGTTTACACAATTGTTTCTGTGTCATATTTTTTCTTTTCCTGCAAACTCTGCGCAACAGTTTCCGCGTAGAACTAGCCATCTTGCCTTTCTCGTCTCCAAAATGGTAATAAACAGATGGAAAAGTTCACCAGGTGTTTGAAAATGACTCTTAGTTTTTGTATTTTCTATTCCTGTGAGAAAGTGAAAAGTTATACTTTGCGAACCGCCTACGCCATAACTCCTTCAAAATTTTTGCTAGAACGAAACTTGAAATTTACGAAGCTTAAATGATAGGGAATTTTTAAACGACCACTGTTTTAAAATCTTGTGTTTTGTTTGTCAACTGTTTGGTCGAGTGTAAGATTCAAACAGGGTATGTTGGGTTCTACTCGTGTCTATTTCTGCGCTCTACTTTATATCCATTGAAAGCTTCTCTTTGAGGGAGTCCTGTAAGTTTCGCTGGAGTAGACAATTGCAACTGCACCATGAAATCTGTTCACATCTGAACTGAACTGAATCGTATGAAAGACAAAATTCGTTTGTATGGAAAAGTAATCAGGGTATGACGTAACAGTGAAAGTTCTCTTTCAACACGGCTAGAATACTATAACTCCTTTAAGCGTGGCGAGTGAAGTTCATGACACTGCCAAGTATTCTAGAACTGTATACTGCATCCATGCGTAACATTACTAGCCGTGTAAAACTCATGACCACTGTGCGTTAAAGCCGACAATGTTTGATCCATCGATTTAAAGCCGATATCCTGTAGTGCGGTCGATCCGAAGTTTGATTTTTTTTTAATTATTTTTTATTTTTTTTACATTTTGTTTTCTTCTGAAAAATTTTAGCTTCCTTTTTTAGTTGGTGAATTATAAGTCCGACTTGGTCACACAAACTAAGGAGCTTTGCGTTGGATGCAGTCATACATATGCGTAAAGAGTTCCTTTAACCTTCTTCACTACACCACACAAAAGAAACGAGCAGTGAGTGGTTCGCTTGTGCTAATGGAGTAGCCCTCACATAGCAACACCCGCAAAGAAGACACAGCCAGTTTTTGTGATTGTTTTCTGGAGATCCCAAATCATTTATAAAGTAAACCAATTCAGTCGAATTTCAAAAGAAAACGGGACCGGTTAGTAGAGAGTCAATTGTGCAATCATTGCTCACTTCATCAATTCCAAAAAATGCCAGAAAACATTGTGCGTAAAAGAAACAAGCCCACATTTGTTTGTACAAACTGCAAACGAAAGAAGATTAAATGTGACAGGAAGACGCCATGCTCGTCTTGTGTTAAATTGAATATAGGCTACACTTGTGTTTACGACACAAGATGGACAACGGCCGGAAAGATCAGTGGTCACCAGAAACTGCATTCTCGAAGCTCGTCATCTAATTCTCATGATCAGGTCGAAGTTGCTCAATTAAAAGCAAAGATTACAGAATTGGAGAATATAATTGCACAATACAACACGAAAGAAGAGAAAGACAATATGGTCCCCAAAAACAATGCCGAATCCAATCTGAAAGTTAATGGGCCAAATTATGTGCGTGCTCATCCAATCGCACCTCCGGAAACAACGCTTACTCCAAATCCAATTGTGAATCCAGAAGACACACTTAATTTTTATGCTGGGTATACTCCCATGTACATTAAAGGCAATATTCGAAGAGTCAATTTCGGGCCTTTATCTTGGATAGCATTATTGAAACGAGATCACGCGTTATCTTTGGCGTGGAAGGATCTCAGCACTAAGGGATACTTTAGCGGTCTTAATTTGAGACAGGTTCCAATGAGTCCTGAAAACATAGTCATTTTGAACACACAAATGAGCACTCCAGAAGGTGTGTCACCTAACATGGACAAATTTTTCCGTCGCAAGTACTTGGAAATTGAAGGATATGAGGAAACAATGCCTTACCAATCATTGACTAGAATTGGTGTCGATACTGGGCAAACCAACGGTAGTGATCATCATAAAAACAACGCAAATGCCTCGAATATACAGCCAGACTTTAAAATGTCCTTTACGCTGATCAGTCTTGCTCGTACGATTTTTGAAGGGAAGATAAACCCGGAATTACAATTGATTGAAAAAATCAAAACGATATTACCTTCAAAGAAAGTATTTTGGAACCTAATAGACTTATTCTTCAAAAATGTCTACCCATTCTACCCATTCATTGATGAAGATTCGTTCAAGAAGGATTTGCAAAAGATAGTAGGCAAGGTTGACTACGATGACAAGCCATTTTCCAAAATAAATGTGAGCAAGAAGTTGGATTTAGCGGTGGTTGCCCTCTGTTTCATTTGTTTAAGGCTAACTTACTTGTCGTTATATTCCAACAAGGACTCCACCAACCGAGGCATAGTTGAGTCCCAGGATGAGACATTGACAAAATTTCTTTTTCAAAACCCCATAAACTCATCCTGTATCGATGTTGCCAATTCTTGTATTCAATGTTTTCATTTCAGAAGAAAATCCAACCTTACCGTTTTCCAAGCAATTTTGTACATGCGATTTTACAGAAACATTGCTCCTGAAGAAGGCGACGGAATTGATGGTGGAGATTCTCAATTGGGAACAGCATTGCTTATACAGATGGCCGTATCCTTGGGCCTTAATCGTGAACCCGACTTATTCGATGTTTGCAATGATGAGAAAACTAATCACTTGGGTCGCAAAATATGGGCTGCATTAATGGCGGCCGATTTTCTTTTCTGTCTATCAGCTGGGAACCCTCCAAGTGTTCATCCTCAGCATTATGATGTTTCTGAACCATTCCTTACCTCCAAGAACAGCAACATAAAAGACATTGAAATGGAGTCCGTTATAACGCAAGGTTATGCAGTAGTTGATTCAGATCGAGAGCTTTTGCGTAGATTACTTTCCTATGTCGTGGATATAAGGAATGGTGTTGAAATGAACAAAATCACTCATAAGTTGCATCTCACTGAACAGATATGGCAATCCAGATACAACGTCATGCATAACGCGGAGTTGAAAAGTGAGGTTGATAATTCCGAACACACGAGGGAAGACATCAAAAGATTCTTGTACATTAAAAAGGCAAGGAGGTTTTTGCTCATGAAAATTCCCCTCACCTCCTTTTACTACCATATATATTTGCATTACGAAGACATGTTGGACACGGAGCTATCCTTTTTTTACTTGCTGAAAATACTTTTAATCATTATAAATGACATCATTCCGTACATTCAAGACATCATCAACGGGAATTTGAGTTCTGTTGGTCTATTCTTGAATCCAATGGCTCAAGTTGGGTTGCTCAAGTCAAACGAGGTTGTGTTTTCATGTCTAGCTCGTGTTAACTTTGTGATATATCAATTGGAGACGTCTGAAAATCATGCTAGTAAATTGAATGAAGATCAGCAATACCGTGAACACTACAATTTATTAAAGGGCATGTCAGTTAATATTACAAAGACTAGTAAATTGATTACCTTACTACTCGAGAGAATGGGACAGAGATATTATTGCGCTTGGAGGCTATCGAAAGCTCAGCATACTATATGCCACACGCTAACAGGAAAAGAGTTTTACGAGAAACATGCTCAGAAGTTGAAGCGGGTCAAAGGATTCCAATTCACAACGACGCAGTTGAATAGATTCAATGTATTGATTGGACAGCTACAGGAGGAGGTACACAAAACATTGAGCTTTGAAGACGGTCAGCACGCTTCGACACCAAATATTGTGAATACTGACTTGGCTGCCGATATTCGTAAATCAATGCTTGAGGCACAAAATATGGTCTCAGAAGAATCTCCTTACTCGCAGGAGAGTGCTTCTGGTGGGACCACTTCGGACACTCCTATGAAACAGACAACATTGGAGGACTTTAATATGAACTACATTGATCACATGTGGCTCCAACACGTCGCTTTTCGAAACGATACCAACCTGTCATTGGAGAACAACTTGATCTCGAATAGCGATGAGTTACGAATGTTGCTGAGCGTAACACCCACTGTTGTCCAGAATGAGTTTGATATTGACGATGGTGGTACTAATCCTATTGCTAGCTCTACTATTCAAGGTAACTCAAACAACAATGACCCATCACAATCTCAAGTTGAGAATCGACCAAATCTACAGCCACGGCAAGCAAGCAATTCTACCGTTCCATTGCAATCTTTATTAGACACCATGCAAGGACAAGAGTGTCTTGATTTCTTACTCGATGCTGGTTTGAAGTATAGCTATGAGTCCTTTTTGTAGAATTAGACGAAGACAATTTTTTTTTCTTTTTTTTTTCGATTAAAGGTTTGTATTTAATGCTACTTTCCGACACTATTTCTTTGCGTACCAAAGCACGATATCCTCTCCGAAATTTCTCCGTATTTCGTCTTCATCGATTGATTGCAAACACTCAATGGCTGAGTCATCGTTTTCAAAATCAATGAAAGCCAAACTCCTTACCTTTATGAATCTAGCCGCTTCAAAACCAGCAAATTTTTCAAAAAACTCGTCGAGCGATTCCTTGGTCACATGCAAGGCTGGACTAATATTTTGAAGAAGTAGTATACGATGCGGGGGCAACTTTTGGTTCTGTTTTTTGATTTTGCTCTTGTCGACAGTAGATTTGGCATGCTTGGTGGATTGTTTACTCACCTTGTGTTCTTGCTGTCTCCTTGTTCTGATTTGTTTCAACTCTTTCTTATCTAGTAGAGTATCACTATTCGAATTAGCAAATGTGGCTCTTACGCGTTTGCCAAAATACTCTTGATTATTCAAAGCTTCAATGGCTCTTGAAGCATCACCAATGGACTGGAATGTGAGAAATGCCTGACCTTTGAGCTTGAGAGTCTTTGCCAAAGAAATGCTCACAGGCCTATATTTCTGAAGATTGGTCTCAAGCACAGATCTGACCTTGTTGGTGGACACTCTATCATTTATATTGTTGACGTACACCGTTTGTTTAGGTTCTACTGACATGTTTGATCTCTTTGGTGTGGTATCACGGGGCATTATTTTTCTTCCACAAATTTCGTACTTGTAAATACGGTAATAATCACGTGCCAGAAACAAAACTTAAGAAAACTGGCAACGAACATTAAGAAGTTTCCCCAACCAAAATACCTCAAACAATGAACTCTTGATTTCTGACTAGTTGTGTAGCTTTCTTGTCAGTGTAAGATTGTTGAGCAAATTTTGTTAGAGGAGTCTGTGATTATATTGCTTTTTCACGAGGCTACACATGCGAAAGCAAATAACCTGTGATCCAGATTTTTGCTGACGTATTCTGTGTGTGTAAAGCATTATTTAACTCTTGTCATTGCCATGGATTGGCCTCAAAATCTTCTAGCAATTAATTTTTTAAAGTGATAAGATAATTTACATCTTTTGAATTTCCCATGAAAATTTGTTGGTGGATTTTTGCAACATTTTGATGCCAAATAAAATACTATACACAGTGCAACATTAACAGGGGCTAATTGTAGCAGGAACTCCTTTCGGAGCTTAACCTAGAGCACGTAAAGTCTCTAGAACTCAAGTTAGATGATTAAGCATATCTCATATTGAATGGCCAATCATGCCTTGCTATTCGGAATGCGCAAATACCCCATCCCCCCAAATATTTTTCCCTCTTTGTTGCAAAGGATGGGTCGTCAGTAAAGGCTCAAACGAAGCATACAATTAGCCGCTGACACTAGCTTCCAAATACGTCTGCGAGGATAATGAAAAGCTGGGCTTCACATGATGCGAGGTCGTTCGAGTTCCTTAATAGGTAAAGAAACAACCACGAGCGCCTACAAAAGCCAAACCTTTCAAAACTGGCCGTAGCGGAATGTCTCTTGCCTCCGTGCCAATACAGACTACAAGACAAAAGCACAGTGTACAAGAGGTGCTTACGTCGTTCCTACCTTTTGTAATTTTTTTTTTTTTTTTGGCTTTGCCGAAATTCGGGGAACCGCATCCGAGAATCGCAACGTGGAGCCAACTAGTTTGACGGTTGTCAAGAAGTGACTCCGACAGTTTACACGGAATGCGTGAATAAACCACAACATAGAATCATAGCCCCTTTGTGCCACCAGGAGAGAAATAAGAAAAGAAAAAAAAAAGGAATACACACAGTAAGTGAACTCCCTGCATCTCTAGCCCAACAACCAATCACAGACGTTTAATTTGTAAGCACGAGATTATTTTGAAACTTTATTTTCTTTTGTGAGATTGCGTGCATTACGTAATCGTATTTACCACTACAAAGTGGATGCAAAAGGGTGTTAAATGGCGCTTGTACCCTCCATTTCCGTGGCACTTGAACTTCAAGAAGAGTTATCAGAGTTAGAGTAGTTGGGCAATTGCACTTGTGCAATGGAGTTTGTTATTCACTCGTGCTAACAAGCCGTCGATTCTGGCAAAACACGGCATTCCCGTTTAGCGAGAATGGAGGGAGCTTTCAACCTACAATTAAAAGGTTTTACGAAAAAGATGCGCGAGCATAGTACAACACTAGTAATACTCGGTGGTACTGTTATTGCTGAGCTCTTATTTTGTGAAGAGCAACAAACCTCCAATCACGTAGGAATTCTGTCATTTGTATGGTAATTACTGCCTTATAATTTTTCTGTCTTCTTTCACGCCACAAAACTGATAAGACAAGAGTACCGCTACTTTTTTTTTTTTTTTTTTTATAAATACAAAAAAGAAAACATAAAATCATCATCGCCATTTATTTCATTCCAGTTTACTTTACTCTTTTCCTAGTTTTTTATTTTTGTTTTTTTTACCACTTCTTTTATATTTAGCAGTCTGTCAGAAGGTTGCAAGTACATCTGCAAACTTCATCATCGATTTACAACTGCACACGCCCTCATCACCCCACACGAATAGCTAAACTCATAAATCATGTCGTTAGTAGCATTGAAGAACGGTGTTGCCAGCGTATTAGGCAAGAAAAACGCATCAGACGAAGAGCTCGAGAGGGCAGACAGGCTTTTGGAGAACAATAACCAACCATACGGATCAACAGACAACAACAACATCAATGGCAATGACAGAGCTGCCCAAATAGCAAGAGAAGAAGCCGTCATTCATGCTGCAGCTTCAATAGCGTCATCGTCTGCAAACAAAGAAGAAGAAGACACCAATACCAGCATTTTGACTAGTTTTTTCAACAGGTTCGATCCAAGAGTAATGTCAGATATAATCATTGGATTGAGCGATGGCTTAACGGTGCCGTTTGCATTGACTGCGGGGTTGTCTTCTTTGGGTGATTCAAAATTGGTCATTACAGGTGGTATGGCAGAGTTGGTGTCTGGGGCTATATCTATGGGGTTGGGAGGATTTTTAGCTGCTAAATCAGAAAATGAATATTACAAATCGCAAGTGAAGAAGGAAAAATTGAGTTTTTTCAAGAAGCCAGAAACGGTAAATCAAGATGCTGCCGAGATCATGTTTGAATTAGGTGCTAGTGAGCAAACAATTATAAGCTTTTTGAAAGATTTGGATTCAAAGCCGAAGAGCTTAATTGACTTTATTATCAGGTTCGGTAGAGGATTGGAAGAGCCGGCCGAGGGAAGGGAATTTACATCCGCCATGACCATTGGATCGGCATACTTCCTTGGTGGGTTTGTACCTCTTTTGCCCTATTTCTTCACTAATGTCGTCAAGACTGGGTTATTGATCTCGGTGATTGTGATGTTGATAACATTGTTTATATTTGGCTTCATTAAGACCTCCATATCTTTAGGTGACGATTGTGGGAACCACAAAAAGGTTGCTGAAGGATTCCAAATGGTTGCTGTTGGTTCTGTTGCTGCAGGAGCTGCATGGGGACTTGTATATCTTATAGATAACTGATTTCTCAGTATGGATTTGCAGTTTCTTGAATATTTAATTGCTATGAATTGTTGCCTTATGCAATGGAAGTGTTTTTCTTGTATGTTCAGTCCTAGGAAGGATTGTCGAGTAGTAGCGGTAGGGTGCACCTACTCCTTATTATCTACCTTTGCTAGTGCTGCAAATAAAATGGTAGCTCTAGCGAAAATTAAACCAATGAGTGTGCCAGAAAATCTGCTTAGAGAAAGGAAGAAAAAAAAAAAAAAAAAAAAGTCAGAAAAGGAGACACCCTTTGTTGAGCTACATTGCAATTAGACACGATTTGTCCACAAACTAACCACCACTCTCACCTTATAAAAACGATATGTTGAGAATAAGCAATAGAATAACCCCAAGGGCACTTAGTTTTGTGCGTTTCAACTACACATCAACAGCACCACCAACCACACAAGAATCAACTCCAACCAAGACATCCACCTCAACGCCAGAAGAAGAAGAGGCGTCATCGTCATTAGCCAGGCCAGAATCATCACAATTGAACTTGAAAGATTTGAAAAACAATGTATATGCCAAACCAGCCCCCAATAGAGACACAACATGGACTCAATCACAACAAGCAAGAATAGACGTTATAACTAAATATCCCTTCCGATTCACGCAAAAGGATTTAGCCGAGCAGCCAAGACCCTATGCTGCTATTGAGTTGATTGCCAAGGAGCCAATTAGATATTTGAAGCCAGAAGAGGGAAATATTGCCGTGTGCGATGGTAATAGAGGCAACACGTTACAAGGACATCCCAAGATTTTCATCAACTTGGATAAACCTCAAGCCAACACTTGTGGCTACTGCGGTTTGAGATACGCCAAGGAGGAGTTTAGAGAGGAAATTGAAGCCAAGGGAGAATTCTAAAACCGGATACGGATGTGTGATATTCAGTACTTTGATATAACATTTGGAAACCGTTTTGAAAAGGATGATGAACTGCAAGGAGTTTCGTTAAGCGTGCTTAAGTCAATAGGCTACATTTTTCTACGGACCTGTAGTTATCACAAAGTTATATAGAACGCAAAGTTTGAAAATTGACTTTATGAACTGACCACAGCGGCGTTCAATCTCGTCAACTGTAGCCATATGGGACAAGGGACAATGCGAAGAGGCTCCTTGATTTCTCTTTGACTAATTGTAAAAGGATTTTTTCAAGACTTAAATGAATTGTAGTGAATACCACTATCATGCAACTTTGGCATTAACCAAGCAAAACAAACAAGTCTAGCTCCAAAAAAAAAAAGAGGTTCCATTCTACCAACTCTGTACATGTACGAATGTGGCAGTGTCTATTTGCAACAGTTTTCACTGAAATTTGCAACACGAGGATTCTCTCGTTAAAAATCAAAACGCGTCTGGAAACTTTATTTCAAACTAATCATAATCATTTCTCTAAAACACATTATACAAATACACTACCTTCAAGTTACTTTGACAACGCCAATACAGCAACAAACCCACCGCGCACGAGATCATGAATGTGGATAAAGACAGTCAAGTGATAATACTTCCTCAATTAAAGGATACCACGCTGATATCCAGACAGTACAAAATTATCAATCTACCCATCACGTCAACCACGGCATCAACGACATCGGCACCATCTTCCAAATCATTCTTGATCCAGGACTCAGAGATGTACGAATTGAACGTAATCAAAGGCGACAACTCATCTATTAAATTGAAATCGGGGGATGGAGTAAAATCCTTCATTTTTGAACCTGTAGCCGGATCTAGCACATCAGAGACGAACACTGAATTGGACCGCGTTGGCACCAGGGTCAGTGGCAATGGCGCGGTCTTGCAATCGTGTCACACTCTAATTGCGTCACCTTACAACTTCACATACATGGTGATTGCTATATTCGAAAAACATGGCGACAAATTCAGTCGGTTTCATACCTTGGATGATATTAGAGATAGCTTGCTGAGTTTGGAATCGGGCCACGATTGGGTATACGATATTCCACGACAGTTGTTTTCGAAAAGCTTGGCCTATGTTTGTGAGTCAATACTTGAAGGTGGTGGACAAGGTGCCAATAACAATGACAATGACAATGACAATGACAATGACAATGACAATGACAATGACGAAGATGGGGGAGATAAATTTTACAAGTATTCTTCAACGAAAAGTATTGAGTGGGTCAATACCAAAGTACTAGCGTTGAAACATTGGGTTGTTGGCCTGGATGATAACAAGCTGTCTACAAATAGCATATTGAACAAAATCAAGAAGGAGCTTCACGATCCTACCGCAGCTAACGAAGGACAGCAGCAGCAACAGCAACAACAAGAACTAGTCGACCAAATGGCATTACTTTATGCACTTGACTACGTGTGTGATTCCTATGTGCCCAATTTGAAATCCAAGATCATTACATACTTCGATTACAATTTCACTCAAGTAGATGACCACTTGACCAGTTTGAAACAAAAACAGAGAAATTTGGAAGCGGTTGAAGCCAACATGAATGAAGTAATCACGACAACTGCAAACACCACCAAGTCGCAATCATCGAAAAAGAATGGTAAAAAGCAACCAGCAAAGAAAGTTGCAGTTGGAAAAGGAGCTCTTGATGGATTTTTCAAGAAAGCGTAAAGCCACTCTTTGATGAATGCTACTTTTATTCCTTTCGTCTCATTGTATATACACGAGGGAGAAGGGGGGACATAATCACTATAAACAGGAAATTCTTCACTCTCCTTTATCTACTTTACCTCCTTATTCAAGTTCTTATAGATCGATAATCCTTGAGCCATAAAGCTGGATATGTCACCCACGTTCGAAGGTATAACCACAGTGTTTGACTCCTTGGCCAACTTACCAAACTCCTTGATATACTCTTGAGCAACTTGCAAATTCACAGCTGCATCACCACCAGGGGTATCTTTAATAGCTTGAGCAATTCTTTGAATGCCAATAGCAGTAGCCTCAGCTTTCAACTTAATCTTTTCAGCTTCACCCAACGCCAAATTGATTTGTTCCTGCTTATTAGCCTCTGATTGTAGAATGATACTTTGCTTCTCACCTTCACTGATATTGATCCTGCTTTGTCTAGTACCTTCAGACTCCAAAATTTCAGCACGTTTACTACGCTCGGCACTGACTTGACGATGCATAGCCTCAATCACATTTTGAGGTGGATGAATATCCCTAATTTCATAACGCAAGCATTCCACACCCCAATTCATGGCGGCTTCATTGATCACTTGGTTGATGTTGGTGTTCAATTGCTGACGCTCTTTCAAAACTGCGTCCAATGTCAAATTACCAATCTCTGATCTCATTGTCGTTTGCGCTAATTGACTAATGGCAAATTGGAAATCTTCAACGCCATAACTGGCCTTGTACGGATCGACAACTTTGACATACAAGACACCATCCAATTCCAAGGACACATTATCTGAAGTGATGGCACTCTGGGTGGGAATCTCAATGGCTGACTCTTTTAATGATTGGACATAGGTGATTCTATCCAACACTGGAATCAAGACTGCCAACCCGGGTGGTAATATACGATGAAACTTTCCCATTCGTTCAACAATCCATGCTTGTTGTTGAGGAACAAACTTTATCACGGTGTTGGCAGGTAAGGATTTGTTTTGGAAGAAATTGAGCGAGGCGGAAGTTGCTGCTGCAGGAGCCATCAATTGCGATTGCGATGTGAATCCTCGAAGTTGCGATGATTGGGGTGTGGCCAAAGATAGCTTTGTGAGGACATTCCGTGACTTTGGTGAAAGTGTCAGAAGACGACCTACTTGGGATCGTAATAAGGTGGATTTTGGCAACATTTGCGGCATGTGTTACTCGTGAGTAAGGGTAAGGGACAACAGTGGCAAACTGGTGAAAAACCAAAAAAAATCAAAAAAAAAAATAAAGGGCTGACGCTTTGTGAGGATTGTCAATGTCGTGGAAACCAATTGAGAAATGCGACAATGAAAGTTTTTCTTAACTTATAGTTTAAACAGAATATACACGGAGGTCGAAATTACACCGGAACCGAGCCCTAAAAAGCACTAGCACTAGTTTAAGGACGGCTCTTTTCAAGCAAGACAGCAGAGTTTCCATTTCATCTTTGACTCTTTCACAGTATTTTTAATCTATCAAAACATCATCGCCGTGAAAAAATAAAAAAAAAAATACCAAGACAAAAAAAAAGAGACGATGTTGCAACAAAGTAAACTCTCAATATCATCCCATTAATCACCAAAAAAATATACCACATAACTAAGATCCACCCCTTCTCCACACTCCACACCATCCAAATGTCACGTACAGCAGAAATAACATCCAACCAACGCAACTTCTTCCACTACGCACTACAAAACAACCTCCGTCTAAACCCACCCACCAACCGACCATTTCTCGCCCATCGGCCCATCTCCATTTACCTATCACCCACGGAGTACGGGTACGTCGAATTGAGCTGGGGCCAAACGAAATTGAGCGTGCGCGTTACGGCCCAAATAGTCAAGCCGTACCCTGACCGGCCATTTGAAGGAATCTTCACCATCAATAGTGAGATCTCGCCGCAAGCGAGTTTGAAATTCGACACTACGCGAGCTCAACAACAGGATGAAGTGTTGGTGGCGCGGATCTTGGAGAAATCAATTCGCCGGTCTAATGCTGTTGATTTGGAGAGTTTGTGTATTGTGGCTGGTGATAAAGTTTGGGAAATTGTTGTTGATTTGAATTTTTGGAACTATGATGGTAACTTGATTGATGTTGGTTGTTTTGGGGCTATGTTGGCGCTTTTGCATTTCCGGAAACCGGATATTAGTATCAATGGGGACACTGTGGTTGTGCATGATGTGAATGAACGACAACCCGTTAGTCTAAGCATTTTGCACATTCCCATTTGTCTCACGTTTTCATTTTACAATTTGTCTTCGCAGGAGATGAATATCAAGGGAGAAGGAGGAGGAGGAAATAATGGTGCAGATGAGACAGGTGTGTATCATGAAGATATAAACAATGAAGATGAAATCTGTTTATTTGATGCTGATGCTATGGAGGAGAGTTTGAGACAAGGAAGTTTAACCGTTACCTTGAACAAGAATCGGGAAATTATTCAATTGAGCAAGAACGGAGGTGTGCCAATTGATGCGCAACAATTGTTGGACCTATGCTTTGAGTCGATGAAGATTGTTGATGAATTGACGGACTTGATAAAGACTGAGATTAAACAACACGAAGAATTGAGATACAAACAGGAGAATTTCAAAATGTTGGAATCGAGTGCCAATAGGTAAGATGTTCATACAAAAAGTTGTTTGTAAAAGAAAACTTCATTAAATTTATAAATATATTTATACAGTATCATCATTTCGTATCATCTTGTCACCATAAAGATAGATTCTTCTTATTCGAGGGAATCAGTTACTTGTTTATACTACCTGGAAGATCCTTTTCTAGAATCATCAGTATCAACATCGGCCTCAGCATCGGTATTCAAATCAGAATATGCTTGCATATATTCCGCATCCGTTTCCATTTCATTAACAAAAGTGGAGTCATTACCCAGTTCTTCTTCGTTATCAAATTCACTCTCTTCAGACGAATTGATTTTGCGTAAAGTTTCAACAACCTCTAAATTGTTCTTGTCTTTGACTGCAGTTGCTGATGTTTTTCTGCTTCTCGAAGAGGGCTTGGGCTTCTCGCTACCAACACCTTTCGGTAAGGCTGAGGCTGGTGCCGAGTCACTTGTGATTACAATCGTTGCTGGATCATCAGCCAACTTCTCAAGTATGTCGATTTCAATAGGGATGTTGGAATCCTTTCTAGACCGACGTTTGACACTGGAATTCTTGAGAAAATTCTTTAAACTAATTCCTCTTTTGGGTCTAACTTCACCCAATTGAGATTCTTCATCATCATTTCCAATCGGCGACGTAGACAAAAACGTATAATCCTTCAAATGCGAATCAACAAATTTGTCCAAATTGAAAAAGCGTAAAATACCAGTGATCAATGCAAGAATCAGGTTACCGACTTTGGCGGTACATTTTTTGAAAAAACTGGAAACGATAAATGAGTAGAAAAGGTATTCAATACCCAAAATGACAAGGGCGATACAAAATCCACCGATAACTGCCAATACCAAGTGATTGGCCAAACTTTTGATAAAATTGGCATCACTCATGTGCCAAGAGGAACCAGGAGCAATTGCGAAAAACGAATATTGGTACCCCTTGTAATTTTGAGGCATTAAAACTCGTACTTTACCGGCTTCAGGTACACCCCAACGTTTATATTGTTTCCAAATAACTGACAAAAACAATGGTCCAGTTGAAATCATAATGGTAATGTATGGAACCAACCAATTGCGTTGATAGTTTTTCAATGATTCCATCGCTTTAAGGAAAAATGGATGATTAGGCACACTTCCCATAACATCGTTGGAGATACCAGTAGGGATAGTTTTTCTCACAAACGCAGGCACCGTCAACAATGGATCCAAACGACGTTCACAACCATCATCCAAATCGATATAGATACCACCGTAATGATACAATGCAAAATATCTTATGGCGTCCGCTCTTTGAATGTTGTAAGGGTACTTGTCCCAAGTTTCCAAAAACCAAGGAAACTCTTCACTGATAAATTCTCGTGCCATTTCATCGGTCCACAAGATATATTGATAATCTTCATGCAAATCAATACATGCTTGTTGACCTGGTTTCCAAATTTCAGGTATGTTTTCGTTTTTATAAGTTTGATGTATAATTTTCGGTATCAATTGTGGCTTATCTAATTTTTGTGAATTCAACTCGTAATCGATTAATGCGTCGGCATAGGAGTCGTCATGTAGTAACGTGAGCAAGTCAAATGACAAATATAGAAGGTAGACGACGAGAATGACGTGCGCGTAGATGATGTATTTCAATTCTTTTCTCATGTTGGCGGATGGAATTGCTGTTGTTGTATTTAGCTTATCGTAGCAATATGACTAGAAATGAAATAAAAAAAAAAAAAAAGGAGAATGAATGCAAAAAAATGTGAAACGTGGAGGTGTGGAATGATGACGGGGTGAAGGTTTCGTACCACAATGTTGGCTATCCGTTTGTTTTTGTTTAAAAAGTTAGCAGTATTAATGCGAAGGAAAACAAGGAAATCTGTCGATGTTGTCGATTTTAACTTCCTGGAGTTTGTGTAAGAATTGATCTATAGGTTGAAATGCCTGCTGTTTGTAGATATGTAGTCAAAAAAAATATATGATTTTTTTAGAAAAAAGACACAGGATGATTGCTAAAGATCTTGTGATAGTGGTGATGCTTACGGAATCTCTAATACAATTCCAGTACAATAAAGCTGTGATGGAATGGTAAACTGTGGTAATGACGGTTGAGGCTGTGTGAGTATTTCTCGCTGCCTAATGCTTTTTTTTTTCTCCTATTTCTTAGTTGAGGGTAATGTTGAACGGTGTCGAACCAATTTTTAAGTCAGCTAAACAAGCCAATTGTTTGTTTAAAGAAAATAGTGTAGATGTGAGAGTGTTGCAAAGTGGTTTCCAGGATCGTTATGTGAAGTGCTGTCCTACTCTTTTTCTCGTGTTATATGTGTGAAGTGAATGAGTGAATAATATTATACGAGTGTGTGAGTCTCTCTTTTTAAAGTAGTGAGATACGAGAACACTGGGGATGGTGGGGATTGTTGGAGGTTGAAAGTGTTGGTCAGACGAAATTTCCAGTTTATTTGATTGAGATCAGAGATGAAGACTGCTTCTATAGATACAGATATATATATATATATAGCATTACATAGTAAAGATGTCTGACAATATGCACAAGTATAGAGAAACCAAAAAAAAAAAAACAGAGAAATAAAATAAAATAAAATAAAAATAAAAAATTGGTTGTTGTTTGTTGTTTGTTGTTGTACTGCATGTACTACTGCAATTGAGTATTGTTTTTCTTTTTCGCATCATTTTTTTTTCCTGCTCAATTAACTATATGCAGTACAGCAGCGTGAAGCATTAAGAAGAATTACACAATAAAAAAGAAGGAAGAAGAAATAGGAGACATAGGAAAGCGTGTTGCCTGAATTTGGATCGTGTTTTGTTGCACACAACGCACAATCTAATACATAAGACATAGCACATAAACCAAGTCATGTAGTTGGTCAAGTACGAGGCACTGTGATGTTTCTTTCTTCTGTTTAGAGACGAAGAAATAAGTATTGTCGTAAGCTCCCACTATGGGAACCCGACGTAATTAGCTGAAGGACAACTGAGACCAATTTAGCTTGCCATTTTGACTTTCTTTGTTGCTGAATCAAAGTGTAAACCAAACAATAAGCTACGCTCTAGAGACAAGAAACAATCTACAGGACAAACAACAGTTAGCTCAACACTTTCATTGCTTTGCAATACCCCCCTCCCTTACACAATAGGTTGATGATGATGATGATGTAAACCATAAAACTAAGCGAATTCGAGATGACGACTAATATTTTAAAAGTCACATTCCTGTTCCCTTTACTCGACTGGTAATCCACACACACACACACATACACATACAACTGTTAACACAGCCAATGCCTATAGAAGTCTATCGCATCATACGCTCTTTGCACAACAGCAGTCACACAAATCCCTCTCTAGCTTTATGAACGCTTCGGACTTAACCCATGATCAATTTATTAAATGCTCAAATTTTGTGTGATGTGAAAAATTTCACCCGTAAAAAAAAAATTAAAGGTGAAACAAACAGCAATTGTGTTAAGAAAAAAAATGAAAAAAAAAAAAAAAAAAAAAAGAAATTTTGAAAATTAAAAATACAAGGCTGTGCTTATTTGTTTATTTTATTTATTTACAACCAGAGACAACAGACAGACTTTCCCCGCCCTATCTCCACTAATGTATTCTTGGTATTATGCCCCCCGTTGTATTTTGCTGTGACTCACATCAGACATCAGATGTCAAAGCAACATATCACAACTACCAACCAACAACCAACAACCAAGGTTACTCCTTTCTCTTATAGTACTGATGAGAGAAAACATTTCTTTTTTTGGAACATCAATAATGATAAGCGAGATATAATATGGCTGGCGTAGAGTCCCAAATATAAAACCTCAATCTAAAAATATATCACTACATAGATGATGCATCATCTTTTATTCATCCATTACGATAGATATAACACACTCTGCCTCCCAGCCCCCTATAACAAAAGCCACTATCGTCCTTTCTTCACCATATTCAACTGCTAAAAATAGAAAATTTGTTTTAAAAAAAGAGGAATGACTAAAACTGATATCGGTGTAGAACATGTCATTCACAATACAACTTCATTCAGAGAGGTATAGACCAAATAACGTGATTCTCTGTATCTTGTTATCAGTAATTACTTCTCCACTAATGGTAATGTCGCCAAGCTCATTTTCTGCTTGTCGCTTTTTCCTTTTTTACCCCTATTTTTTATTTTTCAATTTTTTTGCTTACCCATGGTTTTATTATAGCACAAACCAGAAATATATAAAACTGATTGATTGATAACTGAGTTTGTGTAACTCATCTCTCAACTTTCAAATATACTTATTTTTTTTTTTTTTCTTGTCGTTGTTGTTTGCTGTATTCACGCGCCACCAACTGATTGTTCATAATCAAACATCGAAGCGTCAATAGCGAGAGAGAGAGAGAGCATCATGAAGCTCAAGGAAAGTAAAGCACCCGATCTGCCATACTTTCTCGGTGCATCGTTGAAATACATGCATTGCGTGATGCAGTTACGGCGGAACGGTTAAACCTGTCTAATTTTTTTTTTTTTTTTGCTTTCCTTCTCTGAGAATTATAGGCCTTTGATTCCAAACACTGCAAAATCTGTTGAAATCTGGTGAAATGATTCAAACCACATTATTCCACGACACAAAAAGTGTGGCATAAGTTTTCCCCTTTTCCTCCACCCTCTTTCTGCAATCTTTATTCAGGTAAATAAACACCAGCAATGCTGCTGTATTCTTCCTTCATCTTCATTGCGGTTCCTAACAACACCAGGAAACAGTATCAGCAAAAGGCTGTCTCGTCAACTGAACTTGGATCATTGGTGTTTACCCGTATCAACTACTTTCTCCAGACATCACCAACAAAGAACTCGGGTAATGACTTTGTGCCCTCCATCCGTTTCCAACCCATAGGGTACAAAATGCTGACACCGTTATATGTTTGTTTACATTCTTTGCAATTTTCATTTTTTGGCAAGCGCGTTTCGAAGTAGTAAGAAGCATCGTATGTGGCATCTTTTTTTTTTGTATTTTTGTGAGTTTCGGGGATAACAAACATCGCGTTTCTTCGGAGTTAATCGATAAAACGGAACCTTTCACTTCTCCGATTCCCGATTATTTTCAATTGCACTTCTCCGAAATCGGTGAGCCTAAGAGACTTTTCTATGTTCTTTATCTCCATATCAAGCAGAATGAGAAAATCCAATTTGGTGATTGAGGCAGGCTGAGTTGTGAGGTTCTGATGGATTGTACTAGATGCAGTTGATACACTCCCAATTCTTTAATAGACATTGCAAAGACTAAGTGGGGATTTCACCAACTCCATCCACTTGAACTAATACCAAACAATATTATAAAACAGATAATATAAATATAAAACCACTAAATAATAAACTAAATCGCAGCAGTATCATCTCCACCCTTTTACACTCACAACTTTGCTGCCAACTCCAACAACTCTCCACCACCAACAATCTTGACCTTCTCAGTAAACTCGCCCCTCTGAGCCGCCTCTGCAAAGTGAACGGCAACTTTGCCAACATCACTAGCCTTGACTGCCTTGAACAACCATGAAACACCAGGAACATTCAACAAGAAATCATTGAGCTTCTGTGGCAACTCATTTCTCTTGCCATTGTTTCTATCCCCAAGCAAACTACCCGGTCTCAAAATAATCGTATGATCAAACCCTAATGCAATGATGTCGTTTTCCAACTTACCTTTAGTTTGGAAATAAAGAAATGGTGAGCTGGCACTGGCACCAACAGCAGAGATCAATACTAGTGTCTTGACCCCACTCTCTTTGGCAGCTTTGGCTGAATTGTAATTGATGCCGTAATCGATAGCTTTAAAATTCTCAGCTGATCCAGCAGCAGCACGAGTAGTACCAAATGATGAGATGTAAGCATAGGGAACTGGCTTGATGTCTTTGATGACAGTGCTCCATTTTGACGTATCGGTTTCAACAATTGAGTTTATGCGTGATTCACCAGGAGTGGCAAACTGTGGCTCGCGTCTAGTGAGGGTGGTGATTTTGCTCCAGTCTTTGGACTTGAGTGCATTTTGGACAACGAAACCCCCGACTAAACCAGTGGATCCCAAGACAATTAAGCTCATTGTGGAGATCTGTGTGTAAGTATGTGTTGTGCGTAGAAGAGGTGATATTATTCTTGAGTGTTTTTCTGTTCCTGAATTGATTGTATTTATTTTGTCATACGAGAGCAAACGAATGACAAAAAAAAAAAAAAAAAAATATGGTTATTGAAAAATACACGTGATTACTTTTCTTTACTGTGGACCTTATTGGTGGAAACACTAATAGCAAGTCCGTCAGATAACATATCCTCTAACCTTCAGCAATTAGAATGGAACAAGTAGAAGAAACATTCATGCTCTTGCAGTTAGGAATTACCTCCTCATTTCATCATTGTATATCCCCAATTGATCCATCACTCAACAATAGAATTTGCATACAATTAAATCTCTCTCCACAGAATTGCTCACTCTATTCTCGCCAACCTTAACCCACTGCATAGCACAAGTCTACCACCACCACCACCAACACCACCAACACCACCAACACTACCAACACCACCAACACTACCAACACCACCAACACCACCAACACCACCGACACCACCGTCACCACCAAGATGTCATCATCGTCAAAATTCATCTCTATAATCAAACCAACGGCATTCAGAACCTTGCTACAAGCAACCAAAGCATCATCAGCCAATCGTACAATCCCAATTGACGCAACCTGGTTCATGCCCAATAATCCACGCAACGCCCGTGCCGAATTCGACCAGGACCAAACCTTGAAACACATGGCCGCCAGCTCGACCCACACCCAGCCCAAGTTCTTTGACTTGGACAAATGGGCAAGAGACTCTCCTTATCCTCACATGTTGCCCACGCAGCTGATTATGAATGAAGCATTTGAGGAATTGGGCATCCATGAACTGGACAATTTAGTTGTGTTTGACCGCGTTGGCAACTTCTCGAGTCCTCGAGTTGCTTTCACTTTGAAATTGGCTGGCCATGGGAAAGTTTACTTGTTGGATAATTATCCAAACTATTTAAAGTCGGATGCATCTCACCAGGAAAAACAGACGGGGGAAGGAGCAGTGAATGGTGGCGGATCTGTTGCCAATGCAGCTCCAAGTGACACTACTGGAACCGCTATTGATGGAGAAGTGAATGAAGCCCACCTGCCCCATCTGTACGAAGAAATCTATGATCGAGAAGTGATTGAATACGAAGAATTAGTAACTCACATAGCCAACAACGATATCACCAACTACTTGATTCTCGACGCCAGGTCTGCCGATAGGTTCACTGGTGCAGCACCTGAACCACGACCAGGCTTGAGTTCAGGCCATATCCCCACGGCAAAGAATTTACCGTTCACCAAATTACTCAATGCTGATGCAAACAATGAATACAAGACAAAGGAAGAGATTGAGTCTGTGTTGAGTAATGAGTTGGGCATAGATTTGGCAAAGTTGGGCCAGGAGGGGTATTATCCTGGGGGGATCATTGTCATGTGCGGGACTGGTGTTACTGCTTGTATAGTGAAATTGGCATTGGAAAATATCGTCAAGGTAAATGTGCCGGTGAAGTTGTACGATGGGTCGTGGACTGAATGGGCAATGAGGGCTCCTGAAAAGTATATAGTGAAAGATGTATAAAGAAAAACTCCCCCAAAACAAAAGATACACAAAAAGAACAACAGTAGTATATGTTCCTCGAAGCTTTCAATTCTCTCATTTTCTTAGTACCAAGTCCAGTACACACGATGAGAGACTGTTTTTTTTTGTATTGTGATATATTCATTATACATAATGTAAATACCGTACATCTCCAAAATTCAGTCTCCTTCGTCCTCGTTTTTCAGTGGGTTGGTTCAGGTATGGACAAATACTTGTACTTCTTCTTTGTGATATCGTACAAGTCATTCAATGCAGCATCATCAACAAACCAACTAACTCTTCCAGCAGCACCTTCATTCACAATCGAACTAGGCAACCCTTTTTCAGGTCTCTCCATAATCGTCTTGATAATTGGAGCTTTCGTCAACCCTTCCACCACAAAGGCAACTCTCGCAGCATGACATATCACGGGGATAGTTAAAGTGATTCTATTGGATGGACCCAGTGGTGCATTGGAAACAGGTATACACCATGCCAATTTCTCTCTCAAGCTTTCGCCATGATTGGGGAACAATGACGCAATGTGGCCATCTGGAGCACAACCCAACAATAATAAATCAAACATGGGCAATTTGACTGAATCCTTCTTGGCAAATTGTTGTATCAATTGTTTTTCATAATCATCAGCAGCTTCTTGAGGATCATCAATCAAGGATTCATCAATGTGGAAAACGCGTGGTTGTTTATCTCCCTTAATATGGTCAAATATCTCCAATTTAGCTTGTCCATAATTTGAGTCGGGGCTATCGAACGGTACCAATCTTTCATCAGCGAAATAAATGTCCCACTTGTCCCATTCGATAAACTCTTGTCTTGTTAATAAACCTTGATTCAAGATTTTGATCAAGGATCCACCACTGATGGCAATCTTGAATCTTATTTCTTGCTTTTTCAAAATCTTCTTCTCCTTTTTGATCTTGTTGTTGGCAGCCAAGTTTGTGGAAGATGCTGCTGCTGCTGCTTCAGGGTCCAAGTTAGATGATGACGATGCCGACTGGGTATTGCTGGCACTCAATGTGGCACCACTACTTCCAGTGGATCCGATACCATTACCATTGCTATTACCAATGCCGTTTCCGTTTCCGTTTCCGTTTCCGTTTCCACCCTGAGACTGACCGAGTGCAATGGAAAGCGAACTATTTGTCTTGTTTACGGATGGACGTTTTAGCTGACCTGCTTTGATCAATTCAATTTGTTTTAGATCGGTTGTGTTGTATAAAGTCTGATTCTGGGATGAAATAATCAAGTCGGCCACAGCTTCGGCCACTCCAAGAAACTCGGGAAACGAGTAGATTATAGGGACAGTAGTAGTCATAGCCAATCAAAGGAAAGAAGCAATAAGGGAATGAATGTATTGAGTATTTGTTTCTGATGGACGAGGAGGGTTAGCTAGGTTAAATTGTAGTAAAGAATATCTGTAATTAAGTCAATAATTATTGTAGTTGTAGTTGTAGTTGTAGTTGTAGCTTGTGCCTAAGTTGAGAGTTTTTTCTTTTTTTATTTTTTTTTTTTTTTTCAAAGATTTGGTTGTTGTTATTGTTGTTGTTGTTGGTAGTTAAGTTAAGTTAAGTTTGCTTTTTAAAGCAGAAAAGAAATCACACACACACAGTTTTATTAATTTTAATTTTAAAGAAAAAAAAAGAGAGAGATATATAGAGAGAGAGATAAAAGAACAGGAAAACACATACACAAGATGAAATTTGAGACAACAAAATGTATGTTTGGGGGTCATTAACAGATGCTACGTAGTATAGATAGTGTTTCATTTGCTCAACGGTACTCCATAAGAGTCATATACTTGTACACAACTACGCCCCCCCTGAGACACCAATTTCATCTATTGTCAATAGAGATTAAATTTTCTCGAATCTTCTGTAAGTTGTGTTAATTGTTTTCTTTTTTTTTTTTTTGTTGGTCTCTTTTTGTAATTTGAGTCTCGACAATCATCAATAAACTATCTACCTGACTATAGCTAGTCAGTATGAAAAGTCTCCAAGACCGGCATCAAAACAGCTGGTCACCGACTATTGCACTGAATGCCCTGTCAACAAAATTCACATGTCATTGATAGTACACTAAAATTTATGCGCATGTATGTACAGAAATGTTGTTATCTATCTATATCCACTGAGTTTGCGATTGCAAATAAAATTCCGTTCTCAAAAGACACACATACACAATTTATTAACTACCAAGTCTATTTCGTGTTTAAGGTCATACACGAATACATCTTACCCAGCTAATCCGAAATATATACTAGTTCCTCTTCTTCAATAAAGAACTAATGACCGACACTCTCTCCATTTCAGTACAGTCATCTCTACCACACATAGGAGAAGGCTTCTTTGCAACTAGCCAAAGTGTGAGCAAATGCAAAACAAAACAGGGTAATTCGGAAGAGGGGAGGGGTAAATTCAGGGGTGGCGAATTTGTGCATTTAATTTTTTCCCTAGCAACAAACTGTAATTATCTTGTGTTCCTATTGTATCGTTGACTGATTCCGTTAACTTAACATCGAATAGAGGGAGGAGAATCACCCATACAAAACCTTCCACTTTGTAATCTAGTAAACCAACCATTTCGAAAGAAAGGGTGTGAAAAATAGTGTCACTTTCATGCGTCGCAACTATTTTTTTTTTTTAAAAAAAACACGACATCTTATACAATAAAACTTTTTTGAGTCACAAAAATTGTGATCACTCTCACTCTGTGTGTGCGCGTGTGACGTATTATATTAAGATTGTCTAAGACATGACGTATCTTCTCTTACTAACACCCTAGCACACACAGCACACACTCACACACACACACACACACTCTCTCTCTCTCTTTTATGTGAAACCACCAGTGGTGTTATATGGCAAACATATAACCAAACCAATCAGCTTTACATCTTTCCTCCTTCTATTAACTACAAATCTCCTATATGTGTTAGTACAGCTAGCTATTGATGAAAGTTGATTGACACATGAACCATTCTAAATATGTGGGGTCAATTTACCCAAGTTCACAAGAATTCAAAGTGGCTCAAACTACAAATGAACAGAAACTAAACCAAGCGGAAGTGTACTACAAAGATGAGAAATTCCTTATTGTCAGTATTACAGAGATTAGCCCAACTCAATCATTGATCAACTTGTTGAATCTAGATGGAAGGTTGGATAACGCATTGATCAATTGGGAATGGTTTGACTTGGATGAGATAAAATTCCCAATATCCAGTGATCTGGAACAAAGCTTACCTAAAGAGCTAGTTGAAAAATTCAACACCAAGTTCAGATACATTATTGACAATGAAAAAGTCAGCTCTATTTTCGCTCATCCCAATAAACAAGGCAATCAAGGTCCGATTGTTGAAGAACAACACACTGATACTGAGAGTAACACAGCTAGGTCACCAACACCTGAAGTNACAAGGCAATCAAGGTCCGATTGTTGAAGAACAACACACTGATACTGAGAGTAACCCAGCTAGGTCACCAACACCTGAAGTTCCCTACCATCCAACTAACCTGACTTTTACTGGTGGCAACCCATCCGCTGGTGCTGGTGCTGGTGGTGCTGCCGGTGCTGGTGGTGCTGGTGCTGGTGGTGCTGGTGCTGGTGGTGCTGGTGCTGGTGGTGCTGGTGCTGGTGGTGCTGGTGCTGGTGGTGCTGTATCAGCCAATGCACCATTTACTAAACGACCTGATGACATGCCTGATTTTGAAGATGAATACCAAATTAAAGATCAGGGACCCCCAGTCAGAGATAACTTGGGACAATCAACCAAATTCCCTCCCATCGGCAGTGAGGATTTGAATCCACCGGGAATTCCATCAAATCCTACATTACAAGGATACATTGATCCATTACGAGCACCAGGCGGTGGAGGTATGTATCCAACACCAGACCATCCAATTTTTGGCCAGGGTGCAGGTGGTGCAGGTGGTGCAGGTGGTGCAGGTCACCATCAAGGTGTTGGAGGCAGGAGGGGTGTTCCTCCCGGTGCCAGATACGATGATCCATACTCTGAGGATAATTTGGACAATTTAGGTCAAGGATTGCCTCTGAACTTGAGGGGCCCTGGAACCAGTGGTCGTGGAAATTTCGGTGGTGGTAGCAGTGGCTCTCCCTTTGGCAATTTTGGACCACCAGGAGGCGGTCCTAATTTGTAAACTAGAGCAAGTGAGTGGTGATGATGAAAATGTGGCGAGGAGGATCGAAAGCCGTGATTGTAGGTTGGAGCAAAGGTATTTCTATATATAATATAAATGAAAAGACTTGAAGTTGGAAAGAAATCATTACATTGTAGAGAGTGTACTTTGCAATATACTGAATAGGGTACAGTTGCAAAAATTACGGTAGTGCTTCGAAGTGACTCTTCTCCCACCCCACTTCCCCCCTTTCGGAGTTTTCGTACGGAGGACAACGCGAGAAGAGTTGATCTCAAAGCAATTTGGGTAGCAGTAGCACGGCCAAATGCGTAGAAGGCTTAGCTTAGCTGCTCAAGTAGTGATACTATTTTATGCTCAAAGTAACTAAAGAACGAGCTTTTGTGAGTGTTGACTATGTAGAATATGAAGTAGGCTTGTTTCAATTCTGGTGGGGTTCTATTTATACGAGCAAAAAAAGGACGTTAAACTCTATTGTTTTTTTTTTTTTTTTGGGTATGCAATGTAGCCTCGTTTCCTTATGTCCAACACCTTGTCTAATATGAATACTGAATGAGGTTTCACAACAGAGAATTATGTACTGCTCTACAGTATATGTTCTATAGTGAGTGTGATTCTGGAATTAAACTCCTGGCTATTCTATTTCTTTTTCTTTGGTCCTTTGGTTTTTGTTTTGATTTATTCCATTTTAGGAAAGGTGATTGATTTCAAGAAACACCACCAATACTCATTAGAATACAACACACGGGAGATGGATGGTCACGCAAAATCTGCAGAAGGATCAGCCATACACGATAGAGGAACAAGCTACTTTGATAACCCGCCTTTAAGCTCCATACAATAGATGGTTATAGAATGCAAACAACACAACACAATGCAAAGTAAATAACGTACTCACGCATTAACTAAAAATACATCATAAACATCACAGAACAGAAAGAAAAAAAAAAACAAAAACAAAAACAATACAATAACAAAACAGCATTTCGAAAATTTTGATCTCTATAAATATCATCTGTAAGAAGGCAATTCTTTATCGTATCTGAATATCCAAACTCATAATTTAGTAAAGTTACCTTTCACCTTCTGCCACACCCACTACAATTAACACTACTATCACTACTACTTACATTCGCTTCAATTCATCATGTGGTATGTACTTGCCCTTTTTTTATTAATTATTATTTTTTTTAATTTTCCTTTTTTTGGTTAATGCCAACGCAGCACAATTCCCAATACTAACATCTCCCGCCCTTTCTTTCTAGTGGTATATTCGGATACGTTAATTTCTTGGTTGACAAGAACAGAGGTGAGATCATCGACACCTTAATCGAAGGTTTACAACGTTTGGAATACAGAGGCTATGACTCTGCTGGTTTAGCCGTTGATGGACACTTGGTCAAGGATGGCGAGAGTGGTGAAACCATGAGCAACATTATTGTCAAGTGTCCAGGAAAAGTCAAGGTTTTAAAGCAAAAAGTGCACGATGACGAGATTGATAGAAGTGCCGTTTTCGACAACCACGCAGGAATTGCCCATACTAGATGGGCTACTCATGGTCAACCAAAGGAGCAAAATTGTCACCCTCATAGATCAGATGCAGCCAAGGGTGAATTTATTGTTGTTCATAACGGTATCATAACCAACTTCGCCGCTTTGAGAGAGTACTTGTTGTCAAAGGGACATAAATTTGAGAGTGAAACTGATACTGAGTGCATTGCCAAGTTATTTAAACACTTTTATGATTTGAACTTGAAAGCTGGTGTGTCCCCTGACTTCAATGAATTGACCAAACAAGTTTTGCACGAGTTGGAGGGCTCTTATGGTTTATTGGTTAAGTCATTCCATTATCCTGGCGAAGTTTGTGGTACGAGAAAGGGGTCTCCTTTATTGGTTGGTGTCAAAACTGATCGTAAATTGAAGGTTGATTTTGTTGATGTTGAATTTGAAAATAATGCTTCTGGCGCTGTTGCCCAACAGCAGATTGGTCAAACTTTGTCTGCCCTCAGTGGTCCTAATGGCGCCACTGCTCAAGATTTGGGTTTCATTCCAGTAGCTCCTGGTGAACAAAACTTGAGAACTTCACAATCGAGGGCGTTCCTTTCTGAAGATGATTTACCAACTCCAGTTGAATTCTTTTTGAGTTCCGATCCGGCATCTGTGGTTCAACATACCAAGAAGGTTTTGTTTTTGGAAGATGACGATATTGCTCATATTTATGATGGTGAATTGCACATTCACAGAGCTTCCACCAAGAGTGCTGGTGAATCCACTGTTCGTCCAATCCAAACTTTGGAAATGGAATTGAATGAAATTATGAAGGGTCCATTCAAACATTTTATGCAAAAGGAAATTTTTGAACAACCTGATTCCACATTTAACACCATGAGAGGTAGAATTGATTTTGATAAAAATACCGTTACTTTGGGTGGATTGAAAGCATGGTTACCTACAATTAGAAGATGTAGAAGAATCTTGATGATTGCTTGTGGTACTTCGTATCATTCTTGTTTGGCAACGAGATCAATTTTTGAAGAATTGACTGAAATCCCCGTTAGCGTTGAGTTGGCTAGTGATTTCCTTGATCGAAGATCACCAGTGTTCCGTGACGATACTTGTGTTTTTGTATCTCAATCGGGTGAAACCGCAGATTCCATATTGGCGTTGCAGTATTGCTTGGAGAGAGGTGCATTAACTGTTGGTATTGTCAACTCTGTTGGTTCATCAATGTCTAGACAGACTCATTGTGGTGTTCATATCAATGCAGGACCTGAAATTGGTGTTGCTTCTACAAAGGCTTACACCTCACAATACATTGCTCTTGTCATGTTTGCCCTTTCGTTATCCAATGATTCAATTTCAAGAGTTGGTAGACATGAAGAGATTATCCAAGGTTTACAAAAGATTCCTGAACAGATTAAACAAGTTTTGAAATTGGAAGACAAGATCAAGAAGTTGTGTAATGATGATTTAAATGACCAGAAGTCATTGTTGTTGTTGGGTAGAGGATACCAATTTGCCACTGCTTTGGAAGGAGCTTTGAAAATTAAGGAAATTTCATACATGCATTCAGAGGGTGTCTTGGCTGGAGAATTGAAACATGGTGTTTTGGCATTGGTTGATGACAAATTACCAATCATTGCATTTGCTACTCGTGACTCGCTTTTCCCCAAGACCATGTCGGCAATCGAGCAAGTCACTGCTAGAGATGGAAGACCTATTGTCATATGTAACGAAGGTGATGCTATCATATCGAACGACAAGGTTCATACTACGTTGGAAGTTCCACAAACTGTTGATTGTTTACAAGGGTTGTTGAATGTTATTCCTGTGCAATTGATCAGTTATTGGTTGGCAGTTAACAGAGGCATCGATGTTGACTTCCCTCGTAACTTGGCTAAATCGGTTACTGTTGAGTAAATGGGAGACCAGAGGCAGGGAGAGTTATACATACACACAATTACACACACGCATATATTATATACACACATAACAAATAAGAGCTAAAAAAAAAAACGTCTACTTTCATCAACTAAATTAAGAAAATAGTATCGAATCGTTGCATTTATATTTAGTTATGTACACGTGTAGCCGCCGCCATCAAGCTGCGTCAACCTATCCAAAGCGTGCCCCCTCATTTCGCGTCTGGCCTCTCCTTTCCTTTGCTCCTCCATCTACTTCCTAGTAAAAAACTGGCTGCTTCCCAAAAACGCAGCGCTAGAATCCAAAACCAGTTCACCCAAACTCAAATATTTCCCAGCATACGACTTGATATCCTTATTTTCAATCAAATCCAAATTCGGTTGGACGCCAGTAGCACGCTTCATACCGGCCAAGAATCCGCTAATTAAAACCAAGTCGACTCCGATGTGGGCTAATCTACCAATCATGATATCTGGGATATATTATTTTAACTGTATCTGTGTCTGTGTCTATATATGTGTGTGTGGGGGGGGGGGGTTGATCTAGTGTGGGGAGTAGTATTATGTGTGTAGGTTATTTATGTTTGTTTATACGATTGAAAGTGTGTAGAATATTGCAGGGAGATAAGGTTCATGTGTGTGTGTGTGTGTGTAAGTTGTGTGTGATTTTGGCCTCTTGAGTACATTTTCTGTTGTTTTTGGTAAGCAGTACACGACTGGTATTATGTTTGTAGTCGTTGTTATTGTATGAGGGTTGGTTGCCTGTCTACGACACATTCAAATGCAGAATCAGAGAAAGTTAGAAGAACCACATTACTTATTACTATGGGCATGTTGTCACTCAGTTATTGGCGAAGTATGCTCATAAAATTATGTTCGATTTGCATACCAATCACGTGATTGTTTTAGAAAGATAAAATTTGAAAACGAGAGGAGCACACAATACACATAAAAAAATTCTTGAAATTGAAAGAAAAAAAATCACTAGCTCACGTGATTTTTCTTTTACTTCTTTGTTCCACATTCTGGGCAGACTGTTTGAGTCAGTAAAGGGGCTTTTTTAATAGTAACACTTCCCCCTCTAAATCATAGGACAGCATGCGCGTTTCAACATGATTGCAGTTCCTAGGAGGGATCCTCTAGAAAGGCATCAAAGAAGAGAGCTTCTGTTTACAACATTAAGCTGAAGTTTTGTTTAATGGATGTAGAGGGGATATACTTAGAAGTACTAAAACATACTACAGGACTGTATTTTGTTCAAAATACACTGAATATATAAGCAATCTTAAACCTGCACGCATTGGCAGCATGTATGAGTGGACCGACAATGAGATTACAGTCTGATGGGCTCTTTCAATTATGCCGTTTTCTTATGGGTGGTATGGAGACATTTACTGTCAACAACCTAAATCTTAACCATTGTAACATATGTTAAAGTTTGTTATGAGGTAGTCCCCATTTTGCAGTAGGCTCTTGTACCTTTGATACTCTGTTCTCACTCTGTCTACTCGTACATCTTGTTGCACTTGTTTTGGTGTAAGCTACAGACTGTGTGCAATTTTTTTTTCTCTCTTTCTATCGTTCTCAGCTTCCATCAAATACAAAGTGTCAAAAAGTGTCAACCATCAACCACCATCGCCCACTATCACCTTCACCACCACCACTATGTCGAATAGACCAACAGGGCCTCGTAATCGCATACAACCTCCATCCGGTCCGTCAAGGCTGAGGCATCAAGGCTACCGTGGCGGGCGTGACGAATATAGACCAAGTTATAGAAATGGCCCTCCAACTGGCCCTCGCAGTCAACAACAATTACAACAACAACAACAACAACAACAACGATCAACACCACCACCACCATCGGCACCATTGGCACCAGCGTCCTCATCACTATCCAAACCACCAGTTAGACCGTCTGGACCTGCTAGTAGCTCATACCGATCGTCTAGCCCTAGTGCACCAGGTGGTATCAAGCGTCCACTTCCATCAGGACCATCAAGTTTCAAGAAAAGGCGTGATTTCAACAGCATCAACAGCAATCGATCCAACTCCAAAAGAAGCTCATACGTACCTAGCGCAGTCAAGAAGGAGGCGGAACCTGCTTTGTCTCGTGATCAGATATACTCAATAAAGGAGCTGCGAGGTAGTGCCATATATGGACGAGTTCAACAGGTGGGGGAAGGTACATACGGAAAAGTATACAAGGCAAAACATTCTATAACTAATGAGTGTGTAGCAGTAAAGAAATTGCGACTAGAAAGCGAACGTGAAGGGTTCCCCATAACTGCTATACGTGAGATAAAACTTTTGCAATCATTTGATCACCCAAACATTGTTGGATTATTGGAAATGATGGTTGAACATAATCAAATTTATATGGTTTTCGATTACATGGATCATGACTTGACGGGGTTGCTTACACATCCGGAGTTGGAGTTGCAAGAATGTCATCGCAAGTTTATTTTCAAACAATTGATGGAAGGATTGGATTATCTTCATGAGAAAAGAATCATTCATCGGGATATCAAGGGCTCAAACATCTTGTTGGATAACTTGGGCAATTTGAAAATCGCTGATTTTGGTTTGGCTAGAACAATGAAGATTTTGGGTGAGGGTGAAGTTGCTGACTTCACCAATCGAGTGATTACAATTTGGTATCGACCACCGGAATTGTTGCTTGGTGCTACTGATTATGGACGTGAGGTTGACATATGGGGTGTTGGGTGTTTGCTTATTGAGTTGTACACCAAAATGGCTGCTTTCAGGGGTATGGATGAAATCAGTCAATTGAGCAAGATTTTTAATATATTGGGAACACCAACTTTGGAGTCATGGCCTCAGATTGATAAGTTACCTTGGTTTGAGATTTTGAAACCGAAAATCAACATTGCGTCTAAATTCGAACAAAAATATAGCGATGTAATGACGGTGGAAGCTTTCAAGTTGGCAGAAAAATTATTGGCATTGAATCCCAAGGGTAGACCCGCAGCTCATGAAGCTTTGCAAGATGAATATTTCACCAAGGACCCATTACCTGAGCCGTTGACGTTTTTGAAAGATTTGAAAGGTGAATGGCACGAATTTGAGACAAAGAAAAGGAGAAGAGAGGAAAGGAAAAGAGTGAAAGAGGAGGAAGATGCTGAATATGCTGCTAGTAAACTGAAAGCCAATGGTAGAGATGGAGAAAAGGAAAGGGAGAAGGACAAGGGTAGCACTCGTGCCAATAGTGTAGGAGATACTGCTGAAAGTGTAGCACACGAGACCGGTAGTGAGAAAGTGTCACCGGACCTATACACAGGAGGATTATCGGGGAAATCATAGCAAAAAATGATAGTGAAGGTTTGTTCAAATATATTTTTGAAAACTCTTGTCCTTGAATTTACACAACAAACAACGAATATCAAACTTTTGCACATCATTCAAAATGCTATCATTAGTTGTTTCGTTGGCAGTTGGACACCTTGTATCAGCATTGTTTATAGACACTTCAAACTACCTGCCATACCCACCATCGTCGGATGAACCATTAATATACCACAATTCCACAACCACAGACGCAACAAAGCAAGCATACAAAAGGCATCCGTTTTCGCTTCAATATAATAAACTTTACGGCAAGCAAGTGGTTTCGTGTATGCAGCAAGTAGAAGCTTTGTTATTGAATGAACTGGGAGACTGTTTACTGCCAATTTCGGCTGCTGCTGCTGCTGTATCATTCAACTCCACCAAGGTCGAGGATTTCGATTGCCAATGCCTATTTATGAAGTATGTTGATGAGGACTGTTTTGATACGGGCTTAAATGACAACGGATTATGGGATTTGGAGAAGTTGGACTACCCCCAGTGCAAGTTCAGCGCGTAAAGTGATGGAGGGATGGATAGCATATCAGAATGTTGTTGGGGCTCGAGTGGTGGCGATCTTTGCAACCAAGAAGGGATAACATGTATATAAAGATGCTCTTGAATAAATCATAGTGCTAAGGTAATTTGGTCATTCGAGGTTTGTGCTTCGCTGCATATTGCGTACAGATAAAGTGTAGTTACCTTCTTGTGAAGTTCAAGGTCTCATACTCTGACCAGTTACAGGCTATCCTATCCCGGCTTGAATTTCTGGAGCGAGATAGAGTGGGTGTGAGATTGATATAGTTTACACTTAGCAAAGCTGAAGTTCTTTGGCATGTGGCTCTGGGTATATGTATGCCTACACTTGCACATTTTCAAGTGGATCTGGCTGTGTACTTAGGACAATCAGATCATGGAACATAGTGGGGAAGATCCGAAAAGAAAACAAAGATAGAGTGAGGCGGGGAGAGAGGATGAAAGGAGATTTCATCACGTCCTTTTTTTTTTTTCTTTTTGTCTTTTTCTACTGACGCTCTCTCTTTAAAATTAAAGACAAGCCCCGGTTTAGTTTATTACAGCATTGGCACTTTTAGCAACTAACACTTGTTACAAACCAAACACAAGCTCCTGAACCACACCTAACATACTTGAGAGTAGTTATTTGCTATCCCATACAATTTTGTCAACAACGTTACTGCGCTAATTGTGTTCGGCATCAACGCTTTCGCTCTCCACTTGCTCCTTCCTAAAGCTTTTCTCCCATATCGAATTCAAGTTGCAATAGGAGCCACTTTTCACACGGCAACACCTGCAAACACTTAGATAATATGGGTTCATGCACCTCAAAAGACCCTGCACAAGGCGGTAGTAATTCCAAACCAGCTAAGTCAACTCAAGTGAGACGACAAGAACAATCACAGGCTGTTATTAATCAGCAATCGCAAAATCCTTCATCATCTAATCTACATTCAGCCCAACAACAGCAACTGACTGGATCTACTAATGGACATGAAAAATCCAATGGCTCTACTCTAGATAACAATGGACAATCGGCATTAAGTCTGACTAATCAACAAAATACGGGTATTCCCAATAATGGCGGAATGGCCAATGGCACAGTGACAACTACTCCTAATGGCAACGGCACAATTTCCAATGGCCAAACTGTCAACCCAGTTGATGCCGCAGCCAAATCAAACACAGAACACGAGGTCAAGGTATTACTTTTGGGATCCGGAGAAAGCGGTAAATCCACAATTGTAAAGCAAATGAAGATTTTGCATCAAAATGGATATACTCAAGAGGAATTGTATGAATATAAACCGTTTATTTACAAGAATGTCATGGATTGCATCAAGAACGTCATTAACGCTATTATTGACTTAGACCCGGAGTTGATTAAACCGAAAGAAGGGGGTGTTAATGATGTCGGTGCTGGTGCTGGTACCACACCAACCGAAACCCAAGATGCCCCAGAAGTTGTGAATGGAACCTGGCGCAAGCATGTACTTGACTACGATTCTTTGAATGAAGTATTGGACTACGAAATTTTGCTTGATGGAACCAACGATGCCGTATTTGATCCTTCAATAGCGGAAAAAATTGAACGAATTTACAACACACCTGAAGTTAAAGACTTTATGATTCATAAACAAGGACAATTTTATCTTATTGATTCTACAGAATATTTCATGACAAATTTGAAACGCATTGCACAACCCGACTACGTGCCATCTACAACCGATGTGTTACGTACCAGAAAAAAGACATCCGGTATATTTGACTTCGTTTTCGATATGGGCAATGATCTCCACATTCACATGTTTGATGTTGGCGGACAACGATCAGAACGTAAGAAATGGATTCATTGTTTTGATAATGTTACCTTGATCATATTCTGCGTCTCGCTTTCTGAATATGATCAAGTATTGTTGGAAGAAAATAATCAAAACCGGTTAGAAGAAAGTATTGCGCTATTTGATTCAGTTGTTAATTCCAGATGGTTTGCCAGAACTAGTATTGTGTTGTTTTTGAACAAGATTGATGTCTTTGCTGAAAAATTACAATATTCGCCTTTGGAGACCCATTTTCCTGATTACACTGGGGGTAATAACATTAATAAAGCGGCAAAGTATATTCTTTGGCGATTTAATCAAGTGAATCGATCAGGATTGAATATTTATCCTCATGTTACTCAAGCCACCGATACCAGCAATATCCAGTTGGTGATGGCTGCTGTAAAGGAGACGATCATGGAAAATACATTAAAAGATAGTGGACTTATATAAGCTAGTTTCTATAGTTTGTTACTTGTAATAGAAAAAAAAATGGAAAGTAAGAAAGAGAGTTTGCTAAATGGAGCACTAATATGCAGCGCCGAGCTAGCAAGTGAACACAACGTGGTCGGTGGAAACTTCTCCTCATAAGGATTCATAACTCAGCAGTTTTGCTAAAGTTGCTGTCCACATCACTGAAACACAGTTGAATTGGACTGTATGAGAGTTCTCATAACCACTAGATGGGCATCACCTTGCGTTGAAATTAAGCAACATCTATTTTGCGCCAGTGGTTTGTATACGTCTTGATTTGTCATTGGTGGATGGGACTTGTGACAAATTTTGCGCCTGCTATTGTTATCTCATTTAATTCCAACTCGTTGATTTTATTGTTGCCCATTTAAACTTCCTGTGTACAGAAAGTTCACCTACATATTTGTTGGTTGGGAGAGCAGTGCTCATAACCAAGAAAGAGTAATCACCATTCCCCGATTTCGCAATTACCCGTGGCAACTAGAGTGTCAACTGTGCGTCCATGATTATGTATGGAGATTCTCTTGATGAATTTGTGCAACAACTCTCTTCGTTACACAAAATATCAAATTTACTCCTTTGGAGAGACTGATGTCAAATACAAGCAATCTTGGTTCGTATTTGCATTGTTTGGACTGACATGAGAAACATGCAAAACACGGGGACTATGGTTGTCCCCTCATTTTGTATCCTACCTTTCAAAGACAAGGATTGCCCTTGATACCTTTAGCAAAGTTTGCAGCACCAATAACCACACAAAACCACTACTTTTCTGAGTGAAGCTTAGCAGTGAGCCAGAAAAGAGAGTCAATCTGAGACTGTCAGCAATCCTTTCCATTCTCAGTTGGTATTTCCTCATGGCATGATTATAATTGTCATGCATCGAACAATAAACGTGGTCAACAATGGGTAATTCCGCTCTGTCAATAGTAGTACAAAGGGTATACAAACCAAAACAATGAAATGCCAAACTACGTCATGACAATGAAGGATACCCCATCCTAGTTGCTCTCTTCCAATGGTTATGAGATATGCAACCTGCTTACAGCATTGAAAATGTTGGGTAGAGAAAGCAGAGGGGTGAAAAAAACTGACCGCAATGGACTTACCCTTATTGTCATATCATACACTCGTGGTTGCCACATTTCCAGAGCAACCTCCACTGAAATCTATATAAAACTTCCATCTTGTCCCCGGTTTTCACACCATTCACCACCACCAACAAACCCACCAAAGAACAAAATTTAAACATTATGGTTTTGATTAAAGCTTTGATTGTGGTGGCTATTTTTGCTGCTATCACCACGACCACCCCTATTGAAAAGAGACATGACAAGTACATTGCTTACCCAGTTGAACAGGTTGAAGATTCATCTATTCTTGGAAAGAGATACGAGCACAACGACATGTATGGTTTTGGTGGACTCGGTTCGAGATACCTTACAAAATTGAAAGTTGGTTCCAGCAAGCAAGAAGTTCAGGTCATTGTTGATACCGGAAGTTGGGCATTGAATTTCCCCCACGTTGGTGGTAAATGTTTAGGAAAGACATGTCTGCCTGAGGATTCATTTGATCCAAGCAAGTCTAATTCATACAAAAACCTCACCAAGTACAGTAGTTCCGGGTATGGAGGCGGAGGTGCAAAAGCTAATGGATACAAGCTGACTGATGATTTGTACTTTGATGATGGTAAAAAGATCCCAAATTTTGAATTCACTTTGCTTGATTCAGTTGCGTTTCCAAGAGGGATTTTTGGTATTTCGCCATACAATAATCCAAACGTGTCATATGCCTTGGCTGCTAAAAAGGCTGGGCTCATTAACCAAGCTGGATTTTCGCTCTATGCTGGACCAGATGACAAAGGAGCTTTGCTCCTAGGTGGTGTTGACAAGGCAAAATATGAAGGTGAGTTGGCGCTCTACAAGAGCACTTTATCCGTCCCCGCTAAGTCGATCACCTTAGCTAATGGTACTGTCATTAACTTTGCAAGTGTCTTGGCCTTAGATACAGGTGATGCCGGTTTGGGTTTAGATCCAGAAATCACCGAAAAGTTGTTCAAAGAAGTTAGTGACGAGAGCGGCAAGCTTTCCTGTGACATTGCTCTAAGTGGGAATAAGACTTTGACATTTGACCTCGGAAAGAATGTCTCGATTGATGTACCTTACTCAGATGTCTTTTACTGGAATGCTGATAAGACTAAATGCACTTCGCGTATTGTATCATCTGGCAAGCACGGAGCAACTCAAAATGTGGGTGTACCACTCATCAAACATATCTATCTTACCCACAATTTGGATACGGGAATACTTGGAGTAGCCCCGGTGAAGCACACTGATGAAAGTGATATTGTTGACTTCTGGTTCTAGACGGAGCGTTTCATAGACTGTATACTTTGGATACAATTAAATGAGAGGCTACAATCATATCACGTAAAAAAAAAAAGGGCAGTGAAGAGACGCTTACAAGGGCAGTCTGATAGGCACTAGAGAATAGTTTTGGTTCTTCATAATTACATTAAATTTAAGTCAGTCATAATTTCCTTGACTCTCATGCCTCAGAAGTTGGGGCGGCTGTTGATGGATTTGGACGGATATACTGGTTGTGACGCGGATTGAAGCCTGCCTCACCTAGAGATGCACCACCCCTGCCTCTGCCATGACCTCTACCTCTACCCCTGCCTCTACCTCTTCCTCTTCCTCTTCCTCTTCCACGCTCACCTCTGCCTTTGGTAGGAAATGAAGTAGTTTGATTGTCTTCTTCATCACCAGAATCTTGGTCATTTGCTGGTTGTTCTTCGTTTGCTTGTAACGAAGAGGCTTTAGGCTCTTCCGATGCATTCGAGATTGAAGTTGCTGCATCATCGATAGAGTTTGACGATACCCCAGTAGTACTCACCGTATTCACATTTGTACTGGTAGATGTAGTTGTTGCATTTGCAGAGACTGGTCTCAACTTTCCAACTGCAACATCACTACTGAGGCCAGACGAAACAGATGGCATTGAAGCCAGATGAAATTGTCGGTGTTGTGGGTTTGCAAGGTCATTCTTTTCAAACAGTTTATGTGAATGAGGTTGTTTTCTGAATTTCTCTGGGACGTCATTCTCGGTGGCGTGAATTGACTCCAAGGAATTATTAATTGTGAGATTCAGCCCAATTTCGACGTTATGTGAATGATCAAAAGGTTCTTTTGTTTCCACATCTTTGCGATCAAAACCATTGGCAATCTTGTCGGTTCGGCTTCCACTGCGCTCGCCGCCAGATCCTTCACCAAATCCACCCCTTCCTCTTCCTCTTCCCCTTGCTCCACCTCTTCCTCTACCTCTACCTCTCCCTCCTCTTGATGCGCCGTCCAATTTTGATTGGTTTTCGATAGACCCCTGTTGTATTGAGCCCTCATCCTCAAGGGAGAGACTTTCGAATAGCTTCTTGAAGTTGGGCCTATCTTTATTCGATGATTCGCGTCTTTGCCCTATTGGACGTTGTGAAAGTGAGCTTTTGCGACTACCATCTAGGCGTCTATCTTCTTGGTCCTGCCTTTTTGAATTAGCAACTGGTTGCTCCTGTTGCAGTTGCTGGCGCTGAGAAGGCGCACTCGTTGGTTCTTTTAATTTGCTCTCGTTCGACAAAGCTGCTGAAGTCTCCGCCTCAACTGCAAGCTCATTAACATTGAGCTCAAGCTTCACAGTTGGAGGAGATGATAAGGTTTTCTTCTTCAATATTACTGGTGGTTTGACTGTTGGGGTGGGCGGAGTACTCTTACCACCTGTTGGTGAGCCCGCGACAAAGTCTGTGCGCTCGCTTAGCAACTGAGCCAATGATTTGCCTGTACTGTTTGCCCAACTGGGACTGGACGACGACCCGGTGGCAGCACTTAAATTTGGAGCGGCTTGTTGCGGTTGGGGGTGTGCAGAAACATTCTGTTGTTGTTGGTGCTGCTGGTTCTGCTGGTTCTGCTGGTTCTGCTGGTTCTGCTGGTTCTGCTGGTTCTGCTGGTTCTGCTGGTTCTGCTGGTTCTGCTGGTTCTGCTGGTTCTGCTGGTTCTGCTGGTTCTGCTGGTTCTGCTGGTTCTGCTGGTTCTGCTGGTTCTGCTGGTTCTGCTGGTTCTGCTGGTTCTGCTGGTTCTGCTGGTTCTGCTGGTTCTGCTGGTTCTGCTGGTTCTGCTGGTTCTGCTGGTTCTGCTGGTTCTGCTGGTTCTGCTGGTTCTGCTGGTTCTGCTGGTTCTGCTGGTTCTGCTGGTTCTGCTGGTTCTGCTGGTTCTGCTGGTTCTGCTGGTTCTGCTGGTTCTGCTGGTTCTGCTGGTTCTGCTGGTTCTGCTGGTTCTGCTGGTTCTGCTGGTTCTGCTGGTTCTGCTGGTTCTGCTGGTTCTGCTGGTTCTGCTGGTTCTGCTGGTTCTGCTGGTTCTGCTGGTTCTGCTGGTTCTGCTGGTTCTGCTGGTTCTGCTGGTTCTGCTGGTTCTGCTGGTTCTGCTGGTTCTGCTGGTTCTGCTGGTTCTGCTGGTTCTGCTGGTTCTGCTGGTTCTGCTGGTTCTGCTGGTTCTGCTGGTTCTGCTGCTGGTGCTGGTGCTGCTGGTGCTGCTGGTGTTCATGTTCATGTGATCCTCTTCTTAAGATGGAAACCAGTGATCGTCTATCCGTGTTTGAAAACCTTCGTCCATGGGAAAGTTCACTTCGCTTTTGTTGCGGGGATGCAGATTCATGGAATTTTTTAATGACAGCTTCGATATCTACACTGGTATCATCACCAAGTGTTTGTACTGTCGTTTGATTCAAATTTATCAACTTCTTTTCGATTTCCTGTTGACGCGAAACAGTGTCAACAGGTTTTGCACCTCCAAATGGGTTGGGTTTAGGCTTATTTGGTTGGCTAGGCATATGTTGCATTGGTTCTTGTTGATGAAGTGGTGGGGGTGCATTTCCACTTGCAAGACCGTGAAAGGGTTCATGTGCAGGAAACTGTGTATCAAATGAGGGTTGGCGATTATGTAAAGGTGCATGATGTCTTTCGGGTGATAGAGGCATACCCCCACCGGTTCTTCCTTCAAAGATTGGACGCGAGTGTGCTGGTGGCTGGTGGTGACGGAAACCACGATTGAATCCAGGTCCAGGTCCAGGTCCAGGTCCAAGTCCTAATCCTTTATCCAGATCCAATTCATCTAGTAACTGCATGTGTCTAGGTTGCTTTTGTTGTTGCTTCTGAGCAATAAAGTCATGTTGGATTTGTTGGATTTCCTGGTGATGTTCCTGATTGAATTGAATGCAGTGGTGGAAATCATTAAAGTCCGCAAGTTCAACAATCACTCGTCTGTTTCCCTTGTAATACAAGTCATGCCATTTTAGTGCCTTTGACACATCCTGGGCTGATTCCAACTCAACAAACGCAACCTGTCTGATAACATGTGTTTCCAATATATTTGATGCAGGATCTGTCAAAATCTTGAATTTAACAAAGGGAGTGAATCTACTTTGAAATAAATCCTGAATGAACGCGTCATTTGCAGTGACAGGTAAGTTGACCAACTTCACAATATACGGAGGCCCTAATGAGCTGGGTTCGTGGTGGAAACCACCTCCTCTTCCCGAATACCCTTCGTCATATCCATAGGGCTTCTCAATTGGGACCGAAATTGATGCCATGTCCACATCTATATCTGCCCAGGATCCGCCAAATGCTATTAGTAATCACTGTTAGTATCGGACTCTTTTGTGTCAGGTGGTGCTTGGATACATACTTTCATCCTGAAGGAAATCTTGCAAACTCATCTTCTTTGGAGGGGCTGTTAAACAAAAAAACGTTAGTACTTTGAATTTTTTGTTCATACCATTAATCAAGTTTCAGATATAGCGGGAAAACATACTCATCTTGTTGCGTTATAATTGACAGTAGACACTCAGAAAAAGGTACCAAAACGATGGATAGTGGTGTTTAATTATACGTATCAGATGATGATGTTTGAGGACCAAATCGTAAATTTTTTTTTTTCCTCACACTCAAACACACACACACTCTCTCTCCTTCTTTTGTGTGTGTGTGTGTGTGTTTGATATCGTGATTTAGATCGAATTAATCATGTGTACCACACATGTCATTACAGTACAAGAGTCGTTCTTGGTTTTAATGTCATTACATCTGCAAGGTGTCATTCGTTACTCTCCTCTGCTTTAGGGGGAACTTATTTCGAAATGATTCTAGCGTCTATCTGTCGTCTATATACAGTGCATTCACAACACACGAATGTGGAGCTCAAATTCTTTGTGTACTTTTCTCTGGTTTTTCACTTGCAAATGTAGCCGCCACAATTAACGGAAGTACCAAACTTACATCAGCATACACTTTCACAGATTTGGCGTCCGCTTTGATCTTTCCCCAACTGATTGCTTCATCTGGCCTTGCTCCGGCATCGGATCCATCAAATTCTTGTCCAGTGTTTATGTAAACAGCATAATCAGCACCATTTCTCATTAAGCATGCATTACAGATGTGATGTTTAATCAAACCACCTCCCAAAATGAGCATACCTGCTTTTGACGCTTCCATCGACATTGAGTTGATCTTTCTAATATCAGCAACAATGTCTAGACGCAATTGTTGAGGCGATGCCTTGAACGTATGAAAAAATAACATATCACCAATAGATCCATCAGTCAACGCAGGACAAAATATGGGTATTTGGTTCTTATGTGCCCAATAAAGTACTGAAGTTTCATCATTAATTTCTTTTCCTAGTCTATCAATGAGTCTCGATGGAGTCCAATTGGCTTTTGAATTAGCATCAAATGCATTAACGCCTTCCTTTGCCAATTCCTCTTGTTGCTCTTGTAGAATTTGATCAAATATAGGAACAATCCACTCTTCGAATTTACAATAGTTATCGTTTGGAACCAACAAGTTACCAATTCTGTTCATCCCTTGGTCTCGCAATCCTTTTCCGGGTAAAGTGTAATCTCCCATGTATGTAGGAGCCAAACACTTGATCAAATCTTCCTCCACACCACCAGCAGTAGCAACAACGGCACTCACCATCTTATGCTGCACTAAATAACGCAAAGTATCTCTCAACCCACTCGAAATCAAATTCGATGTGTAACCCATGAAAATGGTTGTTTTTTGAAACCCATCGTCATCGAATTCTCCGCCTTGTTTATGCTCCTCTAGTTCAGATTTGTGTTTGCCTCTCCAAGTTCTCATTTCATCAATAATTCTACATGCTTGGGATAAGGAACTAGCCTGGAACCCCATTTTGGACATTGATGAGATTAGGTCTTTGGCCTTCATATTGTATGCGCTATCTTTTGAATAATCGACACCACTCACCTCTTCAAATGAGTCAGGAACTGGGACTGAGTGTTTCAAGACGGCATCAGATGCCAAATTGGGAAGGTTTTCGGAACCAGTCATCGTATACGAGGGAAGGAGTATTGTCTGCTAAAATTGGCTTGTCTTTGCAATGAGATGGGTGAAAAATTGGAGAAGAGAGAGAAAAAAAAAAAAAAAAATTAGTGGTCTCGCAACAGTCGATAGTCTCGCGTGAGTGATAAGAGTTTGCAGACAGAGTTTAGAGATTGAGTGAAGAAGCAAAGGGGATGTGTCAAATAATGAAAATCGGTTCCAGCTGTAAGTCGGTATCTCTCATTGACATATCTGTTTTGCATGTACGGAACATTACTATGAGTCTACGCACGTTTCACAAACACGGCACAACAGCCCTATACCAAGCGATTTCGAACCAAAGTATCTCTCTTATATTGCGACCCATGAATAAATACAGTCTATACTCTCTCTCCAACTCTCTCACCAGTTCTTTCCTTCACCTCAGGACTCCAACTTTGACATTTTGGTTTTGCAGTATTATAGCAAACATAAGCACCGGGAGTATTGGTCAAATTTGGTTTATGATGAGCAGGTAAAGGATATGCCCGAGTAGTCTTCTCATCCCCCTGTAACTTGTTTGGTGGAGTATTCGTTCCATACCCCAACCAATAATGCCATCCTGGCTCAACTTGTGACATATCCGGCGACCAGTTGTTATATTCAACCCATCTCGTTCTTAATATAGTCTCTTCTGGTGCATCGGTTTCGTAGAATTTGTTGCCGTGGTCGTCTGTTCCTATCAAGGTACCACTCTTGACATCATTGTGTACTTGCAATTGCCAACCAGCTCTTCTCAAGCCTGACTTGTATATGTTCTTTGCAAAACGAAATATTGACGTAGACATAATTGAAAGTTATGCAATGTGTGTATATATGACTGGAGCGTGTTAAATACTGCTGTAGTAACTCAGTGGGACAGAAGATGATGAAGGAGATTTCTCACTGTCAATGTTTTTCGTGGGTAATAATTTAATTTTTGTTTTTGATTGGTTGCGTGCACCAGTGACCAAAAAAAAACAAAATAAAAAGAAATGGAAAGTACTGAAAGAACACAAGGTTATGAGAAGAGGGACAAGTAGCAGCACTGCGCTGAATGCACCTCTTTCAGCTAATATCACCACCACCATGGATAATGAGTATGCGAAGGAATTGAGCAATCTACGCAAATTGAGAGCAACCTTACAGGCCGTCAAAGAGTCCACTGACAAGATTTTGCAAGATGTGGAAACTGTATATAAAGATAACCACCCTCAGCTTTTAGAACAGTCTAAAGAACTCGAGCAGACTATAAACAAGATAATAAAGTGATATAGCTTTAGCGCTGATTGGCTTCCACTTGCACTTGTATAAAATACTTGTGCTTCGCAGGCTTCACCACAGGATGATAATTTTGGCTTATTTTAAACAAGTCGTCTTTGTTTGTCGACAAGATCTTGCCCAAGTGACTGATACTCACACCCAAATCCAGCGCTGTTTCACTCAATTGATGGTACCATTGTTGGATTAACGAGTTTTCAATAAAGTCTTTGTTTTGACGTGAAACATAACCTAACAATTTTTGTATTTGCTTTTCCACCGTCACCAAATCACTTTTGATCTTTGTTAATGATCCCAAACACTTTATCAAATTTGTATGATTATCCGTCTCGGGCTTTGTCAGAGCAAGTGCTTTTCGGTAGGCGTTGTACGATGGAAATTGAGGTACACCTATTGAAGACCATGGTTTCATTCTCAAATAATATAGGTGTTCCATTGACGTCAAGTTATTTGCTGGACCTATAGTGAAGTCAAGTAGTTTCAATTTTGAAAGAATGGCAAAATATCTTTTGAAACAATTGATCAAACATTGTAAAGTTTCGAACGATTCAGCGAGGTAGTCTTGATGGCGAATGCAGGATAATATTTGTGGAATTGTAACCTCTTGTCCGTGCTTTAACTGCTCCTTTAAAGTGTCCTTCTTTGGCCCATTCTTCAATTTCTTGATTTTTTTAGGCAATTTCTCTTCAATCAGATCCATCTTGCCCAAAAGAATCTTCTTAATCCGCAGTCTCAAATGTTGAATTAGATTGTCCAACAATATGTCCCCGTACCAATAGATCAAAAACAACTCGAATGGTTTATATAGTTCCAAACTAGTACCTCCTAGCAACAACTCAATCATCAATTCTGTTTTCTGATAGTATACGAACGATGTAATGGTAATTGCTGGATCATTGTCGTTGATCAAATCTCCAACTTGAAAGCTTTGAAACATTTGAATTTCAAATGCTTCCCATTCAACTTGTAAGGTGTCCCACACCACCAAACTTTTCGAAATTAGTTGCTGTACCCGGCACCGATTAGCCCCGTAAATGCAATGATTGTTGTACATGGCGCTATCCAAATCCTGAATGAGGGAACCGTGCTTCGTTAAAATCTCGGTCGCAGTGGACCCTTTGATTTGTGATAATTGAGGCTCAAGAGGCATCAAGAATGCAGAGTTTGGACCAACCAAGTTCTCAATTATCATACTTGTTAATTGTTGCAAGTGAATTGGGGAGCCAAAAATTGACTTGTCATCTCGAATGAAAAACAATTGAAATAATCCTCTTGCAAAGACTGAGAATTTGTCGATTGGGTACTTGATATTGAAGTGTAGATAGTCGTGAAGTTGGTTCATTGATTTGATGGTTGCTGCCTGTGTCACGTATGTTTTGACCACAGTGAATACCCCTAAAAGGTGGTCACAATAAGAAGTCTCGGAAATCGAGGCTAATTCAACAGGTACATTCGTATTCCCCATTTCAACTTGAATAAATTTCGAAAATACGCCCCTTGGTATTTTGGACTCATCGATTTTGCGATTTCTGACGTGGTTTATTTCTTCGATTGCCTCGTCACAGAAGGAAAAGAGTCCCTCTGGATATAGCTTGTTCTCCATGAATGGTATATGCTGAGACGTAATCTTTACCTCGAATTGATTCAAATACTGTACCAACTTCATCTGACTCATGATTATGTCTGAATGGTCGGTTTCATGACTCAAAATCCACTCAAACTCTCCATTGATTTCATCAATAACCAGTTGTGCTGATACTTCTGCAAAAAAATTCAAATCTTGACATCTTGAAATCAAGTCCTCCTCTTCGTATAAGAATGTCCTTGCTATGCTGATCGCAAACCCTACAAACTTGCACAATCCTTTCACAAAAACTTTCAAAACACGATGGACCAACCAGTAATCTGTATCTTTGCGATAGCTCTTCACCTTTAGTTTGGATGAACTGAAAGCACATTTGCTTTGTTTAGGATCTTTAAGGTAATTTTCAAGCATAGATTGGACGTACCGGCAACTGAGTACAGTTTCAGATAGACTGCGGCCCTCTAGCCAGTTTACCAATTGCGCAAGTAACTTACCTTGAATATTAACGATAGATGTAGCAGTCTGCGGTTGTGAACAGTCGAAAAACACGTCATCTTCCTCAAGTTCAATCATTCCTGTATCATGTCTAGGATTTAGCACTTCCAATGCTCTTGTTCCATCTAGCAATTCAAAGATAGCCGACTTTACAACCTTGTTTTCCTTTAATTGGTGTGCTGAATCAAACACATTTTGAGTTATATCGACTAGATCATCGTCATTTTGATTGAAAGTTAATGCGTCTTTGTGATATGAGTCTGTTAGTCATGTTCAATAGCATTGAATGTAGCTTTTTTGTGCACATACCTATATTTGGCAATGACATTGATGGACATAAATATGTTGCAGGTACTCTTCAGCCAACCGGATTCCTTAGTGAGTGAAAAATTTCTCGAGAGGTGGTGCTACCATTTAGTTTTTAGAGAGTAGTTCGTCACATATAGCAAATAATGGATTACCCAAGAAATGCTAGCGGGCCTTCGCCAGATATATAGATATCAAGACTGGAAACTACTTTAACAAAGAGGTGAAAAGAGCTATTGTTTTTGTATATTGGTGAAAGTTCCTTTTTGGAAATCGTGGTGGATATCTTCCGGTGACGATTCTTTTTCCCATATTTTGCAACCAAATTCTTGCAAGTGTCCGCTTTTGAAAAAAAAAAAACAACAATTGATGAGTGATCTAGAAGCACCATAAGCTAAAGGTGCCGATTGGCTTACAATAATTGTGCTACCCCTCAACCCGTAAATAATTCTGTACGAGATCTTGACCTTGGACTATGGAGATTGCACGTGATCGATCCACTGATGACGTACGCGCATAGCGTGCATGCAGAAGAAATCCTTGCGTGGATTACCCACAGTTTTGAGAATGAGTATGGTGGTTCATACAACCACAACTCGGATACTGCTCAGTTAAATAAAATGCTTTAGATTCAGTTGTTAGTTATAGATGAGAGACTGTACATCAGTCCTTCAAATGAGATTAGTTGTGTGAACAGAGGAGTCTAGAATTGGAAACACTAAAGAATTGTATGCAATGCAAAGGGGCCAAAGAAGAGAAAAAAGAAATTTTTATTTTTCTTTTGGGGTCGTGTACTTTCATACAAACTCTAATGTTTTGTATTGATTACTAATTCTCATATATGAGTGACTCTACAACAACGGTCATTTTCCATTTCCTAGCGTTAAAAATATCATTCAGAAAGTCAAATCTTTTAAGCAATCTACAACCACATCATACACCTGAGAGAGATCATTACAAGGACAGACGTTGATTAGAGACCCCTGAATAACAACAACTCACAGCACTTCTCTTTTTTCACTTCCTTATAAAGGGTCCAGTATTACTCCTTTCTTCTATTTTTGATTTTTTTTGCAATCCCCGAACCTCGCAATTGCTATAGATCTCCACTACCACCACCAACAACAGCAATGACAGATATTAAACGTAACTTCTCAGACGTGATGTCATACTCACCTGACACACCAGGTGAGTACGAAGAAAGTGACCAGAAGAAGCTTCATACAAAGCCAGGTAGAAAGCCAATCGAGACCGAACCAAAGTCGAAAAGAACAGCACAAAATAGAGCAGCGCAAAGAGCTTACAGAGAGAGAAAAGAACGTAAAATGAAAGAGTTGGAAGATAAGGTCAAGTCTTTGGAAGATGAGAATGTGAAAGCAATGACGGAAACAGATTTCTTGAGAGCACAAGTCAATATTTTGAAAAGCGAGTTGGTAAAGTATAGAGGATCAACCGATCTTCTGGATTTGAATCTCCCCAAAACTGTTGGTCATTTAAGTAATCCCAACCCTCAATCTAGCAATGTTAGCCTGTCCCCACAAGATAACGAGAGTCTATCGGGTACTTCAAAAGGATCAGTCTCAGACAAGGCTTCTACAAATTCGTCGATATCGAACAACTCACCGAACTATTCATTTGGCGCACCTTGGTCAAAGGACAATTTGAGACTTATGAAACAACAACAACAACAACAACAACAACAATTTAACCATACTCATCCGAGTAATGATACCAATGTACCGGATTTAGTATCTGGATCGTCGTCTTCAACCACACCATTGAATGATAACATACTTGTAACACCAGAAGGTGTCACGGATACTGCAGGTAAGAACGATATGTCGTTAAATTTTGCACGCAATTTTGAAGAGGAAGTAGATCCATTTTGCGTGAAATTGGGCGAGGCTTGTGGTACAAAGAAGGATCCTGTTCCCAAAGCCAGAAAGTCGATACCCAACAGTTACAACCAACTGAGGGCCACAACAGAATCCACGCAATTCAACTCTCCATTCTCAAACATGTCACCTACGTATCCAATATTTTCAAATGAGCTGAAAGTGGGGAACAATAGTGAATACAATGACAATGAATTGTTCAATTTGGATACAAACAATTTCGACTTCAACTTGGTTGACAACAAGTACAAAGACTCTGACGATCCATTGAGTTTCTTGAATGACAACGATTTCGATGTATCGCTAGCATTTGGTAACCCAAACAATAATAATAATGAGCAAAGAGATGTTGTTGATTTGCTAACTACCGAGGAATCCATGTATGACCCATTAAACAAGGACGAAGTGAATACCGATTTCAATTTCAATGATTTTATCAAGAACTCAATCACTGATATCAGCAGCAGAAGGTCGGTACTGAAGGAAACCAATGGCGCAACACCAGCTGATACTTCCATTCAACCCACCAAGGAAAAAGGTCGTGACATTCAAGAAGAGGACGATAGTAGCAGTGACGAGGTTGTTCCCGCCCCAAGGGCTACTATGAAGTGCAGCGAAATTTGGGATAGAATCACGGCCCATCCAAGGTATACCGAGATTGATATTGACGGGTTATGTAACGAGATGAAGAATAAAGCCAAATGCTCAGAGAAGGGAGTTGTTATAAATTCAGATGATGTAAGTAATTTATTGGAAAGAAGTGTTAGAAAATGAGTGAAAATATTACATGGTGCAGAATCTGGGGGCATTGCGAAGAGTTTGGGAGCTGGTGGTTTGTTTAGATCTTCCTTTTTCTTTCTTTCTTTCTTTCTTTCTTGTTTGTTTATTTTAATGTGTGTATTTAGCCTGGAGGAATTTACGTGATAAAGCATAAAGAGGATCTTGAACTTAATCGTAGGTGTCGTCTTCCAGCTCTTCTTCCACATCATCAATATCAGACTCACCTTCCATAAACTCTTCAAACGTTCTTTGTCTATGTGGCATACTGTTTGTTTTGATTACTGAAGCAGACCCAACATTCAATTCCTTTCCTTTCTGCCCATTCTTTCTCTTTTTCAAACTGGCCAGCTCATCTGAATTCTCAGACACAGTTTCTGCTTCGTCACCTGAACCCTGCATAACGATGTCATCATCGTCACTTCCGTACACTTGCTGCACGTCATTTGTATCGCCAGCATTCAGTCTATCCTGTGCATCGTCGTTGATGTCTCTTGGCTCTGGTTTCACTTTTGTCGGAGTGCTACTGGCTTGCCTTTCTTCACCCACTATGACCGCCTCATCAATCAACAACACTGAGTTGTTCCTGCTTCTGCCAGAAGGACTTGCTGAGCCTCTCTGAGATCTTCTCCTGTGCTTTTCCAAATCCTCTTGTTTTCCACGAACAATATCCAATTTATCCAACGTTGAATCGTGAAAATTCTGCAAGTTCTTCAAGGTAAGTCTGTCCATTTGGTAATCGAAATCATCCTTATACATTTCCAAAATATCCTTCATCCGGTCAATCTCCTCAACCAATTTCTGCAAAAGCGCACTTATGTCGTCCAAGTACCGAGCATCATGTCCATCGTCATCACGCTCAAATATCGAAATCTGAATCTTGGACAAGTTATTGATGATGGCTCGTCTGAACTCCTTCCCCAACTCTCTCACCTCAAATATTTCCATAATATACAATGCTTGCCAGATGTGTGGCCATTGACGAGTAAACAAACTACTTCCCTTAGTTTCTTTAGCTTGAGCAAGGTTCTGTGGATTAGCCCAATCAATCAACTGGGGAAGTATTTTACCTGGCTTCAATGTGGTTGTTTCCGACGCCTTCAAAAGCAAATCCCCCGAAACACTAGCCAATCCAAGCTGATGATTAGGGTGCGAGAAACAGTAAACGGGGATGCAAAATGCCAAAACCTGCTTCAATTCGTTATTCTTGGAGGCTCCGGATGTTGAGGAATTGAAATAACTCAACAACAAAGCAACAAACAATTCCTTCTCCAGTTCATTGTCTTCATCGTCTTCCTCTATAGTCTCGGCTCTTGCATTCTCAGCACCGCTGGCATCCTCCTCATTGTTAGTCTCCAGACTTTCTTCCTTATTGTTGTGGATTGTGTTTACAGTTTTGATCATAAAGATGTCAGCCAAAAACAACTTGCTGATACCCTCACCCATTAATGCCCTCAATTTCGAGCTATCATCGGAAAGCACCTTATAAAATAATCGAAGAAATCCAAACCTTCTCTCGTGAGCAATGATGTCAATACCAAAGGAGGATATGATATCGATAATACCGGTAATACAAATTAATTTGACCTCTTCACCCGAAGTTTTTGTTGTATTGAAAAAAGTTACAAGTGCTTCCTTGGCAATCGACTCATCAATAAGGGCATACAAACCCAAACATTCCAATGCAGTCAAATATAATGCACGATTGGATGTGCGAGTTAATGCGTAGTTAACCAAACCCGAATAAATTGAACGAAGCGATAGATGATGATCCAAATTGTCATCAATAAGCTCCAATGAGTGCTTTGTTAATTTCAAGCATCGAAGTAGGATCTCGTCATTTGGTACGGAGGGCCCAGTTTTCCTCTTTTTATGCGACTCTTCCCTTTCATCATCCGAGTCATCCATGTCTGAATCAGAAACGTCAGATAGGGAGATGTCGTCGTCACCATTTTCCGCATCCGACTCTTTATCTTTCCTACCTGCGCTTTCCCTTATTGCCAACGTACCGTTGTCTTGTCCATCAAATGTGTTTGCTGCGGAATGGTAAACATCCTCTGTATCGGTTATGTCCCCAGAGTCTCTGATATCAGTGATTATCTCCACTGTCATTGCAACAAAATCCTTCACATTAATTGAAATTTTGCGCAAAACTTTCAACGCATTGATAACTATGTCGTCTCCATCATTGCCCGCTTTATTGTTGACATCGTCTTGCTCAAAATTGTTTTCCTCGTGGAGTTGAGTCCTAATAACATTCAACATGGCCCGCCTTCCAACTTCATCGCTAAAGTCAAAGTCAATGCAGATTACAAGTAGCTGATTGGCAATAAATTTCAAATCTTTTCTCATTCCAATGTAATCTTCGAATTTGTCACGGTTTGCCTTTAGACGATTCAATTTGATCGTTTTCATTTCAAAACACTTCCTGTATTCCTCTTCATGATCTTTAAATTCCAGCTCCAAATTGTTAATCTCAGATTGAAGCTGCTGTTTCTCCTGCTGTTGTTCTTTTCGCCGTTGGGATTTAGCTTTCCTAGACTCGCCCAACACTTCTCCCGAACTTTCAAGTACTTGCATCTTTTTTACGCAAGCATGAAGTTTCAAATTTATCGCCGCCATTGAATTGTCGCATTCAAACATAGCATTCTCTATTTCATTGATTTCCTTTAGATAATCGTCGTACATCTTATGCGCTTGAAGATTATCCTGCTTGATGCTGCCAAGCATCCTCAAGTACTTGCTCAACGTATCAGCCAACTCTAATGGGTCGGGGAAGTTGGTCTCAATAACCTTGTAAAGTCTATTCTCATTACAGTGAGTGAAAAAGGCCCTCATCAAGTACGAACTCTCAATTGACAAGGATTTCCAATAGTCCGGGGTGATTTCAATTCTCTGAACTACTTCAGGTCGAGTTGTGAATAATGTTGACACTGCCCTTTCAGCTATTTTGCTACGGGTCACATTCATTAATTCGAGGAACTTGTTCAAGTCACCACCACAAGAGTCAAACCATGAGTTGCATAATAACTTGATAGCAGCATCAGCCACGTTCTTGTCTCTATCATGGAGTCCATATTGCATCAATATCTCCCTGTGCTTTGCCTTTAGATTGCTCATTTTGCCTAGCTCAGGTGTAATTTTCGAAAAAACAATTCTTCGATTGATACTATTGAGATCCTTAACTCTTTCCAAAAGAAGGTTGATAGTAGTTTTGCTCTTTTCTGTGTTTAGCATTGCAGTACGTCTAACTTCAGCACTGTCATCAAGTTGTAGACAGGTCATTAGCCACTCTATAATGGAGTCATTCGTCACTTTGACAGGTGATAGCTTCTCTCCCAGTTCTATGTCATCCTCGTCATCAAAATTGATATCAAAATACTGGAAACTAGCCAAAGCAATCACAGCTTGCATACGTATTGGAACCTCACGGTCGTTTAACCTCTTGTACAACGATACAATGAGCACATGGAATATATCTGCATCTACATCTCCCATATACTTTATAATTAGTGCAAACAATTGAACCACCCTATATCGGACCAGTTTGTTAGATGCCTCGATACCACGAAGAAGATGCTTTATCAAGTATGAGACAAACTCCGTGTTGGCTTCGATTTTGACCAATTCCTCTTTCGTAAAGTTGATTTCCACATCTTTTGCGTCTCCTCGCTCCTCCTTGTGCACTTCTTCCATCTTGGCTACTTCTTCAGCCCCAGATCGTACAAAGTGAGCAACAAATTTCGCCACTCTATCGGCATTTGGCTCACCTTTTTTGAACTTTAATGTATGGTTTAGTAGTTGTGTGAATCTCAAGCAAAAATAGTCCATCAAGTTAATTTCTAGGGCCCGGTTGAAAACACTTTTCATGAGAACGAGTAACTTTTTATGTCCTGTCATTGAGAATTGACAATCATTGAAGATATGCATCATGCAGACATCCAAGTCCTTGGGGTCAGTGATTTTTTTAATTGCCACGAGTGTTGGCTTGGGTGGTTTTTCAAGAGACATTGCAATGCCAGTGTGTGTGTGTGTGTGTGTGTGGATCAAATTCTGTTTGGCTCTGGTTTTTGTTGCTGATTGTCAGAGCTGTAATTAGATTGACAAGAAGATGATAATGCTTCACCACTTAATAGTGTTTCGATATATGCTTGCCCTGTCGGTCGCGTGTTGACCCTCTCTTGACGTGCAATGGTCCTAAATCAGAAAACATAAACAAACAAAAAGAATTGAAAAAGATGCAGCCAGTGTCGCAAGACTTGAAAGGGTAATTGTCGCGACATTGCATTTCATTTTTCATTTCCTCTCGTATAGTGGGAAAGTAATGCGTTTTCTCGCTAAACGAGGAAAACTGAGACATAGACAACAGGAATTGTGAGGAACGACAGACACCCACACAAAGCCTTGTCGGATTTAAATTTTTTGGAGAGACGCTACGGCAATGCTCTAAAAGTCGGACTCCCACGATGCGAAACTCACAATTACGCTCTTTACTCTCGACTGCAGTTCAAACCTTACCTTGAACAGACCAGAAACAAACTAGGCAAAAATGATAAAAAGAACGCGTAAAACATGGCAAGTACTCTTTATTAAAAATCAATTGCTCAAACAATACAAACACCTTAGAAAAAGTGAACAATCCTGCTCACTCCCCTTTATCTCTTGTGTAGCAACTACAAATCTTAGTCCCTGTCCTTGTTTGTCAGGTGCAAAGGAATCTTGAGTTATCTCGTACCCTGTTGTTTTGTGCAACATGCGTTTTCAGTTTTTTTTTATTTTTTATTTTTTATTTTTCATCGTTTACAAAAATATTCACGTTCAAAATATTCAACTCAAAGGGCTTCCCTAAAATTCTTTCCAACAGTTTCCACATTTCTTTCTTTCTCTTTGACAACTACTATTCACGTTTGTTTGGCAGCTGCTTAGGTTTTCTTTCAACGATTCAACTCTAACTCAATAACCCTCCCCCAACAATTCAACAATAATGTCACCAGTTCAATTAGCCGAAAAGGATTTCGAGAGGGATCAAAAATTCACCAAAGCTTTGCATGGTGAATCTTACAAAAAGACCGGATTGGCTGCATTGATTGCCAAGTCAAAGGATGCTGCATCTGTTGCTAATGAAGGTTACTTCAAGCACTGGGATGGTGGTGTTACTAAAGATGATGAAACAAAGAGATTGAGTGATTACTCTCAATTAACCCACCACTACTACAACTTGGTTACTGATTTTTACGAATATGGTTGGGGTTCTTCCTTCCACTTTTCCAGATACTACAAGGGTGAAGCTTTCAGACAAGCAACCGCTAGACACGAACACTATTTGGCTTACAAGATGAATATTAATGAAAACATGAAGGTCTTGGATGTTGGATGTGGTGTTGGAGGACCGGGAAGAGAAATCACCCGATTCACCGACTGTGAAATTGTTGGTTTAAACAACAACGATTACCAAATTGAAAGGGCCAACTACTACGCCAAGAAGTACAACTTGGATGACAAATTGTCATATGTCAAGGGTGACTTTATGCAAATGGATTTTGAGCCAGAAACTTTTGATGCCGTATACGCTATCGAGGCTACAGTTCATGCTCCAGTCTTGGAAGGAGTTTATTCCGAAATTTACAAGGTGTTGAAGCCAGGTGGGGTTTTTGGTGTTTACGAATGGGTCATGACCGATAAGTACGACGAAACAAATGAAGAGCACCGTAAAATTGCTTACGGTATTGAGGTTGGTGACGGTATCCCAAAGATGTACAGTCGTAAAGTTGCTGAGCAAGCTTTGAAGAATGTTGGATTTGAAGTTGAATACGAAAAGGATTTGGCGGATGTCGATGATGATATCCCATGGTACTATCCATTAGCCGGGGATTTGAAATACTGTCAATCTTTGGGGGACTTGTACACTGTGTTCAGAACCTCAAAACTTGGTAGATTGATCACTACTGAGGCTGTTGGGTTGATGGAAAAAGTTGGTATTGCACCAAAGGGTTCAAAGCAAGTAACACATGCTTTGGAAGATGCAGCAATTAACTTGGTTGAAGGTGGTCGTCAAAAATTGTTTACTCCCATGATGTTGTACATTGCTAGAAAGCCAGAAAATGCTAAGGAGTAGAAACAAAATGAAATGAAAAAAAACAAAAAATGGGAAGGAGAAGATTAATGGCTGCTTATAGCAAGTGTTTTTTAGTTCGCTATTATCTAATTACTAGTATCTTGCATGTATAATATAATAAATCTTTTGCATTTGTATCTTGGAATGTAGACACACTCGTGCTTTTACGAAGAGATCCGGCACATACGTCATATGAGACCACTGCCACTGCCGCCGTCGCTGCAACAGCAACACAGTAGCAATCAAAGAGAAACGAGAGAAAATAATACTAATAAAAAAAAAAAAAAGATAACAGTTTTTTCTTATGTGCAGGAAATCTCTAAATCATTTCTTCTTTGGTAACCACGCAGCCTCGGCAAAGTCAATTGTAACTTCCAATTGTATAAAAGACCTATTGAATTTCCTTGAAAAAGTTCACCACATTAAGCAACAGTCACTGCTACGTTTTAACACCAATTGACTCCAACTTTCCCATAATGTCAGCATTTCCTAAACTTGAAAACCCAAATTTGGAAGGGTACCAAATCACCAGAGCCATGTGGTTGGAATACTACAATTCACACGAAAAGACATTTGTGGCTAAAAAGAAATGCAGCGGCTGCTACAATGACTCCAAGTTTGTTGTATGGGCCATTTCTGTAGGTGTGCAAGCTGTGGTTGATGCTGCTAGGATCTACCCTGATGAGTTTAAGCCTTTGATCGGACCAGCAGTTGCCATGTTTCAAAAATACAAAAACAACAATCTTAAAGGATATTCGGCAGCAGAGGGCGGCGATAATGATATCTACTATGATGATGATGCACAAGTTGCTAGTGCTATTATCACTGCATATGAGGTGACTGGTGACAAGCACTATTTGGACCAAGGAAGAGAGTTGGTTAGATTCTTGATGGGAGGCTGGAATGATAATCCAAAAGCAGTGACAAAAGGTGGAATGCATTGGCATGTATCCAAATCGTTATTGAACTCCTGCACTACTGCTGAAGTGGCTAAGGCATGCTTGCAGATCTCAAAGTTTGTGCCACAAGAAAGTAAAGTGTATGTTGACTTTGCAGCAAAGTGTATTGATTGGCAGGTCAAAGTCTTGCAAGATCCTCTGGATAAATTGATCAGAGATGGTGTTGGTGAGGATAGCGACAAGGTGGATGATGTGAAATGGAGTTACAATACTGGTACTACCTTGTCAGCAGCTGCAGAATTGTATCACATCACTAAGGACAAAAAGTGGTTGCAAATCGCCACGGACTTGGCGAGAGCAGCTATCAATCACAACTCGTTCTTTTATGACCGTGATTTTCCCAATGACAAGAGATACTGGCGTGACTCATCCTATTTTGTACAATTGTTAATTGAAGGTCTTGCCGATTACTTGTTGTACGTTGATCCAAAAGATGTTCCCGAAGGATTGGCACAACAAATACACGATGAGGTCAAGAGACATTTAATTATATTCTACGAATTCATCAAAGATCCTAAAGATGGAATGTATTTGCAAAGCTTTGAACCTCACAATACCTATAAAGAGGTATACGACGCTAAATACCACCACTGGTTTGGAGACGGAAAAGGTTGGGGATTGAAAGGTGAAGATAAAGATGATCAAGGAAATCCACAAAAGTGTCTCATGGGCTATGGATCTGCTGCCAGGATATTCTTCCAAGGTGCTAGAATTGTCCCAAAAATAGAATAGTGTAGGGAGTATTGTGTCCTTTTATATACGTATCTTACACCCTCAATTTTGGCAAGTTGAATGCAGGTGTAGTTGGCAATGCAAAATATGGTCTCTCAACGATTAGTAATTCATTGGACCCAAAATCAGCCACTTTCATGATCGGTCTATATTTTTCTGTCAATGAAAACACTTTTGAATCTCTTTCATGCATAACTTCATCGTCTCCATCCTCTGGTGCGTCACCATCAACACCATCCTCTTGTTCCCTGATCCGACTTTTCAACTTGTCAATCTCACTTTGCTTTAAGCTCGACTCTAACTGCACAACATCGCCATTGGTGTCAACATCGTCGTCAATGCTTAATCCATCACGTCTTCTCTTTTTACCTGTGCTCAAGTTCTTGTACAACTTGCTGATTGGAATATTTTTAGTCAAGTCAAAGTAACATATCCATGTTGTTCCATATACCCACAATCTGTCCCCCTTTGCAAACATTCCTTCCGGTTTATCATCGAGATTCAAAAATTGACGTGGCAAAAACTCGCTATTACGTTTGGACCAAGCAGTGAGTAATTGATCCCGGTTGAATAAATTAAACTCGAGTATTTTGTTTTCGTTTGTCAAGACCAAGAGTTCCTTGTTGTTTCGACACGTTATTAAATGTGGCTGAGATGAAGAATTCGACAATTTTGCAAGGGTGAATGCATCGTCACCATTGAGGGGATACACTTCGATAGATCCGTTGAACCTGGAAATCAATATGTTTTTGTGATTTGGAGTAAGTATTAACAGCTTCACGTTGTCGTTGTATGGAATGTTTGATGACGAATCCTGTTCAATCATTTCGATTTGGTCCTCTAATGAAATTTGACTATTTTCAGCATCAATGGAAAATTGGTACAACTCTTCATCAGGAGTCAAAATAAGTAACTTTGATTCAGTTATGAATGTCACTTTTTTGGCCCCTGATATCATTGAATCGAAATTTTCATCTCTAATTTTATTGATCATGTATTTATCGTTCTCAGCGTCAACCTCGTCCAATTCGTAAACTTTAACAGAAGTCATTTTGGAAACCGCCAACAAGTTACTTTTGAAGTCAACGCTAGTTATATTCTCATCATCCGAAAGGGACAACTTGGCAATCAACTTGTGTTTGCCATTTTTCAAAATTTTCCATATTTTAACAACTTGGTCTTGCCATAGAATTACAAGCTGTTGCTCTGGAATCACTAAAACATTGCTAATTTGTTGGTTAACCAACAACTTCTTGTATTTTGAGTCTTGAAAATTGTCGATAGGTTGTATTGTGATTGCCCTTTCAACACCACCGCTCACAAGCACATTGAAGCTCTTATTCTCCGTGATTGCCATCGATCGAATATCATTCGAATGTAACAAACGGTTGAAACTGTGCACCCATTTAGTGCTGGATTTAGAATGCAATAAATCATATTGATGGATCTTTCTATCAATTCCTGCTGAATAGAATCGCTCTTCGCGGGAATCACCTACGAGGCAAAGCACATCAGCATCATGAAGCTTAAAACTTTGCATCAAGGAGAAAAACTTCAAGTCCCACACTTTTACATGCCCCGTTGAGTCTCCACTTATGAGTTGATTTCTCTTCGGTAACACTTCTAAAGTCCAAACCAATGTACTCTCGGTCTTGGACTTGTCGACCCTCATAGTACCCAAAATTCTACCCTTGGTGTTTTTTTCATAGCTCCAAACTCTAATTCTTCCATCGGCACAGCCACCAACAATTTGTTCATCTCCATTCCATTTTAAGCTCAAAACTCTTGCGTCTTGCCTTTGACAAATGATATCATACTCCAATGAGCCCGTTCCTCCAGATATATCAACTACAACAACGGACCCATCATCACAGCCAACAGCCAACTTGTCACCTTGTGGGTTCACGTCGATGGACCAAATTGTTCCCGCATTACAGTCGTAATTGACCAAAGGTCTGCCCGTTTTCAAGTCCCATTCAGTTACATAAGTTGATCCACCGATTGAAAATAATCGACTTGGCTCAGTGCCAGAGATCGAGCTCCAGATTAACCCTTCAATAGATCTTCCTTTCGAACCCGCCAACGTCAACTCATGTGTCCAGCTATGTCTTGGATTCCATATTTCGATATCTCCATTGCTTCTGCCCACGGCCAATCGTAAATCGTATGGCGCTAATTGCTCTGGCGAGGATGGTCTAGAAAACGCCAACGACGTTATAGTATGAGGCGTATAGTCGACAAAGCGACAACGGTGAAGATCCATGATTGCAGACGACATGTGGACTCCTTTACTACAGATTGTGAAAAATTGCAAAATAAAAAAAAACAGTTTAAAGAACGCATAAACCTCATCGCTACAAACAAACAAAAAAAGAAAAAAAAAAAAAAACAACGAAATAAAATAAATAAAATACAGTGGTATTGGGCCCAGTGCTACCAAGCGATTTAGAATGCAAATTATCATCTAATTCTCAAAAAGGTCTATACACAAGACGGACTCCTTCCCTATTGACCTGAATCCACAATTCAAAACCAATTTCGCATATTCCCTAAGAACCTCCCAGTGACTGGTTCTCAACATCGTTCCCACCAAGAAACACAATCCGGATATGTTTTGTTTGTGTGAAATGGCCGACAACTTGCCACCCCCTTTATAAAATTCATCTCTTGTTCTGGTCAAATAGCCATACCCATCTTCTGCACTAAGTGAAACCATTTGGATGTAAGTAACATCTTTAGGGAGTGTGCGATAAACTGAACTCTCCTTCCCGCAAACCACGAAGCAATACGACCACAACATCAACATGGCATGACTTAATGTAAACGAGGTATCGCTGCTTTTATTTGAATCCCAATTTTGCTCCCCCAACAACACATCCCACAAGAATTTGTAGCTTTGAACTACACATTCGAGAGCCCTCTTATGAGACCAAACATTTTTCATCTTGCGCTCAACAATCCTTTTATCCTTCTTTGAAGCAGTAACACTTTGATTGGCGGGGGCACCGGCAAATATTGCAAGATCGTAATGATTGACATCGCAAGCCATGATTCGAGCAAGCTGAAAGACGTCAAAAGGTCGATACAACTCCCCGTGGTTGAGGTTCAAAACAATATCAAGACACGAGTCAAATGTGTGCATCACATTTTCTTTCCACGACTTATTGGAGTTGTCTCTAAGCAATGAGTTGTTCATTTCAGTTTGCAGAAACATCAAAGACACAAGTCCAGCCAAGAGAATCTTTTGTGTGAAAAGTGGATAACTCTTCAATCCCTGGTACTGTCCCCTTAAAAGCTCCCTTAATCCAGTTAAAAAAGTCTTTTGATTGGTCTGCAACTTTTTTTGAAGTTTTGCCAATTTTTTGAAGGACCCATGAACGGCAGTTGATTCCCAAAGACGCTCGTCACACGGTAGATTTAACAATTGAAGCTGACTAAATTCGATATGTGGACTGTGTCTGAATTTAACGTAATCGGTGATGTCTAAGTAAAATGTCATAAACGTTACACGACGCATGGACTCCGACTCGACCCATTGCATATAGAGATCCATATCAGTGTTGACTTCATCTTCAACATTGGAGTCACTTTCCTCAGCAGATGTCGACCCGGTGCTGCTGGCTCTTTTGGTGGCTGACGGGTTGCCTCCCATCATTGGGCTTCTTTGTAGTAATTGAACAGTTGCACCATGATGGACGTGGCCCCGCTGGTGAAATTTTCTCGATAAAAAGTTCTTCTCAACCCATTCAAGTAAATTTAAGGCCTGTATTACCCATGGTTTCAGAAAAAGGAAATCCTCATGCTTAAATATGGCATAACGCAATTCATCTGCTAATAATTGCGTTATCAAGACTTCCGTATTTTCACCGCTGTTAAAGTACAGTGCACCAGTTGCAATCATGGCCACTAGAAGCAATGGGTGCGATCTGGGTTCAAAAGACGGAAAATGCACAAAGTTAAATTGAGGATGAAATGTGGCCCAAAAATTCTTGAGGTACATTGACATCCTTTGAGTGTTGCAGATTTCCAAGACCTGATCCAAGTTTAGTCCAAGTAAGTTGGCGATTTCCACAAGATCGAAATCAGCAGTCTGCCCAACATTCTCTACTTGAGGTTCTTGCCCCACAAGCGTTTCGGTCGTGGTGGGGGACGAGTTTGATGTAATACTCAGATAAGTTTGCAAACTATCACTGACTTGTGAAAGCTTGCGCCTTTGGTTGTCCTTTAACATTACTTGCCTCGACAAGAGATCGTCCAATGGATTGTTCTCATTAGGGAAAACATTAAAGTCATACGCAGTCGCAAGCTGATCCTCGAGTGTGCCCAAGGGCGGCGGCGGAGTGAATGGTTGTGCGGGATGCAGGTTGTTGTGTGCCCGGTGTGGTTGATACATTTGTTGCAAGTTACTGCCCCTATTCAAGTTGTCTCTTTGTAAGTTGTTGTCAAATTGTGGTATATCGAATAACCAAGTCAAGATGTCATTTTGAGGTAACGTGGTCCCGTTGTTTCTCAAAGACTCTAAATCAAATTGATTTGGCGGGATGTGTGTGGTCAAGTTTGTTGTCAAAGGGTACAGGGGAGACGCCATGGATGTGGATGAGGAGGCCACATTAGGCTGCCGAAAGGAATGGGTGGATCCGTTAGGCGTCAATTCATTTGCCGACGGAGTATGACGAATGTGTATTCCGTGACTCAGTTTACTTGACGCTTCAAGCTCTTGCAATTCGTAGTGTCTCTTGACATGACGTTCTTTCAAATCTTTTCTCACAAATCTTTTACCACAATGTTGCATTTCGCCGTTCGATTCAATTTGAAAATCACAAACGTAAACCTCCTTTGGCTCGTGGTTAAGATTGTGTCTTGCCAAATGATCTGACCGACTGAATACCTTGTCACAATGACGGCACGGGAAATGGCCGAGTGAACGTCTTTTCTTCTTTGGGGGACTCAGTTCCGCGTTATATTTTGACTGTGGGGACATGACGTAATGTTGAAACCTCAAGTCTTGTAATTTCACTCATTCACTAAAGCTCTGTGAGTATCGAATGACTTGATATTGTGATTGGGTGCAAAACTCTCTTGATGATTGACTTTTGATCATTGTTTATAGTTTTTATGTTGTGAGGCAATAGGGGAAAAGAGAAAAGGGAAAAAAAAAAAAAAAATTCTCGGAGTATGGCCGTACGATGAGGGGAACTCTCCCCACTTGTAAGATTAAACGTCAGACTCTGTAAAGAAAAGAGGTTCCAGTCACTAGCATAAGAAGTACACGCAACCAGTACTCAGCTAGAAGCAAACCTTGATTTTCAAAGTTTGGTTTAGTTTGAGTTTACGAGTGAGGGGGGGGGGGGGGAACTTACATGTTTCCTGCACACAAATCCCCCCCTGCCCCCATTCTGTCTCGTTCATACAAAAACCGAGATTTGTATGAAGTATGTAACTACTACTACTACTGCTACTACTGCTACCTCCTAACTATTGGCTGCGAAAATACCAACTTCTGATTTTTTCATTTTTCATTTTTTTTTTTTTCAATTTCTTCCTTCTTCATTTCTATTACCACCTAAACACACATACTATTCCATGATTCCTCATAATCTCTTGGACAACTTTTCATACAACACATGGTCTACCGGAAGATGTCGATTTATACTGATCAAGTCGACCTCTTCATTAAAGCGAAGACGCTTTGGTTTGGATTCCAACACCATCGAGGGTATGCTACTGAACGACTGACGCGAAGACGATATATGGTTTGATTTCACTGGATCAGAGAATTCCTCCCAATCGTCCTCGTAACTTAGGACATCGTATGCAAAGTATGATCTAAACCTTGCATAGTTGATCAAGAATCCGTTCTGAAGTAGTATATGTTCCGCTGAAACTGGTGCCTTTCCCCCGTTGTTGAAATATGCAAAAAAGTACTCTTCGTGGTATGACAAGTAGTCTTCGGCCCTGAATTTCCATATTCGGTAGTACTGCTCATAAAAATGTGGGTTATTCAAGTCAACGACACCCGATAAATTTAGAAAATTGTTGAAATAATCAATCAAGCCTTCCAATTTTATCTCTTCAAATTTTTCAATGAATATTGTGCGAATGATATCGGATAGCTCGTTTCTGTACCTGTGGTTCACAATTCTACCAAGAAACTCTTTGATATCTAACTCTTGCTGAAGCATGCAGTTGCACACAAAATTCTTGATTGTGATATAATTGTAATCATTCGCCATTGGGAAATGCTCGTCAATGATACTCTCTATTTTACTATAACAGATCTGGAGCGAAGCCAGGTCCTTGTCATCTTTGGTAAAGCTGGATCTTCTTATTGAAGATTTTGGTGCTTCAACGGGCACCAAAATTGGACTTGGTGGCTCATGTTCATAGTCCATAATACTTTCATTATCCGAATCCGAATCACTTTCATCAACTAGGTGGAGCCGTCTGCTTCTTCTTGGTGAGCCGATGGTTTCAAAGTCCTGTAATTTGATGGAAGAATATTGTATAGTCAAGTTGAGTCCATACTTGGTAAGGCTAGTGGAGTCAAAAAGCCACTTGTTGTTACAAGTATTGAAGGGGAACTTACCAGCCACTTTACGCTTCAACGTCATTACTTGGTTACTGCTGAAAGAAAGAAGTAATGAATAATCAGATCATCAGTGTTGTGTGTTTCTGCCTGTTGCATAAAATAAGGAAAACGTGGGACCTCTTTTTGATTCACGTGACCTGACAATAAGAAGAGAAAAAAAAAGGGGGGGGCACGTGTGCCAACGGAAACTTTCAGTATCAAACCCGGGAGGCTTCATAAAGTCCGAGTCACTGAATGATGGCTAGATACAGATAATGTATATATAGGATTTAGAACTTCGGGCCACGTCGTTTTAATACATTGGTAATGTGGTTTGCGATTAATAGTAGCTTTAGTCGTATCTAATCGTATCTCCTACGAGACCCGTCCTTGAATACAGCTTTCGTGTCAGCTACAGTAACTTCCTCGGGAACATCTAGTGGAGTTACGATGAGAACTGCTACAGATAACCACTTATCCTCTTATACAAGGCGTAAAGATAATAAACAAGCTCGGGATATTTTGTGTTATGAACGATAAGCGCTACCCGTAAACAACACGTCTAAGCCAAAAGATAAAAAAAAAAAAACAAAGGAAGAAAAAAAAAAAAGAAAAAATATTTTCGAGGTTTGCATTGAAACAACAGCCTTGAATAAACTGCAGTCTCCCCATGTTGAGTACCCGTAATCTCAGGCTAGTAGTTGCCATATTTGTGGTCTTTGGCATCTTTGCGTTTTTCGCAACATCACAAAACTCCTTTCGGGGCACAGTGCAAAGAGTCGGCAAGAAACCAGCAGCTGCTAGTGATGCATCAGTTCAAGATCCACCGAAATCGCAAGGAGCTCAGGTAGATGAGGATGAAAAGAATACTCTTCAGGGAAAACCACACTCGGGAACAAAACCACCTTATGAAAAAGTTGATAATTCAGGCTCGAACATAGCTGAAAAGTTGGGAGACAAATCACCCGCAACTCAAGGAGATGACAAACCACCCGCAACTCAAGGAGATGACAAACCACCCGCAACTCAAGGAGATGACAAACCACCCGCAACTCAAGGAGATGACAAACCACCCGCAACTCAAGGAGATGACAAACCACCCGCAACTCAAGGAGATGACAAACCACCCGCAACTCAAGAAGGTGAGAAAATAACGACTCCAAAGGAGGTGGGCATGAATAAAGAATGCAACGAGGTTGATTATGTTGTCATGATTGATGCCGGAAGTACAGGATCTCGTGTTCATGTGTACGAGTTTAACACATGCACCCAACCTCCAAAGTTGTTGTCGGAAGAATTCAAGATGCTCAAGCCTGGTTTGAGTTCATTTGATACCGATACTGATGGGGCTGCTAAATCATTGGACCCATTATTAGAGGTTGCATTGGCAAAAGTACCCAAAGAGAAGCAAAAATGTACACCAGTTGCAGTGAAAGCGACAGCTGGTTTAAGATTACTCGGAGATGCTAAATCAGCTGCCATTTTGAAACAAGTGAAGAAACACTTGGAAGAAGACTATCCATTTGCTGTTGTCTCGGGAGATGGAATTTCAATTTTGGATGGAAAGGATGAAGGTGTGTATGCGTGGGTTACTGCAAACTTTTTACTAGGAAACATTGGGAACAAAGATAAGTTGCCCACTGCAGCAGTTTTTGATCTAGGCGGAGGCTCTACACAGATTGTGTTTGAACCTGACTACAAGGATCAATTACCAGTTGAAGGAGAAACCCAATACAAGTTTACTTTTGGTGACCACGAGTTCACTCTTTATCAATTCAGTCACTTGGGATACGGCTTAATGCAGGGAAGAAATAAGATCAACAAATTGGTTTTGGAGAACTACTTAAAAAAGGCCCAGTTGACCAAGTTTTCGAGTAAGAAGGAGGCCAAGGAGGCCAAAGCAGAGGTAGACATAACCAACCCTTGTATCCCTCCCAACTCTGTCGCCAAAGATGTACAGGTTGAAGTTTCCGAAAATGAAATCTATGTGGTCAATATGAAGGGCCCATCACAAGCCACAGGTTCACAATGTCGTTTCCTTGCCGAACAAGTACTCAACAAAGACGCTACATGTGACGTCAAGCCCTGTTCATTCAACGGTATTCACCAACCTTCATTGACGCATGCATTCAATAAGAATTCTGACATGTTTGTCTTTTCATTCTTTTACGATAGAACAAATCCAATCGGGATGCCATCGAGCTTTACTGTTGAGGAGTTGAGAGATTTAACCAAATCTGTTTGTGAAGGCGAGTCATTGTGGCGTGATGTATTCTTTGATGACCATGTAAATAACTTGACCAAAGAGCCTCAATGGTGTTTGGATCTTAGTTTTATCACCGCTATGTTGCATACCGGGTACGACATTCCCTTGAGCAGAGAACTTAAAACAGCCCAAAAGATAGATAATAACGAGTTGGGTTGGTGCTTGGGTGCGTCATTGCCATTGTTGGATAAAAGTAGTGGATTATGGCAATGTAGATCTTAGCAGAGTTTCGTATAGATCCCCTCTTCACCCCCCCTTCCTATACAAAATACGATTAGTCCTTTATCCGGGATTTCTTTTTTCTTGTAAAATTATCCATTTATTGATTTTCCTCCGCTATTTCCTCTCCTTCTCTTTTTTTTTTTTTTTCCTTTGTAGCAAATTAAACAGAAGAAAATCGCTATTCCCCGATCAACGCATTCTGCACCTGAAGGAAAGTTGCATTCATCAAAACCATGTCGGATTATACTCAAAGCCACTTGACGGAACAACTCAAAAATTTGCTGACAAGGAGTGACAGAGAAGGATTACATCCTTTGACTAAAATAGTGTCCCCTTCAGAACCAATGGATTTACAGCACATACGAGATGTTCGTGCACAACGTACATCTAACAGCTCGTCTTCGTCAACCTCTTCCTTGCCCACAGAAGTCTTGGATCCCGAATCGAATCACGCTCACTCGAACAGTACGCTGGCACTCGCGAACCCACAACCACAACATTCTTCTTTTCGTCGGAAACATTCAATTCATAAATTCAGTCGCAGTCAATACAGTCTAAGCTCGATATCAACCACTCCCTATGGGTCTACAGTACCTAGTATTAGTAGCTCGCCAAAGGACACTTTTGCAAGAGAACCGCCAAGAATACATGCAAAGTTGTATTGCGAGGATGTGGCCAAAAGCAACAAGACGGCAAAGGATGTGTTGTCTCGGTTATCGTCCGACGAGTTGCGTTCAGTAAAGACACATACGGAGTTGGCAGAAACGGCGAATGGAGTGAGAATGTTGGCCAAGAATCTTTCTAGGGCCACGATACAGTTGGATGTGAAGGCTTTGATGATTGTAACAAAGGCCAGAGATAATGCATTGGTTTACTTGACGCGAGAAGTAGTTGAATGGCTTTTGACGGAACACTCTGAAATTACAGTTTACGTTGACTCAAAACTAGAGCATTCGAAACGGTTTGATAGTGAGCGCATGATTAAGCAATATCCTAAAGCTGGTAAGAATTTGCGATATTGGAACAAGGACTTGACATTGAAGTCCCCAGAGCTATTTGATTTGGTGGTGACCTTGGGAGGGGATGGTACTGTGCTTTATGTCTCGAACTTGTTTCAAAAAGTGGTGCCGCCGGTATTGTCGTTTTCCTTGGGAAGTTTAGGATTTTTGACGAATTTCAAGTTTGACGACTACAAATCGAAATTGACTCATTGTCTAGATTCAGGAGTCAAGGCGAACTTGAGAATGAGATTCACGTGTCGTGTCCATACGTCAGAGGGGAAACTCATTTGCGAACAACAGGTGTTGAATGAATTGGTTGTTGACAGGGGTCCTTCTCCTTTTGTGACAAACTTGGAACTTTACGGCGATGGGTCGCTTTTGACAGTTGCTCAGGCAGATGGTCTAATAATTGCAACACCCACAGGATCAACCGCCTACTCGTTGTCAGCTGGTGGCTCTTTGGTACATCCCGGAGTTAGTGCAATCAGCGTCACTCCAATTTGTCCTCATACGTTATCATTCCGCCCTATATTGCTACCGGACGGAATGTTTTTGAAAATCAAGGTACCTTTGACAAGCCGGTCAACTGCGTGGTGTTCTTTTGATGGGAAAGTTAGAAAAGAACTTAGTAAAGGGTATTATGTCACGATACAAGCTTCACCTTTCCCATTCCCAACGGTCATTGCTTCCAAAACGGAATATATGGATTCAGTGAGTAGAAACTTGAATTGGAATGTGAGAGAACAGCAAAAGCCATTCAGTTCGTATTTGAAACCTGAAACGCGGCAAATGATGGCGGAGAACGATAATGGGGGAGATAAACCAGAACAGAAGGATGACAATGATGATTTCGATATCAATTATAGTGATGAGGAAGAAACTGAAGAAAAAACGTCTTCGAGTAGTAATACTACGAGTGAAACCAATAGTGAAGACATGCTGTACCTCCCAATCAATGGCGGAACACAAACGCCTACAGTTAGTAACCAGGATGATCGATGTTGTTTTGCACATCCTCATGCAAGGGTACACTTGAATGGATCATAGCGGATGTGTATGTAACACTTGAGTTGCTTTTTTTTTTAATAGTTTAGTTCAATTCTATGCTAGTTTTACAGTGAGATTATTTAAGGAGTCCTTGTGTCCCTTTTATGTCTGTCTGTTTCTATGAACCGTTTGCGTGTAAATTCCATTATACCTGCATATAAAAGGGTCTGTGTCTGAGAGTAAGATTTTGTCTCAGACAAAAGACAGAAAAAAAAAAGAAATTAACAGATGGAGAGAGTGTGTGTCTGTGTGTCTGTGAAAAAAAAATTTTCGTTTCTTTTTTTTTCTGTTTTATAACAAAGAGGGCATCAGTTAAAAGTATTAAAATGGTAAAGTAAAGTAAAGTAAAGAGGCGAATAGAGAGAGAAAAAAAAAATAAAAAACAGTCACATTACGTCCTACTTTTTTCACTCTTTATTCACGAAGATCATTCTTCGATAGATTACATACATATACACACACACACACACACAACTTATACTTGTATCGAATATGTCTGACATTAGTCAACAAATGGGCAACTTGAGTGTTCAAGAAAACGGAAGCAACGGTCAGTACCAACCAAGACAGAATGGCCGTAGACAATATGTGCCACCACATTTGAGAAGCAGATCTGGCCAACCACAAGCAAACGGTGGTTCTGACGACATTCCTTTTGGTGGATCTCGTCGTAACGGATACGACAGCAGAGGTGGTTTCTCCTCCAGAGGTAACGGATTTGGATTTGGTGGCTCAAGAGGTGGTTCAAGAGGTGGTGCTGGATTTGGAAGTGGAGGTAGATACCAAAGACAGGTTCCAGGTGTGGGTAAGTGGGTTGACGGTAAACACGTTCCAGCACCACGCAATGATAGATTGGAAATCGAATTGTTTGGTGTTCCAGAGGAAGAAAGTGCTCAATCATCAGGTATCAACTTTGACAATTACGACGACATTCCAGTTGAAGCTAGTGGTGACAATGTTCCTGAACCAATCACTGCATTCACTGCACCACCATTGGATGAGTTATTGGTTGAAAACATCAAATTGTCAAAATTCACCAAACCAACTCCGGTTCAAAAGTACTCTGTTCCAATTGTTGCTGGCGGTAGAGACTTGATGGCTTGTGCCCAAACCGGTTCCGGTAAGACTGGTGGTTTCCTTTTCCCAGTTTTGTCTGAATCTTATGCAAATGGCCCTGCTCCAGTTCCTGAATCAACTGGAACTTTTTCATCCCACAAGGCCTACCCAACTGTTCTTGTCATGGCTCCAACCAGAGAATTGGTCTCTCAAATTTATGATGAGAGTAAAAAGTTTGCTTACAGATCATGGGTCCGTCCTTGTGTTGTTTACGGTGGTGCTGATATTGGAAACCAAATTAGACAATTGGACAGAGGATGCGACTTGTTGGTTGCTACTCCTGGACGTCTTAAGGACTTGCTCGAAAGAGGAAGAGTTTCTCTTTCCAACATCAAGTACTTGGTTTTGGATGAAGCTGATAGAATGTTGGATATGGGTTTTGAGCCTCAAATTAGACAAATTGTTCAAGAATGTGATATGCCAAGCGTTGAAAATAGACAAACTTTGATGTTTTCGGCCACCTTCCCCAGAGACATTCAAATGTTGGCTCGTGATTTTTTGAAAAACTATATTTTCCTTTCTGTTGGTAGAGTTGGTTCTACCTCAGAGAACATCACCCAAAAGGTTTTGTACGTTGAAGACGACGAGAAAAAGTCAGTTATTTTGGACATGTTGAACGCCAACAGTTCTGGTTTGACCATTGTTTTCACTGAAACTAAGAGAATGGCCGACAACTTGGCTGATTTCTTGTATGACCAGGGGTTCCCTGCTACTGCCATTCACGGTGACAGATCTCAATATGAAAGAGAAAAGGCCCTTGCTGCTTTTAAGAGCGGAAAAGCACCAATTTTGGTGGCTACTGCTGTTGCAGCCAGAGGATTGGATATTCCAAACGTTTCTCACGTTATCAACTACGACTTGCCAGGTGATATCGATGATTACGTTCATAGAATCGGTCGTACTGGTCGTGCCGGTAACGTTGGTATTGCTACCGCTTTCTTTAACAGAAACAACAAAAACATCGCCAAGGAAATGATTGATTTGTTGGCCGAAGCCAACCAAGAAGTTCCTGATTTCTTGACCAAGATTTCAAGAGAATCAGCATTTGGTAGAGGTGGTCGCGGATCCTCTCGTGGTGGTGGATACGGAGGCTCCCGTGGTGGAGCCACCAGAGATTTCAGAAGATCGGGTGGTGGCGGCCATTCAAGTTCCGGATGGGGCAGCAGCGCCGGCAGTGGCTGGGGAAGTTCAGGAAACAGTGGTGGTTGGGGCAATTCGAATGGTTCCAGTGGAGGTTACGGCTCACGCTCAAATTTCAACTCAAGCTATGGTAACCCATCGGGTTCTAACTCATGGTGGTAATAGCTGGTATACACAAACACACACACACACACACAAACACACACAACCACACAAACACGCGCGCGTGCGTGTGTGCGCTTCGTCTTACATCACCAGTATTTGTTTGTTTTTTTTGTTTTGCATCATTTAGAGCTCCAATCTAGATCAATTTTTATTATTTTATTTTCAAAAATATTCACACATTAGACCATCATCAACAAAAAAGGAGAGTCGGGTTTCTTTCTTTTACACAACATTTTTACATTGTTTTGCTTTTTCATTACGGTTTCATGTATTATTAGGTTTTGCAAAGTTATTTTATTATTTTCGTTTTCATACATTGTTTAAGGATACAGATAGAAAAGGCATTTACATAGAGAAAAAGAAAGAGAGAAAGAGAGAGAGATACAGAAAGGAAAAAGAAAGAAAGGAAGGAAGGAAGGACAATAGCGGGAAAGAGTTTCACGATTTGTTTTTCTTTCGCAGATTTGTGGGAATATGTTTGATATACATTTTACGGGAAAAGATTTGGACGTCGAGTTCACTTTTTTTTTTTATTTAGGATGCATAGTAGTGTATATTATCAGTGATATTAATTTCGTTTAGTAAAGGGTCAAAAGGGCTTCGATATTGTTGCAGTTGTTACCACACCAGGTAGCGCATGGTACCTGATGCGTTTGCCTCTTTTGAGTTTTCTCTTTTTACGTCGATATATATATAAGCACATTTAAAACTGGTAAATATGGGACGAAGGAATCTTAAAACAGCGTTAGCTACGATAGGTCTACTACTAGTGGTTTATTTCCTCTACACTTCACACGATGGGCATGTGTCTTACAAGACAGAGCCAAATTCAAACAAGTTACAACTTCTACGAGAGCTAGAGGCTAACAAAGAATGGAAAACCCAAGGTTTCAATTTCCAACCGAAGTTGAAGCCAACTTTGGATCAATCCAGCACTGTCCTTCAACAACTTTACAAAAGTATTCCTTATGATTCCAACACCGACTTCCCCAAGTTCATATGGCAAACGTGGAAAGTCGATTTGCAGGATGAAACTTTTCCCAAAAGGTATCGCAATTTTCAAGCAACATGGGATGAGAAAAATCCAAACTACAAGCATTTTGTTATTCCAGATGAGCAATGCGACACTCTTGTTCAAGAGCTATATTCAGAAGTGCCCGACGTTGCTAAAGCTTATAAAATTATGCCGAAATCCATCTTGAAAGCGGATTTTTTCAGGTACTTGATATTGTTTGCTAGGGGAGGTGTATACACTGATATTGACACAGTGGGATTGAAGCCTGTCGACGAATGGAGCAGCAATAAAGAGGAGATTGCTGGGAAAATCAACAATGCGGGGCTAGTAGTTGGAATTGAGGCTGATCCAGATCGACCTGATTGGGCCGAGTGGTATGCGCGAAGAATACAATTTTGTCAATGGACGATTCAGTCGAAACGAGGACACCCCATGTTGGCTCAGCTTATTGCCAAGATCACGGAAATAACGCTTACGAGATTGGAAAAGGGCCAGTTGAAAAAAGTGTTGGGAAAGGACGAAGGGGGAGATATAATGAACTGGACTGGGCCAGGCATATTTACAGACTATGTCTTCAAGTATCTCAATCAGATAGTTGAGGTTGATTGGCGACTTTTCACTGGAATGGAGCAACCGATTGTTATTGACGATGTGTTGGTGTTACCGATAACATCCTTCAGCCCGGATGTAAATCAAATGGGCGCCAAGTCTTCGGGCGATCCAATGGCATTTGCTAAACATATGTTTTCCGGTAGCTGGAAGGACGATGGTATGCCTGAAATGGGTTTATAGAGTTATGTACTGAAGGATTGAAATAGAGATAAACTTTGTGGGTGTTGATGTCTTCGCTATACTTGAGATGTAGAAGCACTTTGCATGGCGAGGAGTTGGTTTTCTGCTTATTGTCTTACTCTTTTGAAATGAGTAACCTCCACTTAAGGAGTTGCCGAAATATATAGAGCAGTTCATGGCGGTCCAAAAATCTTGACTTGGGGGGGGGGGGGGTGCAAATGGCAAATTGTTGTGCTGCCGGTACAGGTTAGACCTTCCGGTATCGTAGTTTAGAAGTTGCCTTTTCTTGCTTCCCAGAGAAAGTGTCAACGATAAAGACAGCTTCCATCTTGTGCAACTCTCAAATTGATTGGTGGTTTTTTTTTTGTTTTTTTTTTTTGTCAATGTCCATGAATTAGGAAAATTACACAAATTCTTATCGCCTTATCTACACTGAAAACTATTATGAAAATAGAATTCCGCTCAACTCCTACCTAAGCTGAAGCATCAGAAAACAACATTGAAACAGACCAATGCCTGCAGAACCTATCCGTTACGTTACAAAAGTCGACCTCGCCAAACCTGGCCGCGAACAACCGCAGGTGCACAACAGGTGGCACCCAGATGTTCCCTTTTCTGAGACCATACATCCTGGTGAAACGGTAAAAATAGAGTGTTTGGACTGGACAGGAAACCAAATCAAGAATGATGATTCTGCTGATGACATTTTGAATGTGGATCTCTCGGCAATCCACTACTTATCAGGACCATTCAATATTGAGGGAGCTGAGCCGGGAGATGTTTTGGTGGTTGAAATCAAAGACGTGCAACCATTGGAAAGACAGCCTTGGGGTTATTGTGGAATCTTCCACAAAAAGAACGGTGGTGGGTTCCTAGACAAGTTCTATCCGGAGGCTGCAAAGGCGATTTTTGATCTTGAAGGTATCCATGCAACCTCGAGGCATATTCCACATACCAAATTCACCGGTTTGATTCACCCTGGTATAATGGGCACAGCTCCATCCCTTGAAGTTTTGAATGAATGGAACAAAAGAGAAATGGGGTTGATTGATAGTATCCAACACCAACATGATACCGCGGTAGCACTACCACCTTTGGAGCTAAACGCACATTCCGGTAGTGCCACTGGAGACCTTGCTGGGCGTATCGCAAAAGAAGGTGCTAGAACAATTCCTGGAAGACCAGAAAATGGGGGCAATTGCGATATCAAAAACTTGTCAAGAGGCTCCAAGTGCTACTTTCCTGTGTATGTCAAGGGTGCAAAGTTTTCCATTGGCGACTTGCACTTTTCCCAAGGTGATGGTGAAATCTCATTTTGTGGAGCGATTGAAATGCCAGGAGTGGTATCGATTAATACATCTGTGATTAAAGGTGGAATGAAGAAACTTTCCATAAAGAGTCCAATTTTCACTCCAGGTGATGTTCAAAATCATTACGGTCCGTCAAGATATTTGACTTTTGAAGGTTTTTCTGTTGATGAAGAAGGTGATCAGAAATACCTTTGTGCGACTACGGCTTACAGGCAATCATGTATCAGAGCCATTGAATACTTGAGGAAGTTTGGTTACAATGATTATCAGATTTACTTGTTGTTGTCATCGGCGCCAATTGAAGGTCACATTGCTGGAGTGGTTGACGTACCAAATGCCTGTACAACACTTGGTATTCCAATGGATATATTTGACTTTGACATCAGTCCAGAAGGAAGCTTAAAGTCGTACGACATGGGTAATTGTGCGTTGGTCACTAATGCCGACCAAAAACTTACATATGACTTCAAGTGAAAAATAAGCACAGCTTTGTGGATAAGTAATATAAGTATATAAATATTCAAAGGAAAAATCTATTTACCTCCAAAGTATTCTGGACCTTCAAAGACCAAGTTTTCATCTGGCTTGTTCAAATCTTTCAAGTCATGCACTGGTCTTTCAGCTCTAGCAGCAGCACGAATGATTAATCTTGGGTCAGTGGTGTCAAAGTCCAAAATTGCCGAGTGACTAACAATACGGTTGTCAAAGATAACAACAGTTCCTGGTTGCCAGTTGACTCTAATTTGGAAGTCATGGCCATTGTTGATGTGGTCAAGCAAAAACTTCAACAAGTACTCTGACTCTTCGGTTTTCAAATCAACAATTCTTCTAGTGAAACCGGTGTTGACGTACAAGACCTTTTGTCCAGAAGGAGTGGTACGAACAATTGGGTGAATGTTTTCAACAGGGTGTCTCTTAACCACCCCTCCTTTCAAAACTGCATAGTTTGCTTGCTCAACAGCACTATGAACAGCATACAAGTCCTGCAACTTTTCTTGAAACTTGGGAGACAAACGGTTGTAAGCTTCAATGTTGTCAGCAAAGACTGTATCTCCTCCACCGGTTTTTGGGATACTAGTAACAGCAAGGAAAGAAACACCAGTAGGGTTCAATTCGTAACTGACGTCAGAGTGGAAACCAACAAGTCTGTTTCTCTTTGCAAATGGGTCCTCTTTAGCATTTCCAGTCAAGACAGAATGAATGTCTGGATGTCCTTGTGGCGCACCAGAAGTTGGGTGGATGTGCAAAGTCCCATAATGACTGACATATTTGGTCAAATAATCAGGTCCCTTGGAAATCAAGTCTTGGTCTCTGAAAACCAACACACCTCTTTGAGAAGCAAGCAAAGCAACCTCATCCTTACCGGCATCGTTCAACTCTGACAACTGAACACCTCTGATTTCAGTACCCAACTTTGGAGAAATGGTAGTCACTTCAACCTTTTTACCCGTTGGAAACAAGTTTGGCAACTCTTTGTCTGCCTTCAAGGCATTGTCCTGGTGTTCTTGAAACTCATATGGCTCATACTTTTCACTTTTGGTCCATGTTGGCAAGTAGTCAACTGATCCAGGGGCTAATTTTTTGATAACTTCTTCGGAAATGGTAACTTTACCTTTTGCTTGGTCAATAACCAAGTTGTTGACTCCAATTAAGGCGCTAGGAATATCTGCTTGACGAGATGGCATTTGTTGTTTAAGATTTGAATTGGTTCGAAGGGTGGATATTTCAATTGCAAGATTCAACATGGAACCAGTGATTTGTCTGCAAATTTATAGTGCATGAAAAGTTGTGGTTCAGATTTGCAATGATGCAATGTTGCAGCCACAATTTTCAGTGCCACAAAACTTTGTTTATTGAGATCCTTTAACGAAGCGTACAAATGTCCTCATTGAAACGGATTTATGCTCATTTCTGGAATTAAGAACGGGTATCATCTGATAATCAATCCTCTTAAGTCCGAAGGGAAAGCCACATTTACTTGCGTAAATTGATTAACAACCAGACCCCCCTCATTTTGAACAATTATAACAATGTGAAATTAAATAAATTCTTAGTTTGAGTAATAACTTGCGTGCAAAAAAAAATAATAATAAAAACAAATTGGTACGCCACAGCTCTCCAACAAAGAATTAGCTATCTTAACAATAGTGCTTGTTCATTTTTCACATCTGCAGTATCGATCTTATCAGACCATAATTTAGCGAATCCCGTAGTTTGAGCTGTTGTCGGGTAGTCAAACACGGATCCGTAATTGATAATTAAGCTGTGGCGTGCAGCAAAAGTCTCCGCAGCACCGAAGGTAGGGTGATAGGGTAGTAATATACTATTATCCTATTGCACCCGCAAGCTGTTGACGAGTTTCTAAGTTTGGGGTGAGAACTGAACTCACTCAAATTAGTGTGGATGAAATACATCATTTTGTTGAGTTGTCACACAATTCCAACAGCTCTCCACTATCTGCCAAATACCGTAAAGTAAAATAAAAGAAGAAAGTTATAGATTAGAGAGAGAGAGAGAGAGAGGGGGGTGGGCAGTAACTGTAAGAATAGCTCGAATTGGCAGGTGATTTCCTTTTTGCGTAGGTGCTGCATTTAATCAGTTTTTTGCTAGTTGTTCGTTGTTGGTCCATCAAATAATTGAGATACCTTGCTGTGAGTCCTTTGAAGTCTCAAGACAAAACCGAATCTACTTTGTGCCTCTTAATGATTCTCCTTCATATCGCTCGTTCAATCCAACACAGCCTATACTTTATCTTCTCTTTCTGCGTTCTTTTTTCTCTTTTTTTTGCGCGGTTAGAATCACATAGCTACTTGAAACGCGCCAAATTTGATCCGTAAGCGAACGCTTCGCAGTAACCAAAGTGCATGCGAATACGACAAACAAAGGGAAAGGAATCATCGCTTCTTCTGCACTCACCAAAGTGATCTCCAAATGAACACGCCTAGCTTTAATGACTCGTTTTTGAAGTGGGATCCAGCCCAGGTGTCCACTTTTATCAACACGGTAACTAAAGATCAAAACCGGCAGTATGGATCTTTCTTCTTGGACAACAACATAGATGGCTCGCTCTTACCGTCTTTGTCGACAGAACACTTGAAAGAGTTGGGCATAGATACGTTGAAGGTGAGACTCAAGATCAAGAAAAGTATAAGTGACCTCATCGTTGACCACTACAAAAAGCATCCTCCCCAATCAATTTACGATCCGGAATACGCTTTGAACAATATCAACATAGATAGCAGTCAGATATCATTGGAGAGTTTAAAGGTTTCGGCAGTATTGGTGCAAGATCTGATCAGAAAGTTCAATAGAGAAGTGCGAGGGCAGCAAGTAGATCTGCCAGTTTCTCCCACACAGCAGGAAATCAAAAGATTGAACGACAATTTTAGGAAATTGAAAACCGACTTGATCCCGGTTATTAGATTGTTAAAGGACTCCAAACCATTGCCAACTCCAACTCTAGATCCAGGTCCAGCAGCTACAATGGAGTCACCAACGTTTTCCTTACTGCATCTGGTAGATGAAAGAGAGAAAACCGAAGCAAGGCCCAACAGCGGACATGGTGTTGCTGATGCTAACCGATTCTCCACTGCTGAAGCTCATAGTCCTACCTCCCACAGATTTTCTACGGGAAGTTTGTTGTCGATGGGAACGGGACAAATAATTTCTCAGCTTGTGTCCAAGGTCGTTGACGATCAATCTCATGACTTCAGATTGCAAAAAGTGGGCAAAAAAGGCAAGGGACCACTACACGGCGGTTTGCTGAATATCCTGAAGCCCGAATTAGTGGAAAATAAGTCGTATGGGTCGACTGTTACTGTGAATACAGATCAACAAAAGCCACAATCGCAAGCACCCTCTGTTGCACAGTTGAGGTCACCTTTTTACCAGACCCAATCGGCAGCGGGACTGCACCAACCGATACAGGCACAACAACAGCATTTGCATCCACAGCCACATCTGCAACCACAACCCAACACAGCGCAACCACAACCCAACACAGCGCAACCACATTCGTCACGATCGCACTCTAGCAATGAGCCTCTTAAACAACTACGAGCATCAACTGATGACTCATGCATGAAAGTTCTACAACACGCTATGAAACGACACCACATTCCTCGCGAGGATTGGTCGAAATATGTTCTTGTGATTTGCTACGGTGATAAAGAAAGAATATTGAAACTAGCCGAAAAGCCAGTTGTTGTGTATAAAGAGTTGCAGGAGCTTGGGAAACACCCGGCAATAATGTTGCGTCAACTAGCGGATGTGTCCTCATCCGATCCGGAAGACTATGAAGATTCACGAATAAGTTCGGACATTCCTGGTGGGGTTTTGTGATCATACAGAGTTCGTAAGAATTTGTTATAGTATCTTCTTTTTTCGGTCACACGCGGTCACATGACTGAGTAGGGCTTGGATAAATTGTTTTGTGCTGCGTTCCCTCTCTGTCTCTGTCTATTCTCTCTTGCGTGCGAGATGGAGAAAAGAAAAAAAAAAATACACATTGATTTTCTGGCAGTGAAAAAAGTTGAAAAGTCTTCTGTGTTATCACTCCCATAGCATTAACATATACTAGTCAACCATGCCTCCAAAATTCGACCCATCTGAAGTTAAATTCCTTTACTTGAGAGCTGTAGGAGGTGAAGTCGGTGCTTCATCAGCCTTGGCCCCAAAGATTGGTCCATTGGGTTTATCACCAAAGAAGGTCGGTGAAGATATCGCCAAGGCCACCAAGGATTTCAAAGGTATCAAAGTTACCGTTCAATTGAGAATCCAAAACAGACAAGCCACCGCATCAGTCGTCCCATCTGCTTCATCATTGGTCATCACAGCTTTGAAGGAACCAGTCAGAGATAGAAAGAAGGACAAGAACGTCAAGCACTCTGGTAACATTCCATTGGATGAAATCTACGAAATTGCTAGAAAGATGCAAGACAAGTCATTTGGTAAGAACTTGGCCTCCGTCACCAAGGAAATCTTGGGAACTGCTCAATCAGTCGGATGCCGTGTTGACGGTAAGAACCCACACGATATCATTGACGCTATAAATGCCGGTGAGATCGATGTACCAGCAAACTAAATGGGAAATTGATTGTTAGAAGACAAGAAAGAAAAATGTGTTTTAATAGGGTTTTAATTGATATTTAACGATATTGTGAAACGAAATATAGAGTGATTTTCCACCCGTGAAGGTCATTTTGTAAATCTTTTGAGGGAATCATGGAAGAGAGGGATTGTTTGGAATAGAGGATAAATGTTTGATCAATAACAACGATTAATTACACATGTTTGCCAACACTCTGGTGCCAAATCTTAGTTTTGGTATCTATCAATTCTATGCCATATTTGGTTCCTATTTTGGTGCAAACTAAATTGAAAATTTTCGAAGCTGACTACTCACCATTGTATTCCATTTTCTGCTATGGATACGATTGGTCCATTTCATTAGCTCACATTTTGTCATTTTGTTCGCAATCAAACTTTTGAATCTATACATACCTCAAGTCCAGATCCTGTAATATCTCTGAAACAACGTAGACATTTCCTCTTGAGATTCTTTTGGCAGTTGGAGACAGCAATATTTACGACTGGCTGACTTTGCACTGCAAGGTGCAATGAATGCATCCCCATATCAGGACGGGGGGTTGTCTCAGAATTGTAGTGCACATTACAGTGAACAACTTTGCAAAAACAAAGTTATGTGTGTGTGTGTGTCTTGTGCGACCCCACTTACAATTCCATCGTTCATTTTTCCGTCCCAGCGACAACAACAACAACAACGACAACAACAACAACAACAAACAAACAACTCAAAAAGGTAAAACACACTTAACCTAGACCATATACACTAGTACACAACAACACATTTATGATCGTTAGCTGAAAGCTAGAACCACACTGAGAAACTAAAGAACGCCTAAAATAGAATGTCAGATAGTGTTGGTATGTATTCACGATGAAACAAGATTTACTTTGCTTTCCAGTACTAACGATATTTGATTGAGTTAGACCGCGTATTCGTGAAAGCAATCTCCACCATTAGAGCCTTATCATCTCGCTCAAACTATGGATCCTTGCCTCGCCCGCCCGCAGAGAGCCGAATTAAGCTCTATGGGTTGTACAAGCAAGCCACAGAAGGGGATGTGAGGGGTGTTATGCCTCGTCCCGTGGGTTTCACCCCTGAGGACGAAGGGGCAAAGAAAAAATGGGATGCATGGAAACGTGAAGAGGGACTTCCCAAAACAGAGGCGAAAAAGCGATACATCGCCTTTTTAATAGAGACTATGAAGGTTTATGCAAGTGGCACACACGAGGCGCGGGAATTGTTAAATGAATTGGAATATCTTTGGGACCAAATCAAAGATTTACCTGCATCTGACGAGGAGAATGACAACAATCTCCAGTTCCCGTCCAATGCTCCCCTGTTTAGCCAAACTGATAGACTCTCCAATAGGACGCCAAGTATTGGGGGTTATGGATCAAGAGGAGGCCCCGGTTCAACTGTGGGACTGAATTTGAATGCCATATACTCGCACTCCAGAAAGAATACCATGTCTTTGAATGACTACGTGCATCAACAGAGGTTACAAAGTCAACACCCGCAACCACTAACTGGACTTCCGAGCCAACTGCGCTCGTACTTTGAGACTGGCTCTCAAAAAGCTGGAGACTACGGCGCCCCCGGGTCTGTGTTCTCTGTTCCAGCCACAGGCGTTAGACCCAGTAATGTAGCTGATGATTTTAAGAACTGGCAAAGTGAAGTGAATGCTATTATCAACCGACTTACTAGAGAGTTTGTTGACAGCAGAAGAAGAGACCATGAGCATGCACCAACCCATGGAGAAGAAGGGGATGAAGATCAGTTACCATTGGATGACTTTGAAATGAAGAAGAAAAGAGTAATTGCACTTTTGAAGGTTGTTGGGCTCCAAGCGTGGAAGCTTTTGAAGAATTTCGCTGTTAGTCTATTCACCATATTGTTTATCGTATGGTGTGTGAAGAAAAACGTTGTTGTGAAGCGAACATTTACCAAGCAAGAATCTGTTAATGGTAAAGTCAAGAAGGAAATGATCATCAATATGGTTTTGAATACGGATGAAAATAGATGGTTTATCAGGTTGTTAAATTTTGTCAATAGTTTTGTTGGATTTGTATGAAACAGAGTTAGGAAAGGGGAAGGGTGGGAGAGTGAAAGGAAAAGCGTGGGAGGAAGTGTGTTGGTGTAATCCATTGCTGGTGGTGGCATGATCTCAGGGCTGAAATGCACTCCCTAACTAGACTCGTGGAATAGATATCCTACTCGAACTTACATTACTTGTTGCAGATGCATTCCAGCGACGAGATAGATGTAGTAGAGATAAACTTATTACATAGTTAATTCTGATCGTTTCTATTCCATTTTGTATTCTGTAATGTGCACTTATAAGAAAAGAAAATAATAACTCAGCATCAGTAACACCGGTATTACTGACCTTCAAATCATACCAACAACACTGCATTCACGCATCCATCTCTATCCGGTTCATTTGTTATTTGGGCGTACTTACCCCAAACCACTTTACCACCAGCAGTGACCAACCCCAATTCAGACACATTCACTTCTATTATGGTACCTCTCGTCAAAACACCGAGTTGAGTGTACATCGGTGACTGGGGGTTTTTCTTGACTCCTAAAATGGGCAAAAATACGGTGACGCCCAATTCTGGATGGGTAACATTGGCTTTCTTTTGTCTCAAGGCTGAAGGACGGATGATTCTTTCCATCTTTACTGGTCTTCTCGTGAACCCTTCACCGACAAAAGTATGCTTTGTAATCATTCTCTTCCAACTCTTGCTCTTCTTCTTTCCAGTCTTGATAACTTTGAACATTTCTTCCTCAGAAATACCTCTAACCTTGGGCAATGGGACTGAAAACTTGTCAGCTTTCTCCAATCTCTTTTGCTTTATACTAGATGACAAAGCCTTGGCTGTGTTGTTGGTTTGACGATCCAAAAGATACGTAGGTAAAGCCTCGCCTTCATCTTCTTTAGGTGTGGAAGGTCCCTTAACCTTGCTTTCTTGATGCGCCTTGATCTTCTTCTTCATGGAAACCTTCTCACTGTATCTCTTCTTGGCAAATTGTTTGGCTCTCCAACCTTTCAAGTTCTGTGCGTCCTTGGCTACACGATGGCCCTCTCTGGCCTTCTTCTTTCTCTGCCTCTCTTCATGGTCAAATCTCCTACCATGCTGCTTGATGTGTTGCTCAATATACTCGTTTTGAGGCATGTTGTTTTTAGATTGACTGGGTAAGAAGAATGTGTATGGGGATTTGTTTTTCCCATATTGCGATGCCCTTTTTTCTCTTTTTTGATAAGCAGAATATGAAAAAAAAAAAAAAAGAAAAAGAAAGAAAAATTAGAGGCATCAGCAGCTTAGTACCAACAGAAACCTTACCACGTCATATGTCAGATATCAGTAGTATACTAAAGTCGATTGTCACGGCTACAAAAGCCGCAAGCACAGCAGTTGAAGAGTTAGCTTCATCAACTGCAAAAGTTGAGCATCCTATCTTTATTCAAAACCTACTACAAAAATCGGGTCAATCTGAAGCAGAGGGTATCTCCTTATTGACATTGAAGAACGAAGCATTGGCTTCATATGTAAATAACTTAGCATTGGTTGTTCTTGGACAAATAGACAGGTTGGACGGTGGTGATAATGAGAAACTCAAGAATGAAGCCATTGAGCGATCTATAGTTCAGAGAGTGACATTAGAGAAAGGTGTAAAACCATTGGAAAAGAAAATCAACTACCAGATTGAAAATCTTATGAAAGCATTTAGCAAAGCAGAAAGTCAAGAATCACAAGCCATTAAGGAAAAAGGTGAGGGAGACTCCAGCAATGACGAGGACTCTGATGAAGAAGAGGATAACAACGATGTGGATTCAGAAGAGGATGAAATGGCATTCAGGCCTGATGCTGCCGCTTTAGCCAAGTTGGCTCCACAAGGTACCAAACCATCCTCTTCCTCCACTGAGAAATATAGACCGCCTAAGATTTCAGCAATGGCGCCACCTACAAGCAAAGATGCTGAAGCCAAGGCTCCAACGCAAAAACTCCAAAGTATGGAGGAATACTTGCAAGAACAGAGTGATCTTCCTACAGCAGAAGCCAGTATTGGATCTACTATTGTCAGTCATGGCCGTGGAGGTGTCAAGACCCAGCATGACAGAAAGAAAGAAAAGGAAATACAAACTTATGAAGAAGCCAACTTTACAAGATTGCCTACATCTCAAACCAAAAAAAGTTTCAAGCAAAAGCAAAGAGATATGGCGAACCAATTTGCAGGCGAAGATTGGAGTATTTTCAATAAGGATAGAGATTTGGAGTCGGGTACATCGAGGAAAAGAAAACCGACAACTTCTTGGGATAGAGCTAAGAAGAAGCGTACATAGTTATGGAGAAGCTTGTGTAGGACCAAAGTGTTTCATAAAATACGTATAAAATCGGCGTTGTGTTGTTGTCTGAGTGACTCGGTTTACTTTGAAACAGCTTATATCTCAAAGGACTGTCCTTCCGTTTCAATCATAAAATTAAATGTTTTATTTATTTTATACATACATATGCCACATTTTCTATAAAAAAAAATAATTACCCACTAGAATGTAACTTGAGCAATGCAGCAATTGTCCTCTCAAATTTGAGAGATGAGTTTACTTGTTAGCCTTGGCAAAGTATTCCTTTGAATCGGTTGGAGTAGCTTTGATAGTGTCAGCACCTGGTTGCCAGTTAGCTGGGCAGACTTCACCGTATTTTTCAGTAAATTGGAAAGCTTCCAACAATCTCAATGATTCGTCAACTGATCTACCAACTGGCAAGTCATTGACGGTGATTTGTCTCAAAATACCTCTTGGGTCAATCAAAAAGATACCTCTCAAAGCAACACCGTCATCTTCAAGCAAAACACCATAGTCTCTTGACAAGGAGTGGTTGGTGTCAGCAATCAATGGAATGTTCAATTTACCCAAACCACCGTCTTTTCTGTCAGCATTGGTCCATGACAACAAAGTGTATTCGGAATCAGTTGAGGCAAACAAAACTTCAGCATCCTTTTCAGCAAACTTCTTGAAAGCATCTGAGTAGGCAATGATTTCAGTTGGACAAACAAAAGTCCAGGCCAATGGGAAGAAAGCCAAGATAACCCATTTACCTTTGTATTGTTCCAAAGAAACTTCTTCGAAAACACCGTCAATGACAGCAGTCTTTTTGAATTCTGGAGCTGGTTTTTGAATTTGTGGAGCCATTGTTAAAATGTGTGATTGAAAGTGAAACTTAGTTAAAAAGTTGATAAGAAGAACAAGAAGAAGAAGAAGAAGAAGAAGAAGATCAATTGAAGATTGAAGAATAGGAGAAAAATCAGTTGATATATATATATATATGTATGTAGACGGATGCCACAGTGTAAAGAAAGTGAAAAAATGTCGCTTTTATGTCATTTTTGTGTAAAACTTGATCTTGAGTGAGAGTAAGTAATTGCAAACATAATGTCGCGCATTGTCTGTTATAATACATTAAATATGCATATGAATTTTTAAAGAAGAGAAGCAAGTAGAGGTAACGACAAAAGTTCAATTGAGGTTGATGACGATGAGAGAGGGTCATCCACAGTATGTATCTGAGTTGTTGAATTGTATGCACTTCCAATTCCGAGCCCGGAATTCGAGAATATCAAAAAAAAAAGAAAAGAAAAGAAAAGAAAAGAAAAAAATTAAGGAAAAAAGGACAAACACAAGAAGAGGAAAAACAGTCAATGCCGCTAATGACGAAAGATAGAGACCTGTGTGCCATATCATGGTGTTGGTAGTGTTGCATGTGCAGATGAAGATCTATGCTCGTCGTAAGTTAGTGGACGAAACAATCGAGAGGTGGCTTGTTATTTTCCTTTGTTGCCAGTATATGACCTTTGTGTCCAACAAACTGTAAAAATCTAAGACTTATAATACTCTGATTAGTGAGCATCAAGTGATTCCAGACTGAACGAAGAGCCCAAAAGAATTAAGCGTGTAACTAAGACACCGTCTTTGAGTTTTGCGTACCGAGGACCAAAAAAATATGAAAAAAAAAAAAAAAAAATGAAAATTTAGCATACGCGTAGTCGTCTGAAAAAAGAAAAAAATGTCGTAACTCCTACTACCGTAAATGCGGACTTAAAATAACCGCATACAGATTTATACCCCCTACATTACCACCTCGTACGTGGTTGTTAATCTTTATTACTATTACACGGACTTATAGAGGCTAATTAGACACACGTTCTGAAGGAAATGTACTAATCAATAGTAACTGATCCGCTTGAATGCCGAGGGATAGGAGTAAAACAGAAATTAGGCCATCTCGGAGAAAAAGACGCTCAAACGTTTGAAAACTGATCGGATCTTTACGGGTCAAGCTCGTTTTATAGTAAGCAGATCATAATGTATAATCAGTGATGTTGCACTTTAAAAAAAAAGTGAGCTACATCAACGTCCAAGTCTGTGTTTTATTTTTATTTCGCTGGATGTAATCACTACGTCATTGATAAGGAAATACGCGATTTGCACTCGGCACAGTTATTGATATGTGTAGGAAGCTCTCCCCACTAAAGTATACTGTCCAAGAATTATTCATATTGACCTCTTTGACTCAAAGCTATTGTCCCATTCATTCGTATGATCTATGCAAATTCAAGTCGTTCTTCACATCACGACCTCATCTATTTTTGTTGCCTCTCTCGATCAATTTCGGTGCGAAGAAAAAGCAAAATTGCTGACTCCATACATTATGAAGCACACCAATGACCGCCAACGATATCCACTTCTTCAAGTTTCTAGTAAACAATCAAGTATTCTACAAAACCAAGTTTACCTATGCTTTAGTTAATTTAAAGCCTTTGGTGCCTGGTCATGTATTGGTGGTCCCACTACGCACAAGTGTACTACGTTTTGGCGATCTCACACCAGATGAATCGATCGATTACATGAATACGTTGCAATTGATACAAAAGTTCATCAGCAAAACTTATAAGGCGGATGCACTCAATATTGCCATTCAGGATGGACCAGAAGCGGGGCAGCTGGTTCCGCATCTACATACACACATTATTCCAAGGTACAGGACAGATGGTTTCGGTGATTCGATATACAGCAAATTGGAATCGGAAGACTTGGAAACAGAGTATAACCAATTCGAACTTAGAAAAAGGAAATATCGTGATCATTTGAAGGTTGAAAAGAGTGAATTGAGTCAAAATGATGCTGATAGAAAAGAACGCACTGAAGCCAGTATGCAAGAAGAAGCTACCTGGCTAAACAACGAAATTCAAAAGTTCATTGCGCATACAAAATCTTAGACAAAAGTATAAAAATTTATAGACTTCTACATAAACCATAACTGTACAACATGGAGGCTCTAGACGAAATTCAATGGAAATCTCCTGAATTTATACAAGAGAGGGGTTTGAACACGGCCAACGTCTTGGAATATTTTGCGCTCTCGCCATTTTACGACCGTACGTCAAATAATCAAGTGTTGATGATGCAGTTCCAATATCAACAAATTCAAATCCCAGTACACGTATCATTCCATCAATATTTCCAATCACGGTTGTCAGAAATGACAGGAATAGAATTTGTCATTGCTTTTATTCGTGAACCCGATTTTTGGATCATACGCAAACAAAACCGATTGAATCCCACAAATGTCATTGCACTACAAGACTACTACATCATTGGTGCGAATATATATCAAGCACCAAAAGTCTACGACGTGTTGTCTTCTCGATTACTCGCAACGGTGCTATCATTAAAACTGTCCGTAGACACATTGAACAACATGACAAGCTATCACATTTCTGATGGTGCACACTCATTCAACAACTCAATTCATGGCAACACCAAAAATGCGACACCAACCACAGCAACAGCAACAACAACAGCAACAACAACAACAACAACAACAACCTCAACCTCAACTCCCGGACAATCCAATTCTGACCCTACGCCCATCAGTGATTTAGAAACGCCAATAGCAATGATAGACAGTCCTGCAATTGGCGCCCCTGCTTCCATAGCGGTAACTACTCCAACTCAAGCAAACTCCACCGTGCCCAGTGCTGCTGCTTTTGATACGCTATTGACGGAGGCAGTCAATGACACTACAAATAAAAACTACTTGGAAGATATTCCATTATACGGAAAGGGGAGCACACTAGAATCACTAGGTGTCAAATCTGCCAACCCTATATAAACATATAAAATAGCAGCCGCTCCTCCCATCTAAAGCTCATCTTTTTGTACAGGTTCTCCCTTTTCAGTCTCTCCATCTTGAAGTTCTCCAGCTTTCGCAATCTTGATTTCCTTAACTGGACGATCACCACGACCAGTCTTGACACTTTCAATATAATCAACAACATCCTTTCCATCAATAACTTCACCAAACACAACATGCTTGCCATCCAACCAATTAGTCAACGCGGTAGTGATGAAAAATTGCGATCCATTGGTGTTCTTACCTGCATTAGCCATACTCAACCTATACTTGCGATCATGCTTCAATTGGAAATTCTCATCTTCAAACTTGTTTCCATAGATCGATTTGCCTCCATAACCCTGTCCTGTCTCATAATCACCACCTTGAATCATAAAGTTTTTAATCACACGATGGAAAATTGATCCAGTGTATTGTTGGGCTGGGTCGGTGGAAATGGCAATCGTCTTGAAGTTTTCCACAGTCCTGGGCACAACAGTTCCAAATAACCCAATGGTTATACGTCCGATTGATTTACCATCCTCTTCAATGTCGAAAAAAACCTTGTTGGTGATTGGTGGGTTTTCTGGCAAGTCTTTAGCTGCGGTGGCTTGACCGAAGAAGTAGAATAACACGGAAGCAAATAAAGCAAGTGCGGTTAAGAATTTCATCATGTGGACTACTTGTGGAATGAGAAGGGTGTGTTGCAGGTGGAGATTTTCGTCGAGTAAGAAATCTTTCTTTTTTTATTTTTCTTTCATGGCCAGCTGGCGCGGAGTGGAAAAAAAATAAAATGCCACAGACACCACCAACACAATGACCAACGCAAAACGTGGACTTCAATCGCAAAAAAAAATAATAAGAGCATAGGTGTGTAGCAGTGAAGGCACAAGTATCCGAAAAGTTGTACTGGAGATAAGTTGATTAGCATTGATGTAAAATGTCACATATCTGCTTCTATGCTGTTTTGACAGGATGTAGAATGCATTCAAAATGGCCGAATCCCGACATGAGATCATTTTTTTTTTCAATTTCAACAGAGGCATATTGATGACATGGATACCTTCCATTACGTCACAAAAATAGAATGCTGTTGTATCTGTTGCAACTTAGTCGATCACGTATTACTTGGGGAGTTTGCATATGGCACATGGTGACTCATTGTCTACAAGACAATTTTGACAGTCAAACGGAGCTTGTTATGGAGCTCGTGTCAGTGCCTAATTGTGTGTTTGCTGGGCGATCTATACCGCTTGATGGAGTGATTGTATAGGTGTAGAACGCCCCCCTGAAGTGTTCTTTACAATAATGGCACTCGAGTTGAGCAAAGGACCATTGAGTGTAACAGACTCAGTGGAAAACTCAAGGAATAAAATAGGCGACTGCGAGCAGCGCTATATTCCGAAACTTTGTGGTAGTGATAACCACCGCAGTCTTGTGGGGCCCAGTCAGCAAAGTGCATCGCCAATTCCCAAATTAATTGCTTTCAGTTCGGCTTCTGATTTCTGTCTTTTTTTTTTTTTCAGAAATGCCTAGGGCCATATTATCTATGTAAAACGTTTGAGCTCCAGATTTTTGCTTGCATAATTGCTTTAGTAGTGCTGTCATTGGAATCTCCTTGAATGTCAATCTAATGTGTTCTTGTACTTTCCATTATATAATACATTTCGTATGAGCATTGCATTGTCATCAGCGTAAGCTTAGGTTATTCTCACTCTTGCCCGTGAATGCCATTGCTTGATTGTAATCCCTTTGCGACAAAATGGGATGGGTAATCTACACAAAAAAGTCTGTACTTGCCCATCTATTCTCAAGCAAGACTACTTATGGATAATTTGTTCACTTCGCGTATCCTTCACCAACACGTACTCTTTTGTGAAAGAGTAATCACCTGTTATTTGCAATTAGCCCGCCTCTAATTCAGTATATGGCTGTATCTAATTCTACTCGCCTATTGTGCGACTTGTGGAGAGAACAATCAAAGTCTTCGTCATAAATGCTTATTTTGTGTAATATTGCAATTTTTGTCTACTTTTGTGGTCATCTTGACAAATTTCATTATTGCTACAACAAGAAGGAAGGAAAAGAGAATCTCATCCAACTGGCATGGGGTGATGGAAATATGCCCATCGTCTTAATTGAAACCTAATAAATATACCTTGAAGGTGAGAAAATAGCACACTTTCTACAAAGACACCGTGCAAAAGATATCCTACTACGATGCGAATGGTCCTTGGCTCGCTTAGTAAAAGTCCAATGCGGAATTTCTTGTTGGGAGTGCTTTCTCTATAAATATTATCAAATAGTTTTCAGGCTGCCATCAAGTGAAGACGTCAGTCATTCGTCAAATTTTAGAAGCACAATACTGATATTCCTCTTGTAATATTGTAAATTTACAAAACTCTCAATTCCTAATTAAGTTTCGATTTTTTAGAAATACCTATTGTTAAACTTTTTTAGTGCCACCGTAAATAGGCAAGATCTTTGAAGTTTTTGTGATCATTCACTATTTTGCAAATATCGCTTACCCACAGGAACGTTCTCCTAGAGATGTTGACTAAATACAAAAAAAAAAGAAATGAACAAAAAACATTTATCCGGATTTTGGTTACGCTTCTGAAAAACCGCCTTTGCCTTTTACAAGATTATTAGCGAAATGCATCAAGCGATAAACCAGTTCATCTCAACATCGTGATCAAGATGTGAGATTGCTTGTATACATTTCCCCGAAAAGAAAAGAAATTTTTGGAATACTTACTTCTAAAGACTAAGTTAATTTTGTTTTGCTTTGTGTGCATAGGTTTGAAGTATAGCAACCTTTCCCTCAAGGAAGATAGTTGTTGTATCCTTCGGCCTCTGTAATTTTCTGTCCATTGGAAGGGGAGGGAGGACAGGGAGGGGATGGCTTATGCGGGGTATGTTATGAGCCCAATGTAGGAACAAAATATTCTGAGTTTAACTAAAAAAGGTCTTTCACGACTAAAAACTGTAAAGTTTGGAACAGTGCTTCCTAACCATAGAAGTTTTTGAAATCAGCTGATTTATCCCTTGTTGTGTTTTCAGTATTCCTGAAATTATGGAGTTACACTTTGTGCAGATTTGGAATTGAAATTTGAGAAAACTTTGAAAGAGAGACATCGTTTCACATGTCCGGTACTCCGCGATTTGGCAATAATTGAATGGCTCACAAATATCAAATGCTAAATGAAAAAGTTGCTTTGAAAGCCTAGTGCAGTAGCACCCAACTTTTAGCAAGTACAGTTTGACTTTTAGATAAGCATTAACAGTGATACTCTACACTCTTGCTTTATTCGATGAGTACAAGAAGAAATGGTGATTATATCTACCATGAATGTAAAAACAAAATAATCTTGAAAACTTAAAATTGAATTTGAAATCTATACCGAAATGAACGATGCAACGTGAATATCTCTATAAACAACCGAAAAAACGTGAAAATTGTTTGAAGATGTGCCTAAATTTGAAATCGGGGAGGACTTTTCCCCAAAGCTTAATTGATAAGGTGTCAAAAGAAAATGAGCAGCTGGTGAATGGTTCACCCTGAAATTCTTCTTCCTCTCTAAAGTAACATGGATATAATGACAAAAAGACCAGTTAATGCTGTAGAAGCTCTTTGTATAGATCCACTTCCTTCGTAGCTCGAAATGATAGGAGTGTTGTGTTTAGTAGTGGTGGATTGACTCGATGTTACTATGGAAACAAAGCCTGATCCGTTACTTGATCCATTTCCTGATCCATTTCCTGATCCGTTACTTGATCCATTACCTGATCCAGTGCCTGAACCTATACTTGAACCGTTACCTGAACCGTTACCTGATTCATTGCCTGACCCATTTCCTGATCCATTGCCTGATCCGTTACTTAATCCACTACTTGATTCGTCGCCGGATCCATTGCCTGATCCAGTGCCTGAACCTATACTTGAGCCGTTACCTGATCCGTTACCTGATCCGTTACCTGATCCGTTACTTGATCCATTACCTGATTCATTGCCTGACCCATTTCCTGATCCATTGCCTGATCCGTTACTTGATCCAGTGCCTGATCCATTTCCTGATCCGTTGCCTGAACTGTTACCTGATCCATTATCTGATCCATTGCCTGAGCCTATACTTGATCCACTACTTGATTCGTCGCCGGATCCAGTGCCTGAACCTATACTTGATCCATTACCTGATCCGTTACCTGATCCATTTCCTGATCCATTTTCTGATCCGTTACCTGATCCAGTGCCTGAACCTATACCTGATCCGTTTCCTGACCCATTTCCTGATCCATTATCTGAACCTATACTTGATTCATCTCCAGATGCTGAAAGAGCAGTAGATAAAGTGGCTTGTTCGGTCTGAGATGTACTTGAGTCTGAGTTGTTTGCATCTGTAGGCGTGATTGTGATTGTCTCTTGACCACCGTTACCCGTTGTTGTTGGCGTGGTTGTAATTGTCTCTTGACCTCTACTTGGATTGCCCGAAGTAGTTGACGTAGTTGCCGTAGTCACCTGACCCCCATTTTCATTATTAGAAGTGCTTGATACAGATTGTGTTGGCGAGGTTGTAGATTGAATTGAGGAAATTGAGTCACTGATTGCAGTTGTAGATTCTGCAACTGACACACTTAAAGAAGTTATTGTAGACTCTGATGTAGAAGGGACTGATGATGGTTGTGCAGGGCTAGTGCTGTTTTGATAAGGTGGAACTATGGAGGAGAAAGAATAGCTTGTAGACAACAGGTCACTCAGGGTCAGCAAATCTGAAGTGCTAGATGGTGGTTCTGATGAACTTGAACCTTCCGAACTTGATACTTGTGAACTTGATGATGCTGATGAACTGGTTGCTTCTGATGAACTAAAAACTTCTGTTGAACTTGAAGGTGCTGACAAAATTGATTGGGCGGAAGAGCTTGTTGCTTCTAATGAGCTTGAGCTGTCTACTGTACTTGAAGCCTCTAACGAATTTGTCGGTCCGGATGAGTTTGTTGCCTCCAATGAGTATGACGTCTCCAAAGAACTTGTTACTTCTGAGCTAGATGGTGGCTCAGATGAACTTGCCTCTTCTGAGCTAGATGGTGGTTCTGTAGAGCTGGCTGGTTCGGATGTGCTTTCTGGGTCCAATGAACTTGCCTCTTCTGAGCTAGATGGTGGCTCAGACGAACTTGCCTCTGCTGAGCTAGATGGTGGCTCAGATGCACTTGCCTCTTTTGAGCTAGATGGTGGTTCTGTAGAGCTGGCTGGTTCGGATGTGCTTTCTGGGTCCAATGAGCTTGCCTCTTCTGAGCTAGATGGTGGTTCTGTAGAGCTGGCTGGTTCTGATGTGCTTTCTGGTTCTGATGAGCTTGCCTCTGCTGAGCCAGATGGTGGCTCAGACGAACTTGCCTCTGCTGAGCTAGATGGTGGCTCAGATGCACTTGCCTCTTTTGAGCTAGATGGTGGTTCTGTAGAGCTGGCTGGTTCGGATGTGCTTTCTGGGTCCAATGAGCTTGCCTCTTCTGAGCTAGATGGTGGTTCTGTAGAGCTGGCTGGTTCTGATGTGCTTTCTGGTTCTGATGAGCTTGCCTCTGCTGAGCTAGATGGTGGCTCAGATGAACTTGCCTCTTTTGAGCTAGATGGTGGTTCTGTAGAGCTGGCTGGTTCGGATGTGCTTTCTGGGTCCAATGAGCTTGCCTCTTCTGAGCTAGATGGTGGTTCTGTAGAGCTGGCTGGTTCTGATGTGCTTTCTGGTTCTGATGAGCTTGCCTCTGCTGAGCCAGATGGTGGCTCAGACGAACTTGCCTCTGCTGAGCTAGATGGTGGCTCAGATGCACTTGCCTCTTTTGAGCTAGATGGTGGTTCTGTAGAGCTGGCTGGTTCGGATGTGCTTTCTGGGTCCAATGAGCTTGCCTCTTCTGAGCTAGATGGTGGTTCTGTAGAGCTGGCTGGTTCTGATGTGCTTTCTGGTTCTGATGAGCTTGCCTCTGCTGAGCCAGATGGTGGCTCAGACGAACTTGCCTCTGCTGAGCTAGATGGTGGCTCAGATGCACTTGCCTCTTTTGAGCTAGATGGTGGTTCTGTAGAGCTGGCTGGTTCGGATGTGCTTTCTGGGTCCAATGAGCTTGCCTCTTCTGAGCTAGATGGTGGTTCTGTAGAGCTGGCTGGTTCGGATGTGCTTTCTGGGTCCAATGAGCTTGCCTCCTCTGAGCTAGATGGTGGCTCAGACGAACTTGCCTCTTCTGAGCTAGATGGTGGTTCTGTAGAGCTGGCTGGTTCGGATGTGCTTTCTGGGTCCAATGAGCTTGCCTCTTCTGAGCTAGATGGTGGCTCAGACGAACTTGCCTCTTCTGAGCTAGATGGTGGTTCTGTAGAGCTGGCTGGTTCGGATGTGCTTTCTGGGTCCAATGAGCTTGCCTCCTCTGAGCTAGATGGTGGCTCAGACGAACTTGCCTCTTCTGAGCTAGATGGTGGTTCTGTAGAGCTTGGTGCTGTTGAACTAGACGATGGTGCATAACTAGATAGTGGAAGCGACGAGCTTGGTGTTGAAGAGCTAGATTGTGGTGCGAAACTTGATGGAGGTTTCGAGCTTGATGGTATTTGAGACGAGCTTGAAGGGGCCAAACTAGATGGTGGAGCCGATGAGCTTGGCGGTACTGAACTGAATGGCGGTTTCGAGCTCGAGAAAGGAACCGAAGAGCTTGCTGCTTGTGATGAGCTTGCTGCTGCTGAACTAGATGGCGCTGCTGAACTAGATGGCGGTTTCGAGCTCGATGGCGCTGCTGAACTCGATGATGACTTTGAAGTAGATGGCGCTTGCGAAGAGCTTGGCGCTTGCGAAGAGCTTGGCGCTTGCGAAGAGCTTGGCGCTGCTGAACTAGTTGATGGCTTTGAAGTAGAAGGTGGTTGTGAAGAACTAGTGGGTGCCGAGCTAGATGATGGCTTTGAAGTAGATGAAGATGTAGGTGTACTAGATGTTGGCTTTGGGCCAGTTGGGGTGATTGGATCCCATTCCACAACGGTGGCTGTCTTACCAACAGGAGCAGTGATAGTTGTAGTCCATGTTGAATATCCGGTGTAGCTTGATGTGACAGTTGTAGTTGGAATTGGCACTTCGACAACGATTGTCTTTGTATTTCCTTGTGCTGTGTTGAACGGCAACGTTGTTACTGCAGTTGTTGATCCGAGCCATGTTGAGGTGGTGACGACAACTTCGTTACCATTAGCACCAGCCTCGTTGTTGTTGTAAGCTCCCCAAGTGCTTGTTTTTGAGTAGTCGCGCGAGAAAATGTCGCCCACACAACGATATCTATTGGTGTAAGTTATCAGCAATTGCGAACCAGTTTGACGTGTTGCCAAAATATCAAGAAATGGTCTGTAATCGAATGGAATGTTGTTGTAGTAAACCATGAAAGAGCCCCCATCACAAGTTGTATACGCGGAAATGTCATCTATAGTTTCGGGGAAGTACCACGCATTCAAATTATTTGTAATAGCTGCGTGGACACTTGAACAATCGAGTGTACCTCCACCATTGACAGTGATTCCCAAAGTTCCGCTTCTGAACCCCCAGGTACAGGTACCACCTAACGCATACAACTGTTCCTTGTTCAAACTTGGTACAACTCTATCGTATACGACACTTTGATCGGTTGGAGTGTTTGCGTTTGTGTTGGAGCCACCCTGAAAGTAGGCTGTGGTTGTCAATGCCTTATTACCATCATAAAATGTAACATCATTGGTACCTGGTGTGAAACATTGAGAGTTTTGCAAATCCACGGGCCCAGCTGATCCACCAACGTTGAAAGTAAGGGGAAATGACACGGTACCGGTGGTGTCGGTGCTGGCCTTGACGTTGCTACTAGCAGTACATTTCAATTGAGAATATGGAACCACTAAATCACCTGGTGCAAAGTTACATGTGGCATAAACTGTACTTCCAACAGCCAAATCAACACTTGGTTGTGAAGTAGTGAACTTGAACACACAAGGCATATTCAAGGTGAAGGTGTCTCCCTTTTTGACGTTTGAGCCCTTGATTGCCCATGACAAGGTTGCAATCCAACTTGGGGCTGCAGGTGTACTGAATGGATAAGATCCTGCATTTTTCCAGTTTAAACTGTCAAAACTTTGGAAAACGTTGCTAACCTCAGCAGCCTGAGTGGTTGCGATGAGCGAGAATGCAGCAAATAGTACCGCGAGCAACAAGTGTTTGATCATCGATTATTATGGTTAGCGTTTGAACAGCATTGGCAAGCTAAAAAATGGCGGAAACATCTCAGTTTATATAGCAAGTGTTATGAGACTACCTTGCTTGAATCATCTTAAACAGATGCCCTCGGTTTGTACCTCCTGTTGGTAAAGCTTAAAGGTAAATTCAATGCAGTATGTCTTAAAATTTCTGTATCGGTTGCAAACCTTTTTCCTTCGCTCCCTGGAAAAGGGAAAATTTTGCTTTTACCTTTTGTGGAAGATTCTATTGTTTTTTCAGTTCTGAAGGCATTTAATAGCTATTATGTGTGTGAATTGCGTATATGTACAGTTGAAAACAAAGAAAGGGTGTGTGTTTTTTGTTTTTTGAGAGAGAGAGAGAGGGGGGGTATTCATCGCAAAGCTTATCCAATAGGACAACCAACCCAATTGGGTTGAAGGTCAACTTAACTCAATGGCAACTCAAACTGGCATTTGGGACAATTTCTTTGCATCTTTCCTTATTGGAGGAAGTGGGACGGGAGGGGCAATAGGAAGTAAAACGAGCATTATTTGGAGCCTTGCGTCTGCGGATTTAATTTTAATTTTTTCTTCTTTGGTTTTGCACAAAATTTTCAGTTTCATTTTTGTGTAAATTTGCTAATCCTGCACATTAATAAAGTTATGTGATTTCCAGAAATAGCAGTGACGATGATCAACGATGAACAAATGCAAATCAAACAATCACGATGCAGCTATCCAAAAAATACGACGATGCTGCAGAAGTTTCAAGGATCATTTTGTACAGAAGAAAGAGTTGGGATCAGCTGTTATTGGATGGCCACAGCGTGCACCCCAATCAAATACAAAGGCAGTTCGAAGGTGGCATATGAAATAATGACTATGTCAATGTCAAAGTTCTCCGTTTTTCCGCCTCAAATATACGCCAAGTGCTGGTCAATTTTGTGCTATCTTGAGGAATCTCTGTTGCTCAAAATCAGTGAGTGGTCCAATTAGTAATTGCATTACTAAGAATGGTCCACGAAAAACTCCTGCCACTCATCTCATATAATCCTTTCCTACTTTAAGCTTTCTTAGAGAGATATTGTCGACCTACAAGTCAATACTATAAACTTTAATCAGTTATGTTTAAGCAAGTCTTCCATGGGATTGTCGTACTGCATGCTAGTAGACATATAATATAACCATCGATTCTCATTGCTGGAAATAACTTTTTTTTTTTTTCCAAAAAGGGTCTAAAAAAGAAGGGTCAGAACAAGAAATAATACGGAGCCAATCTTAGTAAAAAAAACAAAAAAAAAACAAAAAAAAAGGTTAAAGTCTAACTTTTGTGTCTTGATTGGGGCTACGAGTACAACATGGTTTCTGAGAAATTGAGGCGGCATTAATTACCGTGGAAGGAAGCATACTAACCGCTTAACTTAATTGACAAGAAGAAGGTTTAATAGCAGGGACTTTGTATATAAATTTACGGAAGTGTACTTTGTTGCTTTATAGAACAACAAAACGTCATATGTTACACAATTGGATGAGGCGTGACTGTGCGCAGGAAGTAAAGTATGCCAGAGAACACTGAGATATTCACATTTGTGTGAAAGAGAAACATCAGTCGAATGCAATTGTGCTGAAATTTCATGTGGACTTTGCAAATTGCTTCTACTTCATTTGTTTTTGTGACTCTGTTGCATTTACGGCACTTGCTGTTTCTTTTGCTTATGTAAACTTCGTTCGTTAATGTATATTAGTTTTGTGTAATAGAAGAAACAAAATTAAGAGTGTACAAACAAATATTGTGTTATGTATGGTTTGTATAATTCGCAAGAATTGATTGAAAGGGGGTGGGGGGATGGAGGCGGAAGGATGCAGAGCAAGACAAAGCGAAGCTTAATGAAGGGAAAACTAAGCTCTGCATAAAGACACCTACACGTCATAGCTTTGGTGCGCATGAAAAGAAGTGTACAAAGCATATTGCTCTAGCCTATGCATGTGTATTGTACGTAGAGAAGTTCATATTTTATCTCGTGTATGCACTGAGATCAACTTGGCACCTTTGAAATTCTGCTTGTTTTAAGGTTTTCATACAGAAAGGAGATACATATACCAAAGTGGAAAACAAATGAAATAACAACAAATCAGAGTCTCCAAGTGTAGAGGAGTTTAAGTTTTAGACAAAACTATATTTGTGCCTAACTATTTCCCAACGCCTATTTCGCCTAAAAAAAAAAAAAAAGAAAAAAAAAAAATTTTGTTTTTCCGTAAGTACAAGTCACTTTACACAATTCCTTTTTCTGTTCTATTTTTTTTTTTTTGGCTTCTCTTCTCTTTGCAAATTTATTTGTTACGCTTGGTACAAAACTTGAAATTTGCCAAGGTAAAGGCTATCTCATGCACTGACTAAAAAAAAAATCTTTTGCCGAACTCTTTCAAAAATCTAATGTCTACAAGAAATGAGTGTGTGCGTAGTGCATGGTTTGGAAGTTGGTGTTGCTGACAATTTTTAGAGAAATTTTCTTAAAGAAACTTCCCATTCATCCTTTTCTGAAGTCTGTCATGCGATGCCCGTTTAAGAAGTAGAAAGATCCACCCACGTACATGCAAATGAGGCTTTTCTGCGTCATCACTTGGATGATGTGCACACTAGTTCGGTATTATTTGCCTCGTTCGTCAATGCTCCTCGGCCCCTTGAGTCGAACACAAAAGTGATGCCTTTTTATTTTTTTTTTTTTCTTCGGCCCCTATACTAGATTGCGGAAGCCACACATTTTAGGGAAAACTTAGCTTCCGCACAGTACAGAGATAATAGGGGTTAGCGATCAATTTCAAAATTTGCATAACGAAATTAGTTTACATTCGTAGGTGGTTGGTGGAATTGGGCCGGAGCGGTGCCCTGAAAAAACTGTTCAGGTTTGGAGGTGTTTTTTGAAATCAAACATCAATGGCATTTTCCATTTCCTTCAATTGAATATCACTTGGCCATTTGTTTTAATGAGTATCATGTAATGCAAAAGCACATAGAGCTCGTCTCGTATAAGTCATCAAACTCATTAGTTCATCATTGAGTGACCAGCAATGTCCCTCCCACCACACACACACTAAAATATGGACAAAACAATGAAAAGACGGCATGAAAAGCACGCCTCAGAGAGGGCTTGTAGACCTCCTATTAGCCTTACTTGCAGGTCTCTACAAAATTTAGTCTAAAATAATGATAATCAGCTGATTTATCAAAAGATTTATCAAAAACAATGCGGAAGCAATGCGTAAACAGTGAATATATATCGTAATTTAAGAAATCGTGCCGATCACGGTCAGATTTTAGTGCAGTCGCCTTGAAAGAGTGGGGAAAAAGTAAACATAGCAAACCGTCTCTTTTAATTATTTAAACACATTTGGTTGGAAGAGCAATACACGTTCATTGCGTACGTGGTGAAGAAGATGGTCTCCGTTGAAACAATCACCAACAACGTCCAGTTTATCACTGTAGTACTAAACTAAAGCGGCAAACTGTGCAAACACCATTGATGACAATCACCAACAACGTCCAGTTTATCCAAAGTGTAACAGCTCCATCATCAGTGTACAATATCCAAGTCTCTGTTACTTTTTTGTTGTTTATTGGCACTCCTAATTCGTATTCTCATCAACGTGTCTGGCTTCAAATTACCCCTTTGCAACGTGGCATCACATCCCCCAATCGGACATTCCATCCCTCCTGAAGAGTGTTGTTCAAGTTGTTGTAATATACTCAGCGATTCAAAAGTATGACCACAAGGAGCAACTACTGGGTCAACAAAGGAATTCAACGTGAGTGGATCTTTTAATGAAACCACACCACCACTAATTCCAACGTCGTCATCATTATCGGCAAATTCATCAGGCACTGACTCTTCAGGATGCTTGATTACATACGCAATGCTTCTCAACAATTGATAAAACTCATCTGATTTCAAGTGAGCTTGGACTTCCGCTGTAGATGACAAATTGTGCACTTCGGATAATAATTCTTCATAGCTTGGTTTATTCATGGAATGATACATGTCGAGTGTATCCAACGTCAATGGTTGCGATGTATTCAAATAATCTGTGATTCTGCGATCAGCACCAATAGATTCAAATTTCTTCAAATTACATCGTGACTCCAATATTTGCTTATACCCAAGAGCGAAATTATTTAGGGTCTTTTCATCGAATTCCAAGGACTCATTCTCAAGTATATAGTTTATGTAATTCTTGGCGGTCAAGCGATGCTGATTGATTGCTGGCGTTGTCATATCGGTACTGGCATTGGTACGAAAGATTTTGTCAAAGTCACGATGGAAGTTACGATTTAATGGCACATATGACGGTAAGGATAAGTTCTGGGGGAGAAACGCATCTGAGTTTGATGCCTCGGGGTGTTCTGCACCAGCTTGTGACATGGTTTATGGATAAAGAGACGCGTTGTTAATAAAATCAAAGATCCTTCTTTTGAGAAAAAAAAAAAGAAAAATAAATGTGTGTGTCTGATAACGTGAAACTCACGTGAATCATTTACCAATATTTTTTTTAGCAGGTACTTTGATGGGATTAATTCAAAGTGCAGATTTTTGTGGCTAATTTTGTAGCTCGATGGGTGTTTTCTGCCTTACATAGATACTATACAAATAGTTCAACTGTCTCTATGAATTAATTCTTTTGAAGGGAGAGGTCGTTGGCTTCATTGTAAAGTTACTTCTAAGGTCTTATAGACACATTTTTTTGAATTATTTCACTGCCAAATGCAGGGACTTTGAAAAAGACAAACACAAACTAAAGCAGATACACTTTCTTAAATTTCATTAAAACTAAGAGTAGAGTTGAACTTGAAGAGAAACGATTCAAGCTCTTTGCAGAGCAACAAGGATCTTTCAATTGCTCGATTGATTGATTTACAAGCAACATCTTGAACACACATGGTAGCATTCCATGAAGGTCGTGCAAAATCTTTCTCAATTCCGAGGAAATTACAAAAGCCAAGAAGATTGGGAAAGAAAGTTTTTTGGGACGGGGGGGGGCTTGTTAAACTAAACTATTTCAATGCAATGGAGGGGATACAACAGCGTGGTTGCGTATTGCAAAAGGGACAACAAAGTAAAGTAATGCGAAGAACCCTCCACCTTCCCCCCCTCCCGAGGCTCGCACTCAGAGAGGAAAAAAAGGAGGCGATGCTCACTTTCAACATAGCCCTTGTACCTGTAAAAGAAGAGGAACAAAAACCAACAACAAACAAGTTTATATTGTCTTTTTTTTTTTTTTTTTTTTTGAAGAAACAAAGAAATCTAAGACTCAGGGGCACGCCCTTACAAGCACAAAAACTGAAACTGCAGCTCAAATGCTAACAGTCGCCACGGATGTTTAAGAAGGAGTCAGGTGGCAGGAACAGCTTCTGTGGTAAGCACAGGTACACCTTTGAGAAGTGTATGCCTTGTCTCTCATTTGTGTAGACGTGGTAGCAGTGTAATTCTTTGCGGTGGTTACTTTTATTGTTGATGCATTGCTTTCGGATAGGTTGGGAGTTTGTTTGCACAGTTTGACACTCCCTCCAGAACAGTGCATCCAGGTACAGGAAAAAAAGACACACGTTTTGGCAGACGTAGTGGCTGTGGTTGATCCTTTATAGCCAACTTGCTACACAAGATAATGTTGTGTATACAAATACTGCATATACTAGTGTCTCCATAGGATTACTCCATTTGTCTAAATTTAGTACTAATATGGAACAAACAATAACAACCAATACTATACAATACTATGAACAGTTACAAACAGAATAAAATAAAAAGAAGCAACAACAAAAAGTAACAACAACAAACATGGAGCAGAAATATGAAATCCCATCAGTATCATCATCATCAACAGACAAAAACAAAAATAAAAATACTCCGTAAAAAGAATATATCTCTTTTTAGTTTGCTACTTTTGATCTCAACAAAATCTTCTTTCTTTCACTTCTAAAGGATACCACCAATACTATATACATCAACACACACACACACACACACCACCATCACCACTTCCCCCCACACCTTGCCACGCCAGGTAGTTTGTCTGCTAAAAAGTTTAAGTTATTTTTTTTTTCTTAGTTTGATCGATCTCCAAGAAATTATAATAAATTCTTTGCAACCCTTTTCTTGATCATAATAATAATAATCATAATCATAATTACACAATTTTCTTAGCACAACAGCCAAGGACGCTGATACTATGTCATATCAAAGAGCACGAGACCTAACAAGAGGGGAGTTCACTACTCGACCTATTTTCCACCAAGAAGAAAATGGCAGCAGTAGCATTGCTTCACAAGACACTCCGGTGGATCCATTCGACGTTTCACCTGAAAGTCATCTGGCTTTTGAACTACAGCTGAACTATTCAAACCCTCCACTGCCACACAATCAACATGGACGTCCATTTGTTGTCCATGGAGGGGTGTACAGTGATAACTCCTTCAATTATAATTCAAACTCATCTTCGTCCTCGTCTTCCATGGCTAATGTGTTTGGCAACGGTGCACAAAGGCTGGGGGCTCCAAGAGGAAATGCGAAGTATCTGCACAACCCTATTAGAAACGAGAACTTGTACATTAACCAACCTCCTGCTTATGATCGGTACCCAATTATCAAAGATTCAGAAGCCAATTCAATAACACTGTCCAACTCACAGCTGCAATTACAACAAGGAGCAGCAGCCGCTGCCACTGCAGCAGCATTAGCCGATCATCTACATAACGAGCCACAGTCCAGCTCATTTTCCAAGGGATCCGACACAAAGTACCCTGCGTCGTATAAATTTACCGAGTTTAGCCCCTTTGGCGGATTCCCCGCATCTTCATTCCCACTAAGCATAGAGGAGAAAGAGCCAGATGATGATTTACACAATCCAAATCCGGTGAAAGATGCAGAGTACGAAAAGAACCGGTTTTGGTATGACTTGAAGCAGGGTGACAGTCGATCGTATTGGGGGATTGTTGGATTTCTATTCCTTCTTGCTGCAGCTATTGCAGTTTTTGTCATTTTACCAGCTTTGACCTACTCTGGTGTCACTGAGCATGGACCACCTCAAACTTATGAAATCTTGACCCATTATTCGTATCCCATGTTGAGTGCAATACGAACAAACTTGATTGACCCCGACACGCCAGAAGATGCATTGACTTTGGACTCGAAAGGTGGCGATAAATGGCAGTTGGTGTTTAGCGACGAGTTCAATGCCGAGGGCAGAACATTTTACGAAGGTGACGATCAATTCTTCACCGCCCCCGATTTACATTATGATGCCACTAAAGATCTTGAATGGTATGATCCAGACGCAGTGACTACCGCCAATGGTACTTTGACACTACGCTTGGATGCTTTTAAAAATCATGATCTATTCTATCGCTCTGGTATGGTACAGTCATGGAATAAAATGTGCTTCACTCAAGGCCGGATTGAAATTTCGGCGAGACTACCCAACTATGGTTCAGTTTCTGGACTTTGGCCAGGTTTATGGACAATGGGTAACCTCGGTCGTCCTGGTTATTTAGCTTCGACCGAAGGAGTATGGCCATATTCGTATGATTCATGTGATGCGGGCATCACTCCCAACCAATCTTCGCCAGATGGCATTTCCTACTTGCCTGGACAAAGGTTGAACAAATGTACGTGCCCAGGAGAATCGCATCCAAACCGTGGAGTTGGAAGGGGTGCTCCTGAGATTGATCTCGTTGAAGCTGAAATTATGGTTGATAGCACTGGTAAGAAACCGAATAATGGTGTGGCTTCTCAATCATTACAAATGGCCCCAATGGATATTTGGTACATGCCAGATTACGATTTTATTGAAATTTACAACTACTCCATCACCACGATGAACACGTATGCGGGGGGCCCTTTCCAACAGGCGTTTTCGGCTACTACAACGTTGAACCGTACTTGGTATGAAAGAGGCAATGGATTGGAGCACCAGTACCAACGATTTGGCTATGAATATCTCAATGACGACGATAACGGGTATTTGAGGTGGTATGTTGGAAGAGACCCCACGTTGACGGTGTACAGTACGTCATTGCATCCAAATGGAAACATTGGATGGCGTCGATTATCGAAGGAACCAATGTCCGTTATCATGAACTTGGGTGTTTCAAACAACTGGGCGTACATTGATTGGGGTGAAATTGTATTTCCCTCAACGTTCACAATCGATTACGTTAGAGTGTACCAGCCAGGAAATGCCATCAATGTTGGGTGCGATCCTGAAGATTTTCCAACTTATGATTACATTCAGCAGCATTTGAACATTTATGAAAATGCTAATCTAACCAGTTTTGAAGATGCAGGGTATTCGTTCCCAAAGAGCAGTTTGACTGGTTGTTAGTGTTTATAGTTTTGTCGTACAGTAACATCACTTCTCGCGAGTTAATTTGTAGACTGCGCGCTTCCTATTAGTCTAGGGAGGAAGAACGCTAATAAACAATAAGCAACTTATTGACCGATATTATTGTAAGTGTAATATGTCTACTTAAAGAACCGTAGCTTACTATTACAACGAGTAAATGATTGTCAGAGCTGTTACAACATCCTAAGTTAGAGTCTGTCAGTGCGGTCTCCAACTAACACTGAATTCCAACTTATTATCGTAAACTAAGTGATACAATATAAAGTAGTATATATTCCATATTTCTCTAAAAACTGATAATATAAAAGAAGAGGGAAATTGACCCATATTTATACTCTCTGAAACTCATTCCAAGTGTAAGTTAAACTTTATGAGTCAATTCCTCAAAAGGTAGTGCAAGGCACAAATATCACTTTGAATTAAATATGCTTAATTCATTGTAGTTTAGTGTCACTGTACTACAGTTGGGGTAAAAACTTGCTTTTCCGAATTTGGAATACAGGCAAGAGAGAGAGACTTAACAACACACTGCACTCACCCAGTAGCCAACAACACTCTACCTTGAAGAGACGATTTCAAATGAGTGCATCTTCCTGGTTCAGCTTTTGGTGGAGCAAGAATGATGAAAGCGATCAAACAGAGCAAACCCCAAATGCAGAAGAAACTGCAGGAAGAACTCTGCAGTCACGGCAAAGAAGTAGCATGTTATCAACTTCTAGCACAGCAGGAGGTTGGCTAAGTTGGAAAAAAGAACCTGTAAACCAAACAGCTTCAGAAGACGACCACGAGGATGTTAATGAAGAACAGGATGATGGAAATGATGAAGAGATTGAGCCAATAGACAACAACAACAGCAACAGCAATAACAACAGCAACAGCAACAACATCAACAACGACGATGATGACATGGCCGATGACAATGGAGATGAAATAGATGATCATGTGGCGGCGCCACGACGTGGTGGTCTAAACTGGTTCTGGAATAGCACATCAAAGAACAGTACAAATGAAACAAAGAGAGATGAAGTGGAGGATGCAAAGAAAGATGATAAAAAAGAGGCTGATTCGATTGACAAAAAGGATGAAAAGAAGGACAAGATAAGCCATGCCAGTTTTGAAACAAATACGATTTTAACCCCATCTATCCCCACTAAGCAAGAGCTCACTAATGCAGCCAAAAAAGTACCCGACGAAGTACAACAAGATGACGCTGTGTTGTACAAACCTCACGACAAAGCAGCTCAGTTTAACCAAATCAACACTCACAAGAATGAAAACTTGAAGGAGAATGTCATTGTCCCCAACTGGAAAAGATGTCTTCCGGTTGTACATGAAGGACACGTGTTCCATAATTCATCAACCTCAAACCCTAACAACAGCAATCAAACAATTAGAACTGATTTGAAAAACTGGAGACAGTTTTTGACACAGATATCAGCCAAGTTTGGTCTCACCACTGGTGCGGACACTGAGTTGCCACAAGATACTAAGGCTGAGGACGATGTGGGACTACTATATGAAAGGTCCTACAAACTCTATGGCAAGTCCTTGGCAGTGTTGCCCCAGCATAAACGTGCTTGTCTTCCAAACTACAACAAGTATTATCAAAACACTGACGACCCTGTTTCTCAATATCAAGAAGACCAAGATGATCCAAATGCAATTACCATCTCTAATGATGCCATGGGTAACCTCTTGATCAACAACAAGGCTAGAAGAAGGGGCACAGTAAACACCGAGGTGGTCAATCACAAATCGGGTCCTTTGAAAAAAGTTCAAAATATATTAATTATTGGTGTACACGGATTCTTTCCTACTCGAATGATACGGCCCATAATCGGTGCTCCCAAGGGTACGTCTTTAAAATTCGCCAATGAAGCAGAAAAAGCAGTTATACGTTACTGCGTTGACAACAATCTCATAGATGACGACAAGTCTAATGTCAGTATTCAAAAGATTGCCTTGGAAAAAGAAGGTAAAATCTTTGATCGAGTTCACTTTTTTACTGAGATTTTACAAAAATGGGAAAAGGAACTCAATAATGCCGATTTTATATTCATTGCTTCACATTCTCAAGGATGTGTTGTTTCGATAATTTTACTTGCGAGGTTGATTCGAATGGGCATTTTAAAGGACCCGATAAACAAGCGTATTGGTTTACTAGGCATGGCTGGTATCAACAATGGACCTTTTTATGGGGCCGACAAGTCGTTTTTCATGAAGGCTTATTCTGCAATTGAGCATGAATCGTTGAATGAATTGTTTGAATTGACAAAGTTTGATAGTTCTCAATCTGTGGTTTACAAAGAATCGATACGAACAATTATCAATGTCAATGTCAAAATCTGCTTCATTGGATCCATTAATGATCAGCTAGTTCCCATGTACTCGGCATTGGCATCGCATGTATTCCACCCAAACATTTATCGTGCTTGTTATATCGATTACACATCTTCAACACCAACATTTATTGAGAAGCTAGTTTCCATTTGTTCAAATCTTTTGAATTTGGGATTTTTCGACAACAATGTCGTTAAAGAATTGAGCACGTCCTTGGCTGGACCATTAACAGGAGGCGGTCATTCTAAAATTTACAATGATGGTAAGGTGTACGATTTGGGGATTAAATTTTTTTTGGACACTGATGATATTGTTATCCCGCATGATGGAAAGATAGATTATGATGATTTCGATAATAGTGAATTACCAGTGTCGAATCAAGTTTACATTAAAGAGTTCAATGTTGGCAAAATCGGCACCAATCCATTCATCTTGCCTTGGTGCTTACGTGGGTTGTTGTTTAATATTGAAAAAAATTGGCCCACAAGGGACTACGAGATTGATGGGTTGAAGGAGACGAGTTTGACCAATGGTTTCACTGAGGTGCATGAGTTGTATGATGCGTTTGAACAATGGAGACCTACGGTGAAAATACAGAAGGATTTAAAGTTTAGATTGAATGGGTTTAGAGCTAGTAAGTTATAAAGCAGTCGTGTGAGTGGATCAATTTTCGTAGGTTTCATTTTTGTAATTCATATTTTTTTTTTTTTTTTTCCTCTTCTAGTTCGAGAGATCATCGGCAGTATTGCATCATTTTTCCCCTTCCACCCCCATCATCACCACACCAGAAATGTCCGATTACGAAGATAATGCATTCCGCGAGGTAGCTGATGCATATGAGGACTTTGACCCACCAGACCATTTTTCAGATAATGAGTTTGATGATCCAAATGGTGGAGATGCCCAATTGACCACCGATGATGGACGACAAATTGTGCAGGGAGGTATTGGTCCAGATGACGCCGCCGCGGGTGCCGCCGCAGCTCAGCAGAGAAAGAAAACAGCCAAGGAGCTAGCCATACCCAAGGACCAGAGGACCACAACTCCTTATATGACAAAATACGAGCGTGCGAGAATTTTGGGTACTAGAGCTTTGCAGATTTCGTTGAATGCACCTGTACTAGTGGATATCGAAGGTGAGACTGATCCTTTGCAAATTGCAATGAAGGAATTGTCTCAGAGAAAGATCCCTTTGGTTATTAGGAGATATCTTCCGGACGGCTCTTTTGAAGATTGGAGTTGTGAGGAGTTAATAGTGGATCAATAAAGTTAAAAATGAATGGACTAAACAGATTGAAGAGACTCTGTGTTGTAGAGTGTCACTATTACCTCTCACTAGATTTCTCAATTTCGAAAATGAATTGAGCAAAATCTATTTAGCTGGCAACCTTTTTGTCTCATAAAGCGACGAAATCTGAGGAAGGTAAGGATGCTCTTCAAAGTCAACATCAATCAGTACTTTAACATGACCAGCTGGGGTCAACTTGCCAACACCTGAGAGTGCGGAAAACTACAACGAAATGTACCTCTTAGTTACAAAGTTGTAGCACAAGAACTTACTTCTGTCGTCACGGCTGTGGTAGCGTTTTCTTTAGTCCCAGTCGATGAAAGTGGTGATCATACATTACACTCGAAAAAAAAGTTTGTGTACAATTGAACCTGAGTTTAAATGTCCGTCGCGGGGTTAAGCGATGAGAGACAATGCGCAGGACAGCAACAGCTTCCAGAAATAAGCAAGAGATTGATATAAATGTGCATTGTTGTTTTCTGTCTCTTTCATTGGACAGTGTTTCCGATTTTTCATTTTTTGCGCTTTTGTGATGTCATTGTGTATGAACTTTTCCTTCTCGAGTAATATTCCTATTGTCTTTTCCATTGGTGCCGCATGGTGAATGCGAACAATGTGCCGTCCAATGGTTCTATAAATATGTCCCACTTTTGCATGAAAAATTGCCACCATGTCGAGGAATACATCAATTTTGAGATATGCTTATGCTCGAAAGATTGTTGTTTTGCATCTTTTTGTTTGGCGTTGCACTCGCTATAGATACAACAGTTCTCAACAGTGAGATTGGTTCTATTTGTCAATGGGTTCGGGCAAAGCCCAACAACGACGATTCATATATCAGGTTACCTGTGAATAAAACTGTTGCAGACTACAGAATTTCTGGCTTGATTTTCAAGTACTACGATATCGCCAATTTTGCATCGATTCCTACCGTTGAGAACTTCACTGATTTGTACCCGCAAAATAAAACAGATTTATATACGGGGATGTTGGGCAGTGATGGCAAGTTCAACGTAAATGCCTCTGAGGGCTATACAGTGGAAAATTTGCACTTTTGGAGTGGAGTCATTGACAAAGAGATTACGTTCCCAGTTTTGGACTCTGGATTTTATTGTGTTTACATTGCACCAGATGCAAACAAGGACACAGATTTCAAACTACCAGTGCACTTTAGAAACTATCATGGTAACTTGGATTACGCCACTTATGTATACTATACAATCGTGAAGTGGATTTTTGCAATATTGGCTGTGACCGGTGCTGCGATTTTCAAATTTCATAAAAGCCTGGACTCAAAAGGACCACAAAAGTTGAGTTCAGTGGAAGCGGTTATCAACACCTATGTCTTATTGACTTTTATTCCTTTTATGTTGTGGGAGTTGTCTGATTTTTGCACTTTGTACGCAAAAAACAACGTGTTTCTACCTTATGAGATATCATCTAACAAATCAGTTTTCTTACTCGTCTGCTTTGTCTTTATTACCTTAAATGAAGCATTCCAGTCGTACGCAACTTTATTATATGCAATGGGACTTGGTGTCATTTATTACTATAGGGAAGTCGCCAGCTATAAAAAGTTTCCACCGGAAATGTTACGTTTAGCAACTGCACTTTTACTCGTCGATGGAGCAATCAGACTTTCATTGCTTGGGGTCAAGGATTGGCCAGGCTCTATCTCGTTTATGGGAGCTTCAATTACAGTTCCCGCAAAGCTTGTTTATTTAGGATTGACATGTGCAACTTTTTTGATGAGCTGTGTTTGGTTTATTTTATCATTCAAGTTCTATTTCGACACCAAGAAGAAATTATCTTCCTCAATTGCTCAAGATGGATCAAAAGTTAAGGTGGTTTCGGCATTCAAAAAGACATCATTGGCAATCTGGATAGTACCCGTTGTGTGCACTCTCATTATGACGGTTATTTCAAGTTTGGCATTATACTTCACTTTCAGGGGTGTGTCCCATTCAAATTTCAAGTTTACGCCTCGAGTCGAAATACTCGACTCTTACATGAACATGGAAATCGGGACACGTGTACAGTTAATTGGGATGTTAACAAGTGGGTTGGAACCATGGGTAGCCACGCTTATCTCAATCGGCGCAGTGTATTTAATCTGGGCTAAATTGAGCGACAGGTCTACAATTGAAAGGAAAATTGAATAGAGGATATGGATGTTTATGGAACTTACCTTGAATGCTTTGTATGTGGTTATGGATTTCCTGTATTGTATATAGTTGCACTCCACTAGGGTACATAGCAATTTGGGAGTAGGACATAAGAATAGTACTAAGTAAACGGACACCCACGTATTGGTGAGCCGCATAAAAACTGTCATTTTCATGTCATTTTTATGTCATTTTTATTTTGTGCCACGTCTCGAAAAAAAAAAGGCGCATTCGCTTTCCTTGACGAGTGGCAGTAATATTCATAATACACGGGTTCGTCCCCACTCATCTTCACTTTTTTGTTCACTTTGGCATTTGCCGCTGATGTTTTACATAAAACTTCAGGTGAATGGGTCCTTGGCGAGTTACAAGATTCCTGCATTAATATTTCAATTCAAAGACCTTTTGTCAATTTTTCGTTATTTCCTACAATTGAAACATTTAATGAATTGTATTCATCAAATAAGACTCGATTGTATCAGGAAATGTTGAATGAAGACAAAAGATTCAACCTTGATTCTGTTGACGCAAAATCAGTTGACCGTCTGAGGTTATAGAGTGGTGTTCTTGACAAGTACATCACGTTTCCAGTTCCCGAGACTGGAATTTACTGCATCTACATAGCTCCGGTAACAACCGAACTAGTTTGAATTGCCCATAGAAATACACAAAAGTTATGGCAGATTGTTGCATTGTCAGTTTTCACATTTGTTCTAGTGATTTACTACATATTGAGATATGACGCAGATCCTGAAACTTTGAGCTCGGTTCACGTGGTTACCAAAACACTAGTGTTGCCAGCGGTTGCTCTGCTCATGTCCACTTGTACAATGGAGTTGATATATTTACTCATTAGGAACAGCTATTTCACTACATGCCAAAACTTTGCCTTTGTTGGCAATATTGGGTCACGTTTTGCAGTTTGCAGAGCACTTCCATAATGCGTTCATGTCGTATGTAACACTTTTGTTTTCAATGGGCTTTGGTGTTGTATACTATTACCATGACAATTTGAAACACTACAGAAAGCTCCCGAAACATTTTTTTTGGAAAGCAAATGTACTATTTGCTGCTCATTTGGCAATTATCTTCTTCAATAGCTACTTTCGGATCAAGGCTGACCACAAGTCAATGGGAAAAGCCGGCTTTGGACTATTGGCAGCATGTTTTGCATTATGTTTGCTTGTCTGGTGGTACTTGTTTCCATTGATTTGGTTTGCGGCTACAGTCTTGTTTATGTTCAAGACAAAGGAAAGCATAGGTACCATTGCATCAAGGCCAGATGAAATTAAATTCTGTCTGAGACATACTCAGTGTTTCAAAAGTCACTTGTGATAATTTGGGGCGTGCCAATTGTTATTAGGGTGTTTGTTCGTGTGCTTTTGTTTGTGCTGGTGGAAGGTTACTTAAGTCCAGGAATATTCGATAACAAACTAACAAATGGTGAGTTGAAGAAGCAATCTGTGAGATGGATGCATTTTGAATGGCTTTCAAGAAGTGTTCGATTTTTGAAAGACGTTTGGTTGAACTGGATTTGCACAATTCTTACAATTGGAGCGGTGCAATTGGTTTGGATAAGAAGTAGTTACCGATCAGAGAAGCTAAAGAATCAATAAAAGGGTTAGGGTTACAACATGTGTATACTTTGACAGTACTTGAATAGTCTTCTTTGTTTGCTGCAAACATTTCGTGCCGTATGGACTTTCATGTCACAAAAGAAAAAATTAGATTGCGTCATGAACAAATTTAGAACAGCGCCACTCTTAACTTCTCAAATTTCCTTTCATGTCTTGCGTTTTTTCTCCTTTCTCTACAATTTCCACCATCAATTCAAATATGTCAAGTCATATGATCCACAAACTAGGTATTGTACTATTGTTTGTTGTCTCTTGTGTTTTAGCCGCTCGCGACCAACCATCAATTTTGACATACAAAGATGGTGTGTTTTGTAGCCCTGTTGAAAGAAACAAGAACATTGACAAAGCTTATGTTGAGCTACATGCTACCAAGGAAGTTATCGATAAGAGGATCCCAGGATTGATTTTCCATTACCCTGACATTGTCAATTTCTCGTCGGTGCCAATATTGGAAGTGTATACTCAGTTGTATGCCAACAATAAGGACCATTTGTACAAGCAAATGTTGACCGATGATGGCAAATTCAAGTTGGATGCTGCCGAGGGCTACTCAGTGGATGATCTGAAGTATTGGAGTGGTGTTATTGACAAGGATATCAAGTTTGCTGTCCCCACTTCAGGAATCTACTGTGTCTACGTAGCCCCTGATCAAGAAAAACCGTTTGATTTTAGTCTACCTATTAAGTTTCAAAACCACTTTGGAAATTTAAACTACACAGAGTACTTGATTTATTCACAATTAAAGTATGTCATTGCACTTGCTATTGTTTTATTTGCTGCATTGTTCAATTACATTTTGAGATTCAAGGTTGGCAAAGATTTCCAAAACATGGACTCGATATCCGTCATATCCAAGGCTATTGTCTTTTTGATATTGACTCCATTTATTGCCGTTTACATATTTGATTGGTTTGTTTTGCTTCTAAGAAACAATTTTGAAGCATCTTACCAAACGTCGTTTGTGTTGTCGGTATTGAGGTTCTTTTCAAGATTAGGCGACAGCTTGTACAATGCATTTACGTCTTATGCTGTGCTATTATTTTCAATGGGATATGGTGTTATCTACTACCACAATGGGAACTCGCAACATTACAGACTTTTCCCCCAAGAGTCAATGAAAAAGATTACTGCATTATTCTTCTTATATCTCGTTGTTGTCGTCTTGTATTGTTTGAGTTTACAATCAACTTCAAGCAATCATTTGGTTGGCGTACAGCACAATACGCCTAATGGTACATTTTCTTCTGTTGTTGCCGCTTTGGTCTCGTTGTTTGGATTGAGTTTCTACATCTTGTCTGTGATTTTCTACTTCAAGACTAAAAAGACCATTGCAGCATTCCCTCCGGCTTCCGATGCAGAATCAACTGACAAGATTGTATCTGCATTTAGGAAATCCTTTTTTGTCATTTTGGTGTTGCCGATAATTACAGGATTTTTGGCCGGAGTTATTGCTGGTATCTTTTTAGTTAACGCAGCAGGAAATGTACCTGACTTCCCTCAACATACTGATCGTGACCTTGTTTACCAATCAGCATTGACAGTTGCCGCTTTTGAAAATTCCTTCAAGGGGGTAGTGTTGCCAATTGTATGGTCAAACTGGTTATACTTTTTCGCATTGATCATCTCGATATTCTTTATCTGGATTAAAGACAACAATGGGTTGATTGTTGACCACAATGCCAATGACCCAATAGAGTATGCCGATGTCCCCAACTTCGATATTTCAGATGGTGAAGATGAAGAGGACATTCGTGTTTGATTGCTTTGGGTGTCGATGCGAGGAGGAGAGTGGAATGGATTTATGTATACGTACAGTGTATCCACAAAATTTAAAATTTTACTCAGATCAATTATCCTATTCTAATTCCTACGATTGTTCTTTTTAAACCCACGATGATGTTTCCCTCCAAACTTCTTTCCCTTGAAACGTCCATAGCTCTTTTTCTCTCCAAGTTTGTTATCAACTAAACCGATTTCTTTGGCCAATGACGTTCCCAATTCAACACCAAATTTGGAAACACGATTCAAATCTTTACGCGCTTGTTCAGCGGCGGCTTCATCACCAAACTTTTCAGCTCTAGCAATCTTTTTGTTCAACAATTCAACAGCTAAAGATTTCCTTTCTTCTGGGGTCAATACTTTTGGTGCTTCTTCTTTACTTTCCTCTTTGGTGTCGGAAGTGGTGGTGGTGGTGGTGTCGCTCGAGGCTGTAGTTGTCGTGGCTGCTGTAGTATCTGCTTGCGCACTGTTTTCTGCACCTTCACTGACGGCTTCATTTTCAGTCACCACTGAATTCAGCGTGGATGGCTCTGCAGTTGCATCGGTGGTAATATCTGCTTTTGAGTTTGCACCATCTGACTCTGTTAACCTGGAAACTAAATCGGCCTTCTTACCCTCCGTACTGAGACCTCTTTCTTTCAAGACCTCTTTCAATTGAGCAACTGTCTGTGATGCGTAGTCAGCCATGGTACTAGCAATGTGCGTGTTGTTGAACAGGGGTTGGGAAATTCTAGTGTCAATGGTTGAACTTGTGGAACCCTTTGTTGTTGGTTTATTTTTTCTTTTTTTTTTTTTTTTTTGGTATTTTTCTGGGTAAAAGTGGGTTGACGTTTCGCGATATGAAATTTGGTAGCAATTGAGTGCCACCATTGATAAAAAGCAGTCATTTGTCAGTATGGCACCGAAACGAAAGAAAACGGGATTTCAACCGTCCTCTTCTTTTAATGAGATTGTGCCTGAGATTGAAGATGAGATTGTTGAAGCGTACGCTGAGCAATTAGGGGACGACGACACCGATCTTCATCTAGACAAATTACCCCATGTATTGGACAAGTTGAACATACCCGACTGTTTCACTGGTGATATAAAGACAGCTGTGGACTATTACTACCAATTCATGCATAACCGAAGCTACAATATTGACGACGTTAATATGAAACAACGAAACACGCGAGAGGTGATTTTTGCATTCACAATTACAACATCTACACAAACCGCAGACGATACATCCGATATCATTGACATCGACAAACTAATACGGCATCTAAATATGCTAGTCAAGTTTCGGAATAATTATCGACATATAGTATCCACATGGAAGATGCTCATTCAAGAGTCGAGTGAATCAAATTGTCCCAACACCGACCCCATAAACATTGAAACTTTCCAAATGACACTCCCCACTTTGAAAAACGTCAAGACCTCATTGAATTTGGATAACGATTCTCATACTAAAACACCGTTGAACGATGGCTTCTTGATTGATATGTTGGGATGTTGCCAGCATGATGAAAAAGAGCATTTGATAAACTACTCATTCGATAAACAAGGTGCATCCATCATGATTAAGGATTTTGCTGTCATATTGGGCAAGCTTGGGGAGCTTGATGAGGAGGATGTGTAGGCGAGGATGCTATTGATATATTTGGCGTGTTTTTGAAGAGCCCTTTCCTCTCTATGTGTTGATTCCTTTTTGGGTGTGTAGTTTGCGTTGTATATCCCTCTTTATAAACTAACCTTGAAATTCAACACCAAAAGTAAAAGCAATATACTCAAATTAACCAAAAGTAGCACCACAACAGTCAATCTAGTCACGGGGAACTCTTGTTTCATTAATGCTCGCTGAACGGTGAAAAACCGATACATGCCAAACAATATCGTCAATATGCCCAATATTATACACATTCCACCAATGGGTCGACATAGTGCAATTACAGTATCGGAAATATTGTGATTGAATAAAGACGTTGATGCAGAGGATGCAGCTGATGAAGGATGAGGCAATGGTTGTGAGATTTCAGGACATTGAGATTTCTCTTCGAGTCGATAAAACTGCATGAATCCGATACCAAATGTGACAAATGCGAGCGATGTTCGAGTCCAGGAAAGAAACGTTCGTTCATTGGCTAGCTGGGAACTCTTTGTTAGTAGGGCAATTGACAGCGGAGTACAATGGTGGTTGATAATGTGCGCATTGCCTATTTGTTTAGGTTTAATACATACATGATCTCTGGCCACTGACCCTTTGTTGGGCAAGTTGATTTGGAATTTGAACACGTCCTTCAATGTAGATGGAGATTTCTTCTCATGATGAGTATAAGAATTCTCCAGATCAGTCATTTCCAATTCTAGTAAGAAGCACCGAGGTACAGTAGCAGGGAGTTTAGCCACCTTTTAATTTTTTTTTATAAAGTATAGGTATGCAGCGAATACCTCTGTCAATGATGTGAAAGGATACTTTGATGTCACATTTTTGTGAATTGTGAAATATCTTTATTTTGCGCGCGTGTGATTTTTTTTTTTTTTTTTTTGGGTGCTCGAGTAACACACAAGGTAAAAAGGGTTATCGATTTACACTTTGAAATGGCAGTAATTATTCTCAGTACATTAGCACGATACCCTTGATTTCAGAGCCTCCTGTGTTGCATATTACAACACAGAAACGACCTTCCTTTCTTACTCAAAAGAAGTTTGAAATCACAGCCATGAAAAAAAGGTATATTCTAGAGTTTGTTTGCATCCATCAAAGAGGACAAAACAAAGTTTTGAGAAGGAAAAACTTGTTGTCAAGGAGATGACGCACTTGTGTATTGTCTCGGAGATAACAATTGCCCAAAATACGAGTCCAAAAGTGATAAAGTCATTAACGATTGTCAATACAAATACTGTGGCTTTGAATTAGGGGGCGTCCTGTCCCACAAACATGTCTTTCACGTTGCGAATAAAGGTTTCTCTTGATTTCATTTGTGACATCTTTTTGCAGTTATAATACATGTTAGAAAAGCAAGTTAGAAATTGGTTATAAATCATATTAAAACAATACTGTAGAAAACTTGCTAGATTGTAATACACTCTATCTAATCTCTCATTTCATCTCCTGCTTCGTGTTCTTCTTCTTCTTCATCATCATCGCCAGCAGCATTGGTGAACATCAATGTTTCTCCATTGTCAATAACCTGCCACAATCCAACACCATCATACTCAAACATACAATCCTCCAATTGCTGTATAGTAAAACCTTTACCAATTACTCTATCTTTGATATCTTGCATCGACAAATTACGCTTCAACAGTCCATCACGATCATCAATGGCCATTGATCGAATGATTTGGAAAATCTTGGAAGTTGAGGACTCATCTTCTCTAGCCAAGGCATTTGCTTCTTCATCGGCATATAATGAACTCTTACTCACCTCAATCAACCTCAATGCTTCGTCAACATCTTCCATTGTAACAGTCTCTTCAAACCTCAACCTTGCCAACGCTTGCGATAAACGTAATATACCCAACAATGTTCTTGGTGTAATGTGACTAAACTTCTTTATCGATCCTTCATTTCGATACGACTCCTTTCTCATGGTTATATACGATTGAACAACATAGTCCCCAACTTCTTTTGGAACAACTGGACGATAAGTCTTGGCTTTGGAAATGTATTCACGAATCGTTTTGGAATCAATTGGAGTTTGCTCTTCCTCCACAATGGTATTGTTGTCCATGGTAACATCTTCCACTATATCAGGCTGCTTATTATGCATGTGAACATAAGTAACATGCCGAGCCAACATTTCATCATTTTCTCTATTTGGTTGATCCAATATCAAAAACATGATATCGAATCTGGATAAAAGTGCAGCTGGTAAATTGATATTTTCATGAGGTGACAATTTGGTATTGTATCTTCCATACAAGGGATTTGCTGCTGCCAAAATTGATGTCCTTGCATTCAAAGTTGTTGTTATACCAGCTTTGGAAATGGAGATTGTTTGTTGTTCCATTACTTCATGAATTGCAGTACGATCAGTTTCATCCATCTTGTCAAACTCATCAATACAACAAATACCATTATCGGCCAAAACAAGAGCACCACCTTCCAAAATCATTTCATCAGTTACGGGGTCTCTTAAGACCGCCGCAGTCAAACCAACTCCTGAAGAACCTCTACCTGTGGTGTAAACAGATCTTGGAGCAATCTTGTTTATTGCCTTCAACAATTGCGATTTGGCAACACCAGGATCTCCCATTAGACAAACATTTATATCACCTCTGATTTTCAATCCATCACCAATCTCCTTGGTAACACCACCACAAAGAAGAAGCAATAAAATCTTTTTAATATCCAAATGTCCATAAATTTCAGGAGCAATCGACTTGGCCAACCTATCGTAAACGTTAGCTGATCCATATCTCAATTGCACCAACCTAGCATCAGTTGTGTCATTCAAATGCATCAATTCATATTGTTTCTTGTGTTGTCTGACATATTGTCCCTCAAGGTAAGTTTCAGTCAATAGCCCAGCTTTCAAAGCACGGAAACCGGTGTATGGCAACGGCATAAATATACCCGATACATCAACAGTATCACCGGGATTCATTGATCTCACCAAATCACCATTGACGTGGATGGACATTGTTCTAGGGATATGTCCCACTGGTACTTGATTTGACATTTCCTGGATCTTGACTTCTTGGAAACTGGAAAATTTGGACGCACGAGTGGACATGAATAAATGTCCTTTGACATTATCGGCTGAGCAAATGGGGGAGTTACACGTTGACAATGGCGTAAACACTCTTGAATTGACTTCTTGGAAAATTTCATACCCACATTTATCACAAGTATAGGCAACAACCAAAACATTGGGCTTCACATCACTGACCCTGGTAACAATGCCTCTCAAGGTAATGTAATGCCCGACATGTTTTCCTTTAACTTGCCTAACTGATAATGATTTATCATGATCCAAAGTCAATGGCTTGAAATACAAACAATATCTTCTTGTCAATCTTGCTGGAAACAAGTTTGGGTCAGTAGGGTTAGCAATGTTGTCCTGCTCACTAGGTTGTGAAAGTCCATCCCTTAATTGATTCAATTCATCCAAAGCTTCTTGTTCAACACGCTGGTTTCTTATTCTTCTTTGGCTTAAAATGACATCCAACACGTCATCTTGGTATGATACATCCCTCGTTGGCTCTGGCATCAATTGATCAATAACATCACTGAAAATATCCACAAACCGATGTGTATTGATCATAATAGTATTGAACAAATGTCTCAGCTCTTGATAAATGGATGTAGACTCAGCATCAAAATTTTGTAAAAACTTCTTCAAGTCATCAAATTCAATATATATGGTGGTAGTCTCTCGATTAGCAACTTTTTGCAAGATGTTCATATACTTACCCTGATGAAGTGGTACGTCGCCATCTTGTTCCTGTTGCTCCACCAATTCATCAATGTCAACGGATGTATCTTTGAAATTTTGTATAAAGTCACGAATAATCTCCTTACAATCGGCGTAGTTGACTTTGACCTGGATTGAAGGAAGTATAGCAGCCGCCGTAGTGGTTGCAACTGAAGTAGCCATGATTGATAAGCTGAATGAGCTGATGGGTATCTAAACGTTAAAGGAGAAGAAAGAGTTGTTGGCTATTGATGTGTTGCAAAGAATCCTTCTGTGAGTGAAAGAAATAGAAAAAAAAAAAAAAATTCGAAACGACGCGTGCGAAATTTCATTTCCTAACTGGGAATAATTATTGAATATCCACCTTTCACTACACAAACCTTGCCCATGTGGCATGCCATTTCAGTAGCTATCTAATTATCTATCGTTATATTTAAGAAAACACAAACTATATCTTATACAATGACCAGCATTATTATGATCCCTGTACTAAGACAGTCATACAGACATTAAATTGACCAAAGCAAATGCTGCTGATCTTTCCTCTTCGTTAGCATTTGCACTTACTGCGGTGTTTTCCTGATTACTGTTTTCTACCTTTACTGTACTTTCCCCTACTTCCAACTCGTTCTTAACTTCGAAAACATCAGTATTGTGCTTCTGCTGTCTCAAAAATTCGGGCCCTATTGACTGCCAATCCTCCTCATCGGTGTCGCTGGAAACACTGCTGCTTCTTTGGTGAAGTTGTTGCTGCAGCAGCAGCAGTAACTGTTGATGATGCTGCTGCTGTTGTTGTTGTTGTTGTTTTAATGGCTGTTGATTATTCAGTGACAGAGATTTCAACTGTTGTCGTATACTATTCAAAGTCGATCGTTCGTGTGACTCATTGAATGAAGACTTGCGCCTGCTCTTATTTGCTTTGGCGGCTTCCTCATTATGAATAATGTAATGACGACCACCAGTGTTTGAGCCCCATGAACCAACCGGTGATGTATTACTTGCCGAAACAGGAGATGCACCAAACACGGCGCTTCGAACATCAATGGCTTCACCACTTCCACCAACACTTTCACTATTACCACCTAGTCCAGCCGAGCTATAGTTAAATGCAATAGCAGGCGGTGGCAGACTTATTGAAACGGTCGAGTTTCGACCTGAAGAAGTGGATGCAATAAAACTCTCCAAATTTTCGATCGAATTCAACCTGGATCGAGTGATAAAAGTAGGGTTATTCAAAAGATGTGTGTGGTGAGGATGATGTGTTGCGTGGTAATGTCTCAATGCTGAAGGTTTAGTCACTGAGCTTGGAGCTGATGAACTTGATTTCCTTCTTCTTGCTGCAGCTTTACCATCGTATGATGATGCTGTAGAAGAAATTGGAGGCGGGCTTACCTTTGAAGGAACCCTGTTGGCAAATCTGAGAGGGGGTGACAGTTTCTTTGGTTTTGACTTGTGATGCTGGCTGGCCGATTTGATTGCAGTTTCATCAAATGCAAACATTTCTTCATCTTCGTCATCGAGTACAGCATCTTGATCAGAACTATTCAAAGGCTCATCTTCGCCCCTTTGATGGTTTAGTTTATGTCTGCCATTCCTTATTAGCCTTTCATCTAGGCCAGAAATGTCATCATCATCATCATCATCATCAAAATCCACTTCATCCTCATCTTCCTCCTCCTCAAGGTCTTTAAAGCGATCATCGTCTTCGTCTTCACTATCAGAAGCAATTGCATTGTCGATCCTCTCATTGGGTAATCTAATATTATGCAAGTTCTTCACTGAATTCGTTATAGACTCTCTTCTTGCTCCATTTTTGTCTAAAGCAGTCAGTGTGCCGCCACTGCCACTGCCACTGCCACTGCCACTTCCGTCTTTCCTGTTTTTCGACCATCCGAGCTTCAAATTAGTTTGGTTCCTCAAATCGTTGATATTAATCACCTTCGTCTCCAGATCCACCGAGTGTGGCTTTAGTTGCTTACCCAATTTCTTCTTATAGGAAGCATCTTGTCCCTCAGGCAGTACTGATTGAGGTGTTCCTGTCACATGATGTTGTTGCTGTTGTTCTCGCTGCTCTCTCTGTTCAGTTCCTTCAGTAACAATGTAATCACTATCAACTTTCCTTACTGCCCACTGACCCCAACCAATCTTTTCAAATACCACATTGTTGGTAGGATCCACTTGCTCCATAGCAGCCATAATCAATCTTCTTTGTTTGCTCAAACTCAACAATTCAAATGAGGGAACTTCCAAAGTCAATTGGGCTGTTATATGACGTATAGGTAATGGACCCTTTTTTATTAACAAGTTTGCCAATCGAGTAGGAGTGATTTTCGAGGCGACTTGCATTCCTTCTGGTGACGACGTTGATAATAGAAACTTCTTTTGTGTAGTTGACAAGTTGCCTACATTGTTGTCATGTACGTGTTCATGTGCATTTCCATGTCCATGTACACGTGGTGGGGTGGTGGAGTCAAAAGGTGGGGACAATATTTGTGACTGTGGTTGTGCATGTTGATGTTGGTGTTGTGGCTGCTTTTGAGGAAGTAAGGGGAGCGGTAACTTCTGTGGCATGCTCTGCTCTGCTAGTTTAAAGGAACCATTTGGTGTTGGGCTTTGACTCTGAGTGTGGTTGTCAATTGTGTGGCTGTTTATGTTATTGTTGTTATTCTCCGAAGCGTGACTCCTCGAGGCGGGGATATCGGTGGAGCCTATACCGTTGGAGCTGCCTGGTTGATGCAGGTGTTGCGGTTGCAGTTGCAGTTGCAGTTGCAGTTGCAGATGCTGCATATAGTTGTATATTGGTGTCAGTTGGACGTGATTGGCAATATTGCGGTTATCTATGTGACTCATACTGAAACCCTCACTATCTTCAAGCTTGTTTTGAAATTTGCTTGCAAGTTGTATAGTGGCGTTTTACAATGATAAAAGTTGTGATGTAGATTGTAGCAGTAGTATTAGTTCTAAATGATACTGAGTAATGTATGTAGTTTTCGTTCAAGTAGAGTTTGTATTGGGCTTTTAATAGTTGTGTGGTTGTGTGTATATTTATATTTTTCACAAATTTCAATCAGACAGACAATTTTGAGAAAAACACCCACCCACACACACACACACACACACATACACACACATATAGATATTAGTAGTGTATCATGGTTAAAAAAATTCAGATTAGAATATATATATATATACATACATAAGTACTGCATATAATGTTGTAGTATATTTTCTTTATCATATGTCATGAACGTGTTTTTTTAGTTTTGGTTTTATTTATATATTAGGATTAATCCACTCTTTAATTTTATCCCAAAGTAGAGTGTGACAAACACACACACACACACACGTTGTCTTTCTCAACTCACACAAAATGGTGGTTATCATATAAACTCAAGTAGTTATTGAACAACTATTCCAATGGCCAAAAACAGCCAAAAACTAGCCACCAACACTTTATTAGCAATACATGACTACATGGCCCTTTAAGCAGGCTTCACAGAGAGCTCCTTGTAAAATTTGAACTCGTGGTGAAAAATACTTGCTGTGTTAACTACAGTTGTAGTTGTAGTAGGTTGTTACATCAACTACCCAGTCATTTAATCGAGTTCTCTAGAACCCAGTAACCAAAACGGAATTCAGTGGAAGGATCAAGAAATTCTCTGTGCATACAACAACAACAAAAAAATAAGAAACGTTTAAACTTTTTCCCAAATAGGCAATTGGGTTACTCTAAGAAAAATAACCGAAATACACCAACTACGGAGCAACTATTGCAGTCTACAAAGTAATCCTGCCGATTAAAGCTGAGTATATCACTCTTTGTTGACTGGTTGTCGAAATTGCGAGAATGCTGTTTCTTCCCTGCAAATGCGCTTAAATTAAAAAAAGACATGAGATATAACATGACTTACAAGCCTCAATTTGCCACCAAAGTTATTCATGACAACCAGCCATTTTGCTGAGAACACCTTTGCATCTGAGGAATAGGTGTCAACACGTACACTTATCTTGTTATTAGAAAAAGAAACTACCTAGCGTGTTTCCTATGTTGTTTGTCATGTGTTGTGGCGGGGTGGGGTGAGTGGAAAATTGATTTCTGCCCTGCATATTCGTAGAGAACTGAAAACCAAATAATGACGTAACTTTTGTAAATCATGCATTTTTCCAACACCCATCACCCCTCATTCAGTTTTGATCATCAAAACTAGAAAGAAAAAAGAAGAACGCTTTCCCCTCGTAAACTGCTTCCAGTGCCTCATTTCTCCTTCACGCGCTAATATTAATACTTGTTCCAAGTAAAGAATACGTAATCATTCAATCAAAAAAAAAAAAAAATTAGAAAAAAAAAATGTCAGGTCTGTGTAACTTAATTCTCGTAAATTCAAATCTTCATTGGTGTAATATTGCATTTACAGTGATTCAAAGTTTTACCGATAACTCGCGAATCAAGAAAAGCAAAGCAAAAAGGTCCTTTTCATATCGTCTACTTCTCATTCACTACCCCTACAAAGTCTATGCATTTCAAATTGAAAACTAGTCAAATAGAGCAAAACAAGACTTTTTTTTTTTCCTCTCTTCTACATATGTAATTTTTGGTTTTGTATTGTTCACCACTCTCGCCCATCCCTTCTATCTCATCTCATCTTTCCTTTTCTCTCTCTCACTCTCTGCCACTCCCTTATACCCCATCAACTGTAAATGTCCAATCACCACTAACAGGATCATACTTGACATACTTCATATCAGGCAACTTTTGCAAATTCTCAATGTGCAACTTGACAACATCAGAATGCGGATCCAATATAGGCAAACGATCAACTTTATTCAATGGCCAACAATTATGCAACGTGATTTCTGCTGGCAAGTTCAATCCTTCACCACGACGTGGCTTCAAATCATCATCGGGATAGATAATACATGACTTTGTGTCAAACTCAACAAGGGAAAACAAGTCGTCGAGATTCAACATTGTTGATAAATCAACTGGCTCGAGGAATTGCAAATACCCATACCCTTTGCGACCAATCTTGAAGTTGGCGATTGATTTGAGCTCGGTTAATGATTTCGTCTTCAATTGAGAAATGGGTGGTGATGACCAATACCCATCTTTAGTAACTTCTTTTGCATCTTGGTCACCATTCTCTTGCGTAGTGAGTTCCTTATCCCTTTTTGCTTCATCCTTGTTGTCACCATTAAGAACAACTTTAGCATTGCTGGAATCAACAGCAACATTACCACCATTTTCTTTAGTATTCTCCTCGTAATCGAGACTCTTGTCATTCTTCTTGTCGCCATCCAACGCAAACGAAACTTGTTTTGGTGAGTTTCCATCACCATCACCATCACCATCACTAATTGCCAAATTGTATTTCCCATTGTTACTCTTTTCAACAACCAACTTTTTGAAATTGTTATTTGGACGGAAAATGTCAGATGTAATGATAGCCAGATCAGTAACTGGTGTGAAAAGATGATCGCTCTTTTGCTTGAAAAGATCATCTTGCGCTTTCTCCACTGTGGTCTTGGTGGCAGATGAGGGCGAAGGCAATACACTGACTTTGTACAATGGTGTGATTCTCTGCGCTGTGCTGCCCAATGTCACCACTTTTTTGTTTTGAGATGGGATTGCCAAAGATCTTCTGAGGATAGTAGCTCTAGGCTTTTGTTCAGTACCATAGCCCAGTGCCTGCTGTTGTTGAGGTGTAGTACCCGAAATCGATTGGAATAACGGATTCTGCCCATATGGATCTTGCGAGTTGATATTGGCCAACGGTTGGGTTTGTTGTTGTTGAGTCTTTTGTAAAAACAGTGGCTGCCCTGATTGCTGTTGTTGTTGCTGTTGCTGCTGCTGTTGTTGCTGCTGTTGTTGATTATTAGCATTGCCAAATAATCCACCTCCTAAACCGCCTGTACCACCAGTCGCTCCTCCTTGATTGGATCCAAATAAACCACCCCCAGTTGCCCCACTAGTGTTGTTGGCACCACCAAACAATCCACCCGATGTGTTACCACCCTGTTGAGCATTTCCAAAAAGACCACCACCAGAAGTAGTTGATCCAGCTGGCTTGGAACCAAACAAGCCACCTCCAGTATTCGATCCCCCAAACAAGCCACCACCTTGTTGCTGCTGTTGCTGTGGTTGATTTTGCTGTGCACCACCACCAAACAAGCCTCCGCCAGTGGTCCCGCTCTGTTGTGTGTTGCCAAATAAACCACCACCAGTCGCAGGCTTAGCTCCAAATAAGCCTCCACCTTGTTGTTGTTGTTGTTGCTGTTGTTGTTGCAGGTTATTTTGTTGACCAAATAGTCCTCCGCCTCCAGTAGTGCTTGTGGTTCCCGAGTTTCCACCAAACAAACCACCACCTGTCGCAGGTTTGGAGCCAAAAAGACCACCACCAGTTGCACCAGCATTGTTGTTAGCTTGACCACCAAATAAACCACCACCTGCATTGGTATTCCCTTGTTGACCAAACATGGAAGTAGACCCTGCTGGCTTGGCACCAAATAGCCCGCCACCTTGCTGTTGATTTTGTTGAGCACCGCCTCCAAAAAGCCCACCACCTTGTTGTTGGTTACCACTTTGTTGGCCAAACAACCCGCCACCAGTCGATCCGAATCCAGTGCTTGGCTTAGCACCAAATCCCAGTGACTGTTGCTGTTGTCCACCAAATAACCCACCACCAGTAGTAGTACCAGTATTGGATTGGCCAAATGCATTACCTGTGTTTGATTGCCCGAATCCACTTGAAGCACCTCCAAAACCTCCACCAGTGTTGGATCCACCAAACAATCCACCACCTTGTTGTTGGGTATTATTAGCCTGTCCAAATGGAGAAGCACCTGTGTTTCCGAAACCACCACCACCACCAGATGAACCAAATGCGGAGGTGTTACCAGTGCCAAACCCAGTCGCCGGTTTTTGTCCAAATGCATTGGTCGAGCCTCCACCAGCACCACCAGCACCACCAAACAACCCACCACCAGTATTGGTATTAGCTGCTCCAAATCCAGTCGCTGGTTTATTTGCTCCAAATGCATTGCTTGCGTTGTTTGCTCCAAATGGAGACGCCTGTTGCTGTGTTGACCCAAACGCTCCTGACGACCCAAATGGTGATGCAGCCGGCTTGTTGAAACTGGAACCAAATCCGGATGCTGTATTTCCAGTGTTACCAAATGGTGAAGTGTTAGATTGTCCTCCAAATAGTCCTCCTCCTGTAGATGGTTGTTGCTGCGAAGCCCCACCAAATCCAAATCCAGTGCCAGTGCTAGTGTTGGCGGCACTTCCAAAAGCACCTCCTCCAGCAGCAGTAGCCCCCTGGTTCCCAAACCTTCTTCCTTGTTCATAGTCCTTTAATCTCAACTCTTCAAACGAATAGTTCTTGTACTCTGGCATACAACATATATTTTGAAACACATTGTTTATATTTGCTGTATCCTTTTCACTAAACGGTGTAAATGGCTTGACAGCAGTACCATTGTTGACATTGGGATCACCTTGCACTCCTCCAAAGGCATTTGTTGTTGTTGCTGATGATGATGATGCGCCAAACGGTGAAGCAGTGGTATTGTTCGCTGCCGGCGAACCAAATCCAAAAGATGTGGTACCTGCAGGCTTGCTACCAAAGAGTCCACCACCAGTTCCAGTATTTGAGGAGCCAAATGCAGAAGTTCCTTGAGTATTACCTCCAAACACTGATGATGCCGGTTGCTGAGGTTGTCCAAAAGGAGATGCAGATGCATTGGTGTTATTAGCTTGGCTTGATCCAAACAATCCACCTCCACCACCAGTAGCACCAGGGGCATTACTTCCAAAAGCCAGTGTTCCAGTATTTCCAGACCCAAAAACATTGCTGGACCCAAAAGCTGATGTTGGATTGGATGCAGTACTGCCAAATAATCCTCCTCCTGTGTTTGTATTTGTCGCTCCAAATGGTGATGCGCCCGTATTTGCATTTGTATTTGTAGCTGTGTTGGCGCCCCCACCAAAAGGTGAGTTATTATTGGCAGTGTTGGCGCCAAACCCTCCAAAACCTGAAGATGTGCCTCCTCCAAACATTACAATTGGTAGGGTTGTTTAGAGTCAATTGTGATTGATTTCAGAAAAGTGAGAAACTTTTTTTGAAGGAGGTTGAACCAAAGTTATATTGTTTTTTTTTCCTCCTTTATACGCTTTATTGTTTTCTAGTGTCACTACAAACAAATATATACATATAAGCACATACAGAATGAAAAAAGGCATCTTGTATGCTTCGTGTATGCTTCTATTTTGCACCCGCTTTCCTCTTCTTAACCATCTTTGTAATATCACCATTCTTTTCCTCCTCTTTAGCCCTCTTTTTCGACTTCACATCAAATTTTTTCAATTGCTCCTCTCTTTCTTTCTTACCAAGAGCCCAAAGCTCATCTCTTTTAGCGATGAATTCCGCATCATCTTTTGACCTCCCTTCAAGCCATTCAAGAAGTTTAATTTCTTCTCCGTATATCTCGTCATTATCACCCACGGGTGTTTCCAACACAATGGGGATACCTTGTAGTCTCTCACAATTTGCAATCGCTCTAAATACTTCCAATCCCAAGAATCCTTGACCCAACTTCTGATGTAAATCACGATTAGCACCTAAAGGAGCTTTTGAGTCATTCAAATGTATTGCACTGAGATACTCGGCACCAATTATGTCATCAAACTGCTTAAGAAACGCATCCCATTTCTCCTCGTCAGTGATGTCGTATCCAGCAGCAAAAGAATGGCACGTATCTAAACACACCCCTACACGAGATTTGTCGTCCACCAATTCAATAACTTCACGTATATCTTTCAAATCAGATCCAATAAGGTTCCCGTGCCCAGCCATATTTTCAATAACAATCTTGACAAAATCAGTCTCTTTTATCGCTTTATTGATATTGGTAGCAAGTTGCTTCAATGCTTGTTGCCGATCACCATCTAAACTCGATCCCGGATGGAAATTATACAATCCGATATTCAATTGTTCACATCGTTTCAAATCATCAAGAAACGAGTCGTACGCTTTAGCTTCCTTTTCCGGATCAGGATTGGCCAAATTTATAAAATACGAACCATGAGGCAAGATATCGGTCCTAGGGTTATAATTGTACTGTTTGCACAATTCAGCAAACTTGGCAATATCATCCGGCTTCAATGCTGGAGAAACCCATTTACGTGGGGATTTCAAAAACAAGGCAAAACTATTACCGCCGATATTCATTGCATTGGTAACGGCTTTGTAGATCCCACCGGACATACCTACATGGGCGCCAAACTTGAACTTGCTTTGGAGATTCCGTTCATACGTGAATGGTTTTTCAACTTTGACTTTTGGTGCTTTACTGGGAGAAAATAGTTAGTGTCTGAATTTGAGAAAGGGTGTAATACCTGAATCGTATACATACACTTTTGGTGGCATGGTCTCTATTGAAGGAGAATTTTGGGGCGTTTGTATACGGAATTGGAGTGTATTGGTCGTATATCCTTCTTTTAAAACGCGTACTGAAGAGAAAGAAGTCAAAAAAAAAAAAAAAAACAACATAAATGTGAAATTGCGTAATGATGATGATGAAGAAGAAGAGGGAATTAAAAAAAAAAAAACAAAAAAAATCGTATCCACAGTAATTCAATAGATAAGCACAACAGCATCTAACCACTGAATGTCCACCATTACCAACACAAGACTATCGATACTCCGATATATTTCTGCATTCTTTGTTCCCGATGCAAGTCTACATTCGCGACAGAAATGGATACTAGGGCTTATCAATCTATCAGCGGTTGTTGTACTATGGGTCTCGTCAAGTTTCTTGGTGAATGCCATTGTTGAAGACGAATCATATCGCAAGCCATTTTTCATTACGTGGATAAATACAAGTTGCTTCAGCTTCTACATTATCCCCTATCTCAAATTCAAAAAATTGTCATTGCGTCAGTTTTGCAAAAGGTTCACCAATGAATATAAATACCATCAAATACCAAACAAAGATGGAGATGGATTGATTAGAAGCTATGGGTCGGATGAAGATTTGAATACTGTTGTAGCGACACAAGTGGAACAAGGAGAAGGACAATCCCATCTGGAGAATTTGACATGCGTTGAATCCATTGGTGATGATAATGCACAGCCAGATAACCCATTGGATATAAACATTTACGACACCTTTAAATTATCAGTGCAGTTTATAATTCTTTGGTATTCGGCAAACTTGGTGACGAATGCGTCGTTGTCGTATACTTCGGTTGCATCACAAACCATACTTTCATCAACATCCTCCTTCTTTACATTGATTATTGGATACTTGGTATCAGTTGAGAGCATCAACCAGAACAAAATAATGGGTATTCTATTAAGCTTTTCAGGGGTTTTGATTGTTACCAAAGCAGACACATTGGACGATAGCCCGAACCGAGACGTAGGACGCTCTACATTGGTGATTTTGTGGGGCAACTTGTTGGCATTATCAGGAGCACTCATTTACGGCATTTACACAATATTGTTGAAATTCAAGACATCAGTGCCCAACTCCCACAAAGAACGCAATTTAAACACTCACTTGTTTTTCGGGTTTGTGGGGTTGATTTGCTTTTTGGGTCTATGGCCAATCCTCATCATTTTGCACTTTACAAAAGTGGAAATTTGGTCATTACCAACATCAAGAGAGATTTGGACTTGTCTAATTTTGAATGCAGTGATTACATTCATAAGTGATTTCTGTTGGTGTAATGCTGTGCTCCTAACTAGCCCGTTGACTGTGACTGTGGGGCTATCAATGGCTATACCGTTGGCTATGGTTGGTGATTGGATTTTGAAGGAGTTTAAAGTGAATTTGTTGTATGCGTTTGGTGCGGTAATCGTTACTACTGGGTTCTTGATTATAAATAAGGACGAAGAAGAGGAGTTTGTTGTTGATGAGTGAAAGAGAGGAGATGTGTAGTTGAGCAGTTTTAAGACCCATTGTATGGGTCAGACTGTGACCTCAATATTCAGAACACTGTATCTTCCTCATGCAAACAAGTCATTGACGAAGGAACGATTCTGTGTACTAGGTGTGAGTTTTGCATGCAGATTGACATTTCAAGTCGCTCTTTATTTCCAATTGTTCCAGGAGTAGGTAACACTTTTGTCGTTTTTATAGACTGTTCATAGCTAAGTGTATTATCGATCGAAGCAAGGACGCTATTAACTTGAGCTATGTTTATTTCATTATACGCTCCCTTGTTTCCTCGTAAAAAAAACACACTCAATTCCCGAATTACAACGAGACACTTTCTTTATCAATGGCTACATGGGACGAATATCACTACTACCATCACTATGGATTATCTTATCCTTTAGTTTCGTCTTGCTACTGTTTTGCCCTCAACCAATTCTAGCTCATGATCACAACAATGACAACAGCAATGCCTCCAATCAAGAACAGATCATTGTTGACATACACAATGGAGACTTGGCTCAACTACATGGCCATCGAAACTACTACACCGTGTTGATATTCACATCCTCTGATCCAGCACACGATTGCCAGCCTTGTCAACAAGTGGTTCCTATGGTTGAACAAGTTACCACTACGTATTTGGCGAGATACTTGACTTCGGAGACGTTGGCTATGAAATTTTACAAGATTGACTTGGCTGACATTTCAAATGCCGGTGTGTTCAGAGAGTTGGAGATGAATGATATACCTCACATATGGCTAGTTCCGCCAAGTCCAAGTAGCGGTAGAGAAGATGACACAGTTGAGAGTGTTTTTGATAGCCCGTTTATGGAGTATCCTTTGCGAAAGGCTTCACTTGAGGTGCAAGTTGTTGAGTTTGCTAAATTCTTGAGCGAGGTCTTGATGATTGACTTACATGTAGTTGAAAGAACAACTATAAATTCAAATGGCGGTGGCGCTGGCTCCTCCTCACAAAGTGGATTGAGTACATTTGCCAAGACGTTCATAATTACATTCACCATAGTTGCATTGCTTAAGAAAAAGGGACCTAGTTTCTTATCAACTACATCGAGATCCACCATCATGTGTTATTTTGCAATAACGATTATACTTTTTTGTATTGGAGGCTCTCAATTCACATTGCAGCGTCAATCGCCACTATTTACTAAAGATGAGGCATCAGGAGTACTAGTTTTTATAAGTGAGGGCAGTATGCATTACCAGTACGCCATTGAGATCTTTATTGTAGGGCTAAACTATGCATCCTTGGCTGCATCAGTGATAATCTTGATCAAATTGGGTAATTATCAAGTCACGGAAACCAGTTTTATCAAGGATGAGAAATTGAGAGCTTGGTTGATTGTGTTGGTTTCGGTTGCGGTTTACTGGTTGTACAGTTGTCTTACTAGTATTTTGTTGAAGAAGGACCCAGGGTATCCCTACCCATTAGCAAAATTGTTTTGATATATGTATATACATAGAGAGACAGAGACAGAGACAGAGACAGAGACAGAGATGGTATAGATCGACTTGTATATTGTATGAAGTTTTATGACGCGTAAAGAGTTTGAAAAATCAATGGTATTTGTTTTATTGGCGCGCAAAAATCAATACGAATTAGTCTTATTCCAGCATCCTTTCCTCAAACATGACTAGGAAAAGACCATTGATTACCGACTACTTCTCAAAAGTTGGGGCATCTCCCAAGAAGGTGAAAGGGTTTGATGATACAGTCCAAAGTGAAGAAATACCGAAAACGACAGTTCAAACCAAAACATTACCTTCCACTACCAATGAAATCCCCTCGTTTGATAAAGAGGAATGGATAAACAGTCTAAGTCCAGAACAGAAAGAGCTACTCCAATTAGAAATTGATACACTACACATTTCATGGTTGTCTATGCTATACAAAGAACTAACCAAGCCCTATTTCCTAAACTTGAAAAAGTTTCTTTTATCCCAACAGAAATCAAAGACGATTTTTCCCAAACCTCAAGATATCTACTCCTGGTCCAATTTAACCCCATTACCCAATGTGAAATGTCTCATACTAGGCCAAGACCCATACCACAACCACAACCAAGCGCATGGGTTGGCGTTTTCAGTGTTGGAACCTACACGACCACCGCCGTCGTTGGTCAACATCTACAAGACCTTGACCATAGACTTCCCCGATACTTTCAAAATACCCGACTACCAGCAGTTGTTGAAACAGGGTAAACCCGGTGGTGGCAACCTAAGTAAATGGGCCACCGACGGTGGGGTATTGATGCTCAATGCAGTTTTGACTGTTGAAGCTCACAAGGCCAATAGTCATGCCAATAAAGGATGGGAACAGTTTACTGAACAAGTGATTAGAGTAGCGTTGGAGTATCATGAGAAGCATAACAGTGGGTTTGTAATAATGGCATGGGGATCACCAGCGCAAAAGAGATTGAAACCGTTTGAAAAGATATTGAGTAGCGGCAAGAGTGATAGTAGCCAAGAAGGTTATGATGAAGAGGGCAAGTTTTTGGTGTTGAGGACTGTGCACCCATCTCCCTTATCTGCCCATAGAGGTTTTTTCAATCTGCAAGTGTTTAAGAAGTGCAACGATTGGTTAGAGAAGCATGGTAGAGATGTGATTGACTGGAGTGTAAGATGAAGGTTGGTAAAAGGAATGTTATAAGAAATTTAGTCACGTGAGTAGATATAAATAAGAAATAAACAAAAATAAATAAAAAAAAAAAGAAATTTTCAAATGTTTCGGAGGAAATTACCGCAGCAGTTGTATGAATGAGCATAACAAAATATATAAACAGATGTGTGTGTGTGTCTCTCTCTCTCTCTCTCCTTGGGGCAAATACACAGGAGCAAATATTTATTTATTTATTTATTTTTTTTTCCTTGTTTATATTGAAAGAGAATAGGTACACCGTTGTTCACATCACACATAGACACAACGTTTAGGCCATTCTAGTCTCAACCAACAACTTTCTTTCTTTCTTTCATCTTTCATCTACATCCCTAACACGCTTCAAATTACTTTGAAAACGCGAAATTTGCAAATATATTACTGGTGTGTAACTTTTGCAACCTTTTTGAGATCTAGTTACACAAAGAAAGCAGTCAGAAGCAGCAGAGATATATACTTCCTAGCTCCTACTTTATATACAGATAGATTGTAAGACTGTAAGACTGTAAGAGTTTTGGACTGAATGATTGTAAACCTAGATGCAACTGCAAATGAATATGTGAATGAGTTATGTGAAATTGGGGGAAATTTTAAGAAAGAGAAAAAAATTTTTAAAAAAAAAATAAAGAATCAAAATGTATCTCGTCTTACATACATAGACATACATAGACATACACATTAACATACACACATTAACATACACATTAACATACACAATCAATCAGAAAATGATTTCACCAAATATTCCCACAAAAAAAAAAAAAAAATTGAAAATGTTGGCTATATCCATTCAATAGGTTGTTGCCATTGGACTTGACTAAGTAAAACATATAGCAAACACATCATACATCTACATAACTACTTCGGAATACAAGTTTATACTTCAGATCAATGACTACCAAACATCTGACATCAGCATCATCGTCTTCACATACAACTGCAGATGGTAAACCAGAAACACAACAACAAAGACAACAAAGGTTTTTACTAGAAGTCGACGCCAAACATGCCTATGCTAATGACAAAGATGATGCCACCAAACGTTTCCAATACTTGCTTGGTCTAAGTGCCATTTTCAGAAAATTCATCGACCTCAATGCTTCAAAAGATCCAGAGTTCAAAAAGAGGGTTCGACAAATTGACAACAAACTGTCTTTTAAAGAATCTGTCAAGAATAACAGAAAGAAGAAAAACAGTAATAGCAGCAGACGTCGGAAAACTGAAAAGGAAGAAGATGCAGAATTGTTACAAGATGAAGAACACCAGGATGATGAAGAAAATCAACATACGGTCTTCACTGAATCTCCATCGTATATCAACGAAGGTACATTAAGAGAGTACCAAATTCAAGGCTTGAACTGGTTGATCTCACTATATGAAAATAGACTTAGTGGGATATTGGCTGATGAAATGGGGTTGGGCAAAACTTTACAAACTATTTCCTTCTTGGGATATCTTCGGTATGTAAAAAATATTGATGGACCTTTTATAATCATTGTTCCTAAATCTACATTGGACAATTGGAGAAGAGAATTTGCTAAATGGACCCCTGATGTCAATGTTGTTGTTCTTCAAGGAGACAAAGAGCAACGTGCAAACATCATTCAAGATCGATTATACCCTGCTGATTTTGATGTCTTGATTACTTCGTTTGAGATGGTGTTGAGAGAAAAGTCTGCATTGAAAAAATTTAGATGGGAATACATTGTTGTTGATGAAGCCCATCGGATCAAAAATGAACAAAGCTCACTATCGCAGATTATACGATTGTTTTATTCGAGAAACAGATTATTGATTACTGGAACCCCCTTGCAAAATAACCTTCATGAACTTTGGGCATTACTCAATTTCCTTTTACCTGATGTGTTTGGAGATTCTGAACAATTTGATGAAACATTTGATCAACAACAGAATAACGAATTAGACGAAAGGGCAAAAGCTGAAGAACAAGATAAAGTCATTCAAGAATTGCATCAACTTTTGAGCCCCTTTTTGCTCCGTCGTGTTAAGTCCGATGTTGAAAAATCATTGTTGCCGAAGATCGAAACCAATGTGTACACAGGTATGACCGACATGCAAGTCTCTTGGTATAAGAACTTGTTGGAGAAGGATATAGATGCTGTCAATGGAGTCGTTGGTAAAAGAGAGGGGAAGACAAGACTTTTGAATATTGTCATGCAATTGAGAAAATGTTGTAACCATCCATACTTGTTTGATGGAGCTGAACCGGGTCCACCATACACCACTGATGAACATTTGGTTTACAATTCGGGTAAAATGATTATCCTTGACAAGATGTTGAAAAAATTCAAGCAAGAGGGGAGCCGTGTATTGATTTTTTCCCAAATGTCTCGAGTTTTGGATATACTTGAAGATTATTGTTACTTCAGAGAGTATGAATATTGTCGTATTGATGGATCTACTGCTCATGAAGATCGTATTGAGGCTATTGACGAGTACAATGCTCCCGACTCTGACAAATTCATCTTTTTGTTAACTACAAGAGCCGGTGGGTTGGGCATCAACTTGACTTCAGCCGATATCGTCATCCTTTACGATTCCGACTGGAACCCCCAGGCAGATCTTCAGGCTATGGATAGGGCCCATAGAATAGGACAAAAGAAGCAAGTCAAGGTGTACCGTTTTGTTACTGAAAATGCCATTGAGGAAAAAGTATTGGAACGAGCAGCACAAAAATTGCGGTTGGATCAGTTAGTTATACAACAAGGAAGACAATCAAATGCAAATACCAATGTAGGCAGCTCAAAAGATGACCTTATTGAAATGATTCAACATGGAGCACAAAAGGTGTTTGAAGAGCTGAAGAGTACTGTTATTGATGACGACATTGAATCTATATTGGCACGAGGAGCAGAAAAGACCAAAACCATGAATGAAAAATTCAACAAGTTGGGATTGGAAGACTTGCAAAATTTCACTTCGGATGGATCAGCTTATCAGTGGAACGGACAAGATTTCACCAAGAAGGAAAATTCGGGAGCGCTTGGTTTCAGTTGGATTAATCCTTCCAAAAGAGTAAGGAAAGAGCAGACTTATTCTGTTGACAATTACTACAAAGATGTGTTGAAGCAGCCACCAACCGTCAAAGAGAAGCCACAAAAGCAAACAGTCATCAAACCGAAAGCACCCAAAGCATACACTTTCCAAGACCATCATTTTGCACCTAGTGGCTTGGAGGAGTTGTTGGAGCGAGAACAACTCAATTTCAAAAAGGATACCAATTTCCAATACTCTGTTGATGATTTTGGCGACTCAGATGAGGAATTCCTAGTTGAGGAAGACAAAGACGAATTGAGTCGTCGAGATAAGTGCAAGATTGAACAAGACAAAATTGACAATGTGGAGCCACTAACTGAAGAAGAAGTTGCTCTCAAGGACAAATTACTAGCCGAGAGCTTTTACACGTGGACGCGACGCGACTTTACAAATTTCATCCATGCCACTGCCAAATATGGGCGTGATTCATATGCCAAGATTGCGAAAGCAATGGGCAACAAGACGAGTCAAGAAGTGAAACGATACGGCACGAAATTCTGGAGCTCGTATCATGAAATTGATGGTTATGAAAAGTACATTTCTCAAATTGAAGCACAGGAAAAGAAACGCGACAAGTTGATGAATCAACAACGATTGTTAGTGGCCAAGATTGAAAACTTGGTTGATCCATGGGAAGATTTACCCATTGTGTACCCGCCCAATAACTCCAAGCGGATATATTCCAAAACTGAGGATAAGTTTTTGTTGAATTGCGTATACAAATACGGCATCAATGATGAACGATTAAATGACAAGATTAGACACGAGATTCAAAATTCCGATGTGTTCAAATTCGATTGGTTTATTCAATCGAGAACGAGTCAGGAGATTGGCCGCAGAGTCAATACGTTGCTTTTGGCAATTACGAGGGAAGTGGAAGGACCCCCGTTGAATAAAAAGCGGAAGTTGTTGGGTAATGCAAATTCGTCAAATAGTAGCTCGAGAGTAGGGTCAGTTGAACCGAGTCTAGGGTCGGACAAAGCCTGGCTGGAAACACCAGCAAAGTAAAGAAAAATTGATGAGATAGAATCAGAATCAGATTATGATATTCTTGTTGTAGTATTGTTGTAGTATTGTTAATTTTTTTTTTTTTTTTTTTTGCTAGATATACATACATAGTAATATTACATTATAAAACATTTTAAGTTATTGCGTGAAATTTGAGATTTAGCTTATACTTTTGGCATTCTCTGTGTCAGAGTTGTGGTCAGTTGGTGGTGTCAGCTCGCCACCACCACCAACAACAACAACTCCACTGGCAGCAACATCCATGCCATACACACTTTCGCTTCCTTCCTCTTCCCCCTCTTCCTCCTCTTCCCTCTCTTCCTCCTCTTCCTCCTCTTCCTCCTCCTCCTTCTCGTCTTCACCGCTTACGCCGCTTGCAACGGTTGGAGTACCCGACTTTGGCAACATACTCGCATGCAACATCAACTCCCCCATCAACTCATCTCTACCCAAATACTCGGGTCTGACAGTCTCCTCCACCGTTGAAATATAATACGGCACTTTATTCGCAGTCCAACTAACCGACATGATATCACTCATCTCATGTTTCTCCACCGAAAAGAAATCAAACGCCGTGTCAAAGGTTGCTCTGTACCTGGGACTAATGAAATTTCTCAAACTGATAATCTTTGTCCCTGGTTTAATTCCATAGAGCAATTTACCAACGGCATCATTCAATTCTCCATCGAATAAGTAATTATTGATGATCAACACATCCGAAGCAAGACAATCTTGACGCACTTGCTCATTGTTGACAAATGATTGCTTCAAAGCAAACTTTAAATTCAATGGCGATAGTCCAAACACGGCCAAGTGCTTTTGAATCAAATTTTCCTGCAACGTGGTCAAGTGCGACGCATGATCCATAATCTCACATCCACCAGAGCTACAAGCACCAAACTCCAACGCGGCCTGCAACGTAGTGTTGCCCACACCTGAGCCCAAATCGTAAAATTTCTGTGTCGGTTTCAATTGCACTTTTTCCAATACTTCACTGGTGAACGATGGGAGTAATTCTCCATACACCTCGGCAGTGAATGCTTTGTAGGATCGCAACTTTCTTGAATCGGTAGACACGACTCGTGCATAAACACGAACGAGGATCTGCTGGATAGCGTAGCGTGATAAAGTTGTCTTTTCACGTAATCGCTTAAACAAGTCTGGTTTGTAATTGGTTGGTTTAACGCACTTCATTCCCCTTTCCAGTGGAGTATTATGTTGAGGTGGCGGCTCAATTTTACCAATGGAGATATCTGCATTCTCATCATCCTCAATGTCTTCAACTTCCCCCTCAACGGGCTCATACACGGGACTAATTGACTCAAAACAAATTTCATTGTAAAACATCTCCAAATTCAAATCTTCAGTATTGACTCGTCTAATTTCAGACTCATTGAGTAACGACCTGGCGCCAGCATTTATGTCGTCACCAGTTGCGAGAATTTGAGCAACTGCTTCCTCATTAGGTGATAATTCCAACATCAATGTGTTCCAAATGTCAAGAACATAAATGAACTCACTGAAATCGTTGGCCTCAATCGTCAATTCCAACTTGTGGCACAATTCATTGATATAGTTTTTTATTGATGCTGAATAGTCAAAGTACAACGCATAGTGGATCATAAACACCTTGATGATTTCGTGCACAGGGTCCAATTCATTGTCCTTTGGTTCAGCAAGCACAAACAGCTCGCAATGCTGTGGATAGAGCAAAAATCGAACCTTGACACTATTGGCGTAATTGATATTGACGTCGCCATTAATCGAAGTCACTGGAGATGTAGAATACTGGGGGAATGAGATTGGCATATCACGATAACATTTACGATGTGAACCAACAACATCAGCTGCGAGCTCATCGTCGTATAATATGGTACCATCATCAGTCGTCATTGCATGTTTCGCAGTCTCGCCTTGTTCCAAATGTCTAAAGTTTAATTGAGGCAAGCTGACATTTTCTTGCTCCTCATAGATAGCTTTGAAAAATAAATGACGCGCATTCAACGGAACCAATGTGTCAGCATTGATGTCTGGTGGATCAAAGGGACTGATATGATCTTCCTCTTCTTCCGGTTGAGACTCTGTTTCTGTGCTCTGGAAATCGAAATCACTAAATTCCTCATACTCATCATCAAAATTGTGTTTTCCCTTCTTGTTAAGTTTTCTCCTCTTCTTGGGTGCGGATTTCTTTGATTTCCGTTGTAGTTCCCTCTTTAACCTAGCTTCTTCCCACAACTTCTTTTTCAATTCTGATTTTTGTGCTTGACGTGCTCTCGTTTTCAATTTAACTTCAACAGCAGGTGAATATATTACAGTTTGGGTACGTTTCCGCTTAGCCCCCTCTTGAACCTTTTGTCTATCACCAGTTACCGTTTGGAAATACTCTGCACTCTCACTCAACTGCTTGAGTAGATTGACACTTACCAAGGGAGATGGGGCTCGCTTTGCGTAAAGTTCCGGATTCGCTAATCGTCTAGCTTTGGCTAACTCAAGCTGGAGTTTTCTTTCAGCCTTCTTTCTTTCAATTGCTTCGAGTCTCGCTTTGGCTCTAGCGGCTGCAACTTCGGGATCAACTTTAGGTTTTGGAGCCGGTTCAATCTTGCTTGCCTCTTGTTCCAATTCTTCAAGTTTATTAAAGTCAACTTCACTTCCCGCACTTCTCCTAGTGCTACGTTTAGATGATCCACTTCCAATGCAAGCCATACCAGCTTCATACATCAACCTTTCCTGGAGAGTTTTGAATTTCATTTTTCTCAGACTTGCATACGCAATTTCCTTGTATTTCAGGTCAATAAACGAGTTTGATCTCAATGGGTAATGGTAGTAAACATTTTCAACAGCATCTTCATTACGCACTTGTTCAGTCAACATCAATTTCTCTCCTTTTGTTAAGGAATTTTGAACAAAATTTGGATGACTTTCAATGCGTGTGCGTATATTCTCAATGCTATTGTTTGGAAAGCAAATTGACAAGTTCAGTCTTGTAAGATCATGCTCGATACAGTCGCGTAATATTTCGTCCTCTGACGGTTCGTAAGCTGGTTTGACTTGTCGTTTGGTTGTAGCTGTGCTCCTGACGTTCTTTTCTTTGCGCGTAGGTTCAAGTGGCTTCAATGACTTTTTCACTTTGAAATCTTTTCCACCTTTCTTTCTGAGTTCATAATACTTTGTCTCAATTGCTTGTCTTGACCTCGTTGGAAATTTGGGGTAGATATCTTCCCATTCTACACCTTGTTCCACTTTGAGTTTCCATAGCAATTTCTCGTCTTCTAGTGTCCACTTGGGTCCCACTTGCCTCTTGCCAGGTAATGGAACTCTGCGTTGAGAAGGGGTTGAGGTTCTGCTGCTTGGTCGTATCTGCGATTGCAATAATGATCTGCTATTGGTTGGCTCTCCTTTTATGAATTTTGGTATTAAGAGGCGGTATCTATTCTGTAATGCAATTGGTGTACGATGTTTGAATTTGAGTGACATTTCTTCCCAATCAGGATCATTGCCCGTTGTCAACTTCCATAATAGTTCGTCTTCCTCATTAGTCCAATTACGACGCACATCTGTTGTTTCTTTGGTCTTGGTTTGTTGATCCTTGTCAGTACTTTTTTTATGGGTAGTGGGCCAATGAGATGGTGGTTCTTTCAGCTTAGGAGCGATGCCTTTTTGTCGCATATCCCACAACTTCGCATTGACACCTGATTCTGACCGATTTGGAAAGAAATGAAATACATCCTTCATTTCGAGATTTCGTTCAAAGATCAACTCACGCAAAAAGTCCACCTCTCCTGAGGTCCATTTCTTACTTGCAACACCCTTCCTTTTGGGCAGTGGGACATGTTTTTTCAAAAATGTTGGGAATATGTGATCAAATCTTTCTTTGCAATCGGTTACTGTGAAATTCTCAAAGTGGGACCCAATCTCATCCCATGGTAAAAGTTCCTTGGCTCTCAAGTCCCATAATAACTGATCCTTCTTTTGACTCCATTCATATACCGGGTTTCCATCCTCTATTGGATTCTTTTGCGTATTGTTTACGTCCATAGACTCTTTTTCATTCATATTGAGACCTTTTTCCTCTTCCTCCTCCTCCAGTTTGGACTCGGACTGCGGTTGTTTTGTGAAAGTCCGCATTATACGGTGAATCCTGAGTTCACAAGCACTAAGAGAGCGTTTACCCATAAATGGCAAAACGTTGTCCCATTTCAAAGCTTGTTCCACTCTCAATTTCCATAACAATTCATCTTCTTGTGGAGTCCACAACTGATGCACTCTTTTAGGTGTATTATCTGTATCGTCGGTGTCGAAATCTATTAGTACGTCATCAGAAGGTGGGGTAGGTAATTTCGGCTCTGTAACCTCTGTCTCAAAGTTTGATTTGGAACATATGTTTTCAATGGACAAATCGTCCAAGCCAGTACTCTTGAGTCTCGAGATGACTGTTTGGACTTTGCGTTTTATCGATGCATCTATTTCTATATCTGGAGTAAGTTCCGCATTCGAATGTAGTATCTGCTGTGCAATAAGTTTCCTCTGAACCAAATGATTTGTTTTATTGTCTCCACTCAGAAGAACTTCTTGACATACTTGCAATACCTGTTTCCAAGGCGTTCGAGGTGAGTCGTTTAGTATTTTACTTAGTGAGTACTCCAGGCAGATTAGATCTCTTATTAGGTTCGGTGATGCAGAATCGGGTGCGTCCATGCTTGAAGAATGTGAGTGTGTATTGTAGCTGTTATCAGTTTCTTGGAGATATGGCGAATGCTGTTTACCAAGAAGAAAATCAAAAACACGGTCCATATGTTGGCTTCCAATTCTTCCTTATTCAGGTTGGTCACAATCTCTTTAAGCTCCAAGTCGGGATTTCCAAATGTATAAAATGCTAGGGAAAAAAAAAAAAATGCAATCAAATGTTATTCTTTCGATTATTTGTACTGTAGATCACTTTCTTTTCTCACGATCCTGACAGTCTAGACTATGTGGAGTGGCTTGGTCTTAGATGATAGTTTCAATATAAAAAAAGTTGTGGCTTTCCAATGCCTGACAGAATGAAGTTTTGTTTTGATTTTGGAGGTGAGGCAGAAAGAGACAGAGAGACAGAGACAAAGAAAGTTTCTTTTGCAGTATTATGTAATGCATTATGTAATTGATATTCACGTCTTCATTGATTTTTATAAGAGACAGCCTTATTAATGTGGTACAGGTACTCTGAAGGTGTGATTGTGCTGCTACTCTCATCAGTTGGTTATCCAATGAGACAGAGAAGTCCAATTGAAAGGAATGATCTGCATCTCAACTACCCTCTTCACATCACAACTCTTCCTTGATCGCCTAACTTACGACATGCCACACTTTATGATTTAGAGCGCAATGCTAAACAACCCCCCCCTCTTGAATTGAGAATCGCGCTCTTAGAGCATCCCAAGCGGTGTACCTTCCGTGTGCAAAAAGAGCTCACCTACTTCGTAAGCAGTCCAAACCGCGGATCATTCAAACACCACCTGCAGTGTTGCTTGCTTATTCGAGATAAGAGAACTCTTCTCTCACATAGTATTACTACTGTATGCTCGTGTATAGTTGATCCAGTTGAACGACTCGTTCTCTATAATATTAACATTTATCGTATTATGTATATACAAACAATTTTGGCTATCTGTGCAATCTTCCTACACCTCAGTTGGTTTAGCATTGATCCTTGTCATATCTATACTATCGAGTATTGTTTGAGCACCTTGATCCTTCAATTTGTCTCCTAATTCAACTCCCAACCTTTCACAATCATCTTCTCGGTTAGTAATCTCACCACACACTTCAGCTTCAATCGACTGAGTACCATCAGGACTGACAATTATCCCCTTTAAAGTCAATACCCGTGTGTGTTGATTATACTCTGAATGCACACCCAATGGAACTGAGCATCCACCTTCGAGATACCTCATCAATGAACGCTCAGCAAGACAGCATATAGTGGCAATGGGATCTTCAATCTGTTTGAGAATCTGCTTAATCTTGTGATTGTCCTTCTTAATTTCAATACCCAACGCACCTTGCCCCACTGCGTAATAAACATCATCCAAACAGGAAGTTATTCTGTCTCCCAATCCTAAACGTATCAAGCCAGCACTTGCCAATATAAGACAGCAATATTGGTTTTCTTGGTCATCCAATTTCCTCAATCTCGTTTGTATATTACCTCGTACACTTTCAAATTTCAAATGTGGATAATTTTTAATCAATTGACTCAGTCTCCTAATGGAAGAAGTGCCCACTATTGATCCTGCTGGTAAATCCCGTAAATGAGTATATGGACTGCCCAGTTTCATAACGATCGCATCTCTAGGGTCTTCTCTTTGGAAAATACATCCCAATTCAAACTCCTCGGGTAAATGGGTAGGCATATCCTTCAATGAGTGAACAATAAGATCCAACTGAGGAAACTCATCAACCCTATCCATCAACAATATTTCCAACTCTTTGGTCCATAAACTTTTACCACCAAATGAATAGAGCGGTTGTGTTTGCACCTTGTCTCCCAACGTGCTCAATGCTAGTATTGAACAGTCGATTTGAGGATATATGCTTTGTATCGCTTGTTGAACAAGCTCCAGTTGTACGACCGCAAGTTTTGATTTCCTACCACCAATTTGTATGTGAGATATGTCTGGTTGTGAGTAAGTGGTGGTGGTGGCGGTAGTAGCGGTGGTGGCAGCAGTAGCGGTAGTGGTCTCACTTATGGGCATAATAGTATGTGGCATCAGTGAGTAGAAAGAAATGGACTCTGGTTGTTGAAAAAAAAAAAATTATATATATATGTAGAATCAAATTGATGGGGAATGCAAAAAAAGATAGAAATGCAAAAGAATGGTACACTGATATGCGGCAAGTGGATGAGTCTGGTTAGTGTAAATGGATCTGAAAATCAAGAAGGGAAATCAGACTATCGTATGTACAGAAATTTCACCCTTATGATGTTGTTGTAGATTGGAAAAGAAACTTATCAAGCTAGTTATATATTTTTTGATTTAAGCAAATATGATGTTTCTCTGTCTCTCTGTCTCTCTGTCTCTCTTGTGAAAAAAAGAAAAAAAAAAAAAAAAATTTCAATACGATGATGATATCTAAACTTTAAATAGTAAGCAAAGCGAGGATAGGAAGTGACTGTAATCGGCACAAACCAAATAGCACACACTGACTGCAACTTATCCTCTAACACACTAAATTTATTGAATTAAAGATGAAGATAGAGAGAGTGTATGTGTATTTGTGTATACGTTTGTCTATTGGACTTCTTAATGTCTTAGTAAGATAAGGTAGTGTACCATTGACCAAATGTGTAATTATCAATCGAGACAATCTGATTGCTTACAAAATTTCTGTTTCTGTTTCTATGATTCTATTTTTCTTTTTTTCTTTTTTTTTTTTTTTTATGACATTTTCTTATTTTTGTATTGAAAGTGTATTGTAATAGAAGAGCCGCTTTTCCGCATGGATTTACCCAATTGGGTAATAACGTACAATATTCTCTCCCCACACTCGCATCACATCACATCACATCACATCACAAGACTACTAAAACAGTTTGGATTTAACTGTGATTAAAAATGGCACTACGACTTACAACAGCGCAGGGTTCACATTTGAAGAAAACAAACATGCTACGATGGTGTGCCACAAGCTACTGCAATTCAAGTATCAAGTGGCTACAAAGATTAGTATCGGATAGCACTGAATGTTGTGTTAAACGTGGTTCACCTTTTAAGTTATGACAAATTTCGTCGATTTGATTGGTTGAAAAAAAAAAACAAAACTTTCAATTGCCGAGACTCGTTAACTTTTGTGTGCTCTCTATGCAGGATTTGTTTTCAATTTTCGCAGCAATTGGCATAATCAACAAGACTTGCAAAAAGCTTTATCAATCACCTCTATCATTATTATATCTTCTCCTATGTAAAGTAATAGAGACTACAACACCGAAATCTTCGTAAACCCTCAAAATGTTTCATCACTATCATACTGATCAACTTCAGTATTACTCAATGTCTTGAATTTTAGCGGAAGAGTTCGATTCAACTCCTCGCTATCCAAATCCCCCCCATCGTCATCACCGTCATCATACGCATCGCCATCATCATCGCCATCTCTGTCTACATCATCCCCACTCCGGGGCCCATCGCCCTCACTTTCAGAATTGATCAGTAACTCATCGTCTTCCATACCCATTCCGCGTCGCTTCAATGGCACATCCCCACGTCTATTCCCATAATAGCAACCTACTTTGTCTCTTGCTTCTTCTCCCGCCCACGCAACATCGTCTTCATTGATACGACTCATAATCACCAGCTTAGAATCGTCTATACTGGTGGAAATTATCCGTTTGGTAAACAATGACTCAAGGTTCGATAATCGTGCAAGTACATCCTGGGTGAGCATAGGTTGCTGTAAGCTTGCCATTTGAAGTGATGGTGGTGATCCAAAGAATGGTTGTGGGGCGTACGATTGTAATTGCTGTGGATGTGACTGCAGCGGTTGTTGTTGTTGTTGTTGTTTCTGCTGCTGCTGCTGCTGTTTTATTTGTTGCGTTGATGTGGCAGATTGCAGAAAAACCGACCCTCGCCGTGGCACATTGAACGACTTTTTAAGTGCAATGGGAACTTGTGTTTGCGTTTGCATCTGATGCTGCTGCTGCTGCGCTGGAGGTGATTGACGTCGTTGGTGATTTGGCGTCTTGCGAGAAAATACTCTATTCATTTGCGGCACTTGTGCTTGCTGAGTTTGAGTTTGTATTCGTTCAAGCTTATTATCCACCACATAGCTAGTAGCTCCATACTTTCGGTTCAACAACTGATCAATAAACAATGAGTCTGTTGAAGCTGTACGTAGATGGCCTCCACCCAATGTGCTTATTGATTGATGATTCTTCATGGCTTGTCGTTTATTCACTTTTATAGCCACTGGTTCTTGTAATGGATCAACACCACCAATGCTCGATTGCTCATTGAATTGTGTATATTCCTGATCATTGCTTATAAACACAAAGTGCTTCAAATCAACATCGTCATTGTTGATGTTGTATCTTCTTGTTTTGAAAAGTAAATGTGTAACTGCTTCATAAATCAAGACTATCCCAATCAATGGCAATTTGAACAATTGACAATACCCATTAGCCAATCCACCGCGTTGATTCAATTGACCCATTTTGAAATATAATATCAAGTTATTCAGTTTGAAATAATTGAATTCATGTTCAATGTTTTCCCGAGTCTTTGTAAAAACTCCACTAAGACAAATTGCCAAAATCGTCCCCACTATAAACTGAATCAAAAACAAATAACTCATTTGCATGATTTTACCCAAAGTATTGAAATCGTCCCAATTATTCCAAACCGACGGGGTGAATCCAAAGAATATCTTCAACATGTTGAATAATACATCTTGTTTAGTCTGTGTTTGGGATAAAGTGATGAAACTAAAGTAGAATCCACTAATCAATGTGAAAAAGAACAAGACAAGCCCCACCAAATTGAAAATCATCTTGTGGAATGAAAGAAGGATTAAATTGAAGAACCGATAATTATTGAAAATCGACAAGATCCGTGGGAACAAGATGATGCCAATCAAACTAAACACGTCATGATAATATTGTGGAGACCGTAAAGCAAACTTGAAAATAAAACACAAGTCGATAATGAATATAAATAGTAGGTCAATGTGATTCCAGATAACAATATTCATAAATCTATGATCAATATTGACTAATTTGGTAACAACTTCACAGTTGAAACTCAATGCAAGAAGCCAGAAATACAAATCGACAAAAAGTGATGACCGTTTCGGTTGCAATATCATGATGAAATAAACAATGGCAAAATTTATCAATTTCAAGTTGATCAACACATGTTGGTACTTTGGTACGAGTTGAGCTCGATTGAATATTCGTGCAATGGAAAACTTGACTCTGGAATCATCAAATATAGTGTCGTCAATGTCCAGATCGCCATTGATGTCCCCTTCATTGTCATAGCCGGTGAAACTGTGGTTCCTACTCTTGCTGTTGCTGTCCCCATTTCCATCTCCAGAACTGCCCACATTGTATCCGCCCCTGTGTGTTCTCCTCTCCCCCATCCTTGTTCCCAACAATGTACTTTTCTCATCCTCACAATACTCCCCATTCTGATAATACAAACAAGACCCGCCATGGACCAAATCGCCATTATAAAACCTGTCCAAGATGTGGATAACTATAGGTTGTGATAAGAATCGTTTCAGTTTAGACAATATACTCAATTCCAAAGAGTTCAAATCCATCATCCCCATAAGTGACATGTTGCTATTGCTATTGCTGCCACTACCACTGTTACTGGTATTGGTGCTAGCCAATCCTGCAGGTGGCTTGATAAACAACATTTGTATCCTTTGCCATGATCGGTATTCACGCAACATTCGAATAGCCAACAATTCACAAACATTGGCTTTCGTAACCAAGAGATCAAAGCAGATCAAGTTGTTTTCCAGTTGAATCAAGTATTCATAACGAAGTAGCAAGAGGATATAAATGGTGAAGGTGGAGATTTTGAGTCTTGATTTGGGATCAGTAAAGTGATGAGCTTGAGTAGGTTGTGATTGGGAAGAAGATTTGTCAGTTATGGCTATGATTTCAATAATAATAGGTTTGATCAAAGTTGAAAGTATTTCTGGTGTCTTTAGTTGCTCAAATTTCAAACTCAACAGGACATTGGAATTAATCAAGTTTTGAATTTGGAAATAGTATGATTTGAAATTGGCAAGTCTTCGTAGTTGGTAATGCTCTTTTGTAGTGGTTGTTGGACCAGCTCCCATCGGTAGTGTTGACATATTGGGCGCATGGCTATAACTTAGTTCTCGGTATCTCGACATGATGTGGAAACTGTGATGCAGAAGTAGATGCTAAAAGGGACGCGACAGACAATGCTTCGATATATATATATATATAGAGATAAAACAGTCAGTACTTGCACTTCTTATCTAAAACAGTCCATTCTTCTGGAAACTGGGGAGTTCACTGCTGTTGAGCAACATTCTCTTAGCGAAAATGCAAAGAATAAACACTTTGATTGCCATTTGCGGTTATGTATCCATTATTATTATTATTCTTTTTTTTTTGCGTTTTTTTGCTTATACAGTTTTGGTTAATATCTCCATTGGGCTAAATTGTAAACAAAACGAGGAGTTGTACAAAGTACTTAAAAATAAGTTGGTAGCGTAAGTTATCGACAAGCATTCGCCACAATTAGAGTCTTCTGAAAGATATAAAACCGATCCAACAGCCAAGATTTACAGAGTAGTATGGTGTTGTGGGTTATGGGTATTACTAGCAGCTTCTTCATTCATATCTGACACTATGTTCTTATGTTATTGATGATGTGTATCTGTCTCTAAATCTACACAAGTATTCGAGGGATTCTTCACTCATATTTAAACCCTCCTCCCCCCACTTCATCTTTGTTACATAAGCAAAAGTTGTTGTATATCCCCATTATATTTCTATTAACGTCCACCGTCTTGGCATTTGCTTGTTGTTGGTGTGTAGTATTATTCTTATTTGCTGTTCTTTTATTCACCACACAAGCTTTTGCGCGCGCGCAAATTCTCCCTACTTGGAATAATAGTCAAGCATGAAACCCATAATTAACTTTTCTTTGCTTACGTAATGATCAGAATTCTATATTTAGAACTTTTCAACCATTCATTCATTGATTGATTGATTTTTTTTTTTTTTTAGTTTTCTCTAAATGAGGCGTTTGATTGCACTGCACTTTAAATAGTTGGTATTGCCTTTCCCTAACCCTTTCCCCTGCCCTCCCCTGCCCTGCGCTGCCCTGCCCTATTCAACGGAGAGTTCCCATCGTGGAAACATCTTCACATATACAATCCATTCTCTATTCAACCTTTGGATCTATGACTACACTATCTATATCTCTTACCCCTTCAAATAAGAAAAGAAACATTATGATTCTTTTTCTGAGGGTAATACTATGAGATGCCAAAAGAGGAAAAACCGGAAAAAAAAAAAAAATGAATCAAGAAAATGCCGCTTGAAGAATTAATATGAATACATCCACACGAGGTTCAAACTTCTGATACAAGGCGTCTTTCTCTTTTGGTATTGGCTTAAAGACAAAATGATGGACCACACAATATATTATGTTAAAAGGAATATCTTGGAAATTGTAAGGATGTAGTAGTGGTTTGTAGAAGATAGAGGGAAAAAAAAAATAAAATAAAAAAAATATTTTTGTGGTGGCTTAAGCGCATAAGCCATGCATGTTATTGTTTTCGGTAATTGAAATCGGCCTACCAATGGGAAATGAAATTTTTTTGTAACACACACACATGCTTAACACACACACACACACATACACGTACATACTTAACACACACGCAACCCAAGGGTTTAAAAATAGAATTTAGTGCTGAGAAAAAAAAAAAAAAAACGGAAAATTTTGAAATTTTCAAAAGCCGCATGAGTTTTCTACGGACGTTGCCAATATTTCCGGGAACCATCGTCCACTTATTCATTCATTAATTCATTCATTTTCATTTATATTCGTACAATTACAAATCTTTCTAACCCCTCTTAAGTCAGGTTAAAGAGATTCTACTCAAACACCATAACTAACACTGTAACTGAATTTTTTGCCTTCTTCTGTCAACAACCCCACCACCACCACCCACACGCGATTCCAGATGAACACTACTGAACTAACCTCCGAGGCAAATCATCACTCGCCGTCTACATCTGCCTCGCCGTCGGCACCAATATCAACAATAAGTTTCGAAGCTTCCAACAACACTATTACTCAGCAACGACCGTCATCAAGAAGAGTAGCTAGACGTGCATGTTTGTCGTGCAGAGAAAAGAAGATCAAGTGCGATGGTGAGCCCGTTTGCGCCATATCTTCAGCAGATGGAGTCAACAAAGTGGTTCCAGAAAAGACAAGGACTTGTTCCAATTGTAAATTCTTGGGTATAGAGTGTGTCTTTGTGCAAAGTAATCGTGGAGGAAGAAGAAAGAGAAGAGAAGCCAATGGTGATTCAGGAAACAAGACTGGGGAGAATACGGCAACTAATGATCAAGTGAAAAAGATACGAACGGAGAGTTCAACTACTGGCACATTCACACAGGAAAATGATTCTCAAAATACAACCAAGAAAGCCACTACAAGCGAAGACCAGATAGTTTCAGGTTCAACAGCTAGAGTCAGCTCATTTATCCTAGGGAACAACAATAAGCCAAATTTTACTCTACCGGGTACAACTCAAACTGATTTCCCACATGCGTTGGGTAAGATGCCCCCACCTACATTTTCCTCAAGTGAAGGTTTAAATTTGAGAAGTGATTATGGCCATCATATGAGTAAGCCGCCGTACCCTGAGTTTGATGAAATGGTGCAAAGTGACACTACGAGATCCAATTCCTATGACTTCCCCCGGTTCCCATTCGGAAGAAGATACCAAGACATTGATCGTCCTGATGGAACAGAAACCGAATCCTCATTCCAATTGTCGAGTGTCCCACCAAAGGGAAGACAACACGACAAAGAAAGTAGCCCACCGTCACCTCATGATTTTGGTCATGGCCCCCATCGTCGTGGGCCACCGCCACATCCGCACTCACATCCGCATCCACACTCACACGATCGTCATCACATGGATGAAGATGATTATTATTCACTTCCTCCGCCACCTCCACCTCCACCTCCACCTCCATTTGGCTTCCATCATGGACCTCCTCCGCCACTCCCACCTTTTGGCCCTCATCCTCCTCCGCCTCCGCCACCACCGGGGCATTTTCCTCATTTCCACCCGCATTTTCCACCTCCACCTCCACCTCCACCTCCGCACCACCATCATTATGGAATGTACAAGCATCACTACCCTCACCCTCGGCATCGCCGTCACCATCACCATCACCATCATCGTCGCAAGTTCTATGACCCTCAATATGATAAGCACGACTCTGCAGACGAGCTGTATTCGCCAAAGCTTCATGATCGTCGTAAAGCTGACAAGGAGACGCTCACTGAGAACAGCTCGTGCTCTAGACTGAGACGGTTTGGTAGTGTTTCAAGCTCTTGTTCAACCCCGTCGTCGGGAACTGATGGAAAGGATATGAGTCTGTCGTTGGTAGCAAAGTTGCCTGATATGGAGGGAAAGAGCACGTCATTGGTGGGTGAGCATAATATTGGAGCACAAGAGGAGAAAGGCGGTACTGCCACTGCTGTTGAAATTACAACTTCAACTACTCGTCCATCTGTTTCTAAAACTCAGAAGCAACCATTCTCAGACACCGAGTTAGCTGAATATGATCTTCCCAATTGGCAGACTTTGGATAGAGTTTTGACATATTATTACATCTACAACCAGCCAAATCACCAATTATTCCCTGGGAAGTCAATCCTACTCGATAACTTGTCTTTAAAACTCGACAGCTCAGTGTTTCACGCAATCATTTCCACAATCTGCATAACGGCAACTAGACAAGACCCCACTTTACCAATCAGCAGCGACGAAAACTTCTGGATCAACAATGTTTACAAGTACTGGGACAATCTTAATGGGCTTGGGATAATGACGTGCTACAAATTGATTTCCAAGTGCACTTCATTCAGGTACGATATGAGCAACATCAATAAAGCCAATGCCAAGATTCTCGACACGATTCATGAAAATAACTATGTCGAGATATACAGTCAAAAGCGGTTTGAGTTCCAACAGGCAGAAGTGAAGCTAAATAGCAAAATACCACAAAAGCATCCAATATTTGGTACACGAAGACAAATTTATGAACGTGAAGTTGTACTTCGATTGATTTGGAATTTTTACATCCATCATATAATCTTGCTCAGATTCAATCAAGGTCGGCCTTACTACAAGTTATCCATGATTATTGATGATTTCAAATTGGATTATGAGCGAGACCATTACTCAAACAACATTTTGCTCCCGTTGAACGATTATGATTTTATGAATTTGAAGTTGGTTAATAATCGCACAAATTGGAAACAGTTGCACGAAAAGAGTTATATCCCCTCTGATGCTGCTAGTTTGATTTTGGCTAGCAAGATTTTCGAAAATTTATTGACGAAATTGTCCAATGATGAATTGAGTTTTGAGAATTTGATTAATGTTAGTGAGTTTAATGTTGATTTTACATGCAAGATCAAGTCTCAGCATATTACTATAAAGGAAGATAGGAAATTGATTGTGGTCAATGTGAGTTATTGGTTTGCCAATATGATTCTTCGAGTTTCTGAGGTTTTGCAATACAATCATTTCATTCACAATGTGATGGTTTTCAAAATGTACAAACATGAGTTTAAAGTGCATGTGGAAGAGACCAATCACAAGAGCAAGGACACTTCATTCACGCCAATAGTATGTGATGAAATTCTCGAATGCAGTGATTTATTCGAGCGATTAACCAAGCTTCAATCATTTCAATGGCAGAGTATTATTGAAGTGACAAAGTCAATAAATGGATTCATTTCATTGATTGAGTTTTCCCCACTGTCGGAATACGAAGACTATGCAATTGTACTTGGACCATCTTTGATCAGTAGTGAAGAACCGGTAGACAAGAGCAACACCATCAGTAATGTCATCAACAAATCAACCGAATGGTACGACTCGCCCGAATTGCAGACCACGGTCAAACAATCTTGGAACAAGTTGCCACCATATTCATTATCATTCTCGGCGGGGTTCTTGTCAGTTGTGTGCAGCTTGGCAGTATTGACGAAATATGTAAAGCTCAGATCCAATGCGGATCTGAAATGTCTAGTTGTTGAATTCATACCAACTGGAGAATCTAAAGAATTTGCCGACGTCAATACAAACAATATTGACGGGTTTGAACGTGTTGCTCAACTGTTTACTACTACGCAGATTCTAAAGCAGGTGTCTACGTTGTGTGAGTTTGTGAAGTTCAAGTTGTCTTATAGTAATGCCAACGTTATGCAAAGTACTATTCAAAAGATGAACAAGATTACACAACATTTGGAGAGTATATTGAGTAGTGGCTAAATATATAAAAGATAACGCTTCTGTCAAGTACCATCGAGTATCAATGTGTGTGACACGTGAAGTTCCAAGCAAAGTTTTGGATGCAATGGGGGCTCGACTCTACCATTTGGGCGGTGGGTGGTGACTATGTGAGCTGTATACTGCGTATAGTTCAACCGGCGAATGCTGCCTCTTGAGGTTCACTTTTATTTCTCTTGCAGCACCATAAGTAACAGTATGCTCAAAGTTTGTCAAATTTTTTCGAGTCAAAGCATAAAAGTGGTAGCCAACGAGCCTCTCTTTCCCCCCTATAGGACGGTCATTGTGGATATAGATTGACAGAGTAGCCCACGCACGTGCGCACAGAATCTTTAAAAAATTGACACAAATTTTATACAAGAAGGGCCCACGTTTTTCGTTTCTCTGTTTTCTGTTCTCTGTTTTCTGTTCTCTGTTTTTTGTTTTTTTTTTTTTTTTTCGCCGAGAATTGCGTAATTTTCTGCCGAGGCTAATAGCATAAGAAAAGTCAAATTCTCCATTTTATACAATACATTCCTTTCCCCCTTTGTTTGCTCTGTTCTTAACCATTACCAAATGCTCATATAAGAAAACTCCAGCTTCTGCTTCGAGCGAACTTATTCTCACCTACCACTTACAATAGTCACTAATTTTCCTTCTTCTTCGCTACCGCCAACATGATCAACGTCTACAAACCGGCATTACAAAGCAGAGACTGGGACTCTTATAACAACCATACAACCCCTGATTCGATCTTACAGTATAGTGGAAATGCCTCATCCACACCTATTTTGCCATTCAACTACACCATTGAAGGTTTGACTAGAGATGTATATCCGAAACCATTGCACTCGCACAACGATTATTGGAGAAAACACCCATTGTTTGATGCGTTGAGTATCGGCGCTATTTCCATTGAGAGTGACATTTGGCACTTCCCTCAAACGTATCAGTTGCAACGTACAACGACTGAGACAACCGACTTCACAACAACACCCAATGAAACTTTGTATTTCAACAGTAGTGAAATTTACGTGGGACATAATCAAGTCTTCTTACATCCGATAAACACCTTGTTCAACTTGTATTTGAACCCGTTGTACCAGTTCTTCCAGTACTCCAATCCAAGTTTCAACTATGTTGATGATGGTGGTAATGGAGGGAGCCCCTTTATTGGAGGTGATTCTAAGCATGGTATTTTTTATAATGATCCTGAACAACCAGTTTATCTTTGGTTTGATTTTAAAACTGAACCCAATGGAACCTATGAAGCTTTAAAGCCATTATTGCAACCTTTTATTGACGATGGATTGTTGACGTACTACAACACTACTGATGAATCCCTTCATGAAGGACCTTTGGTTTTGACAATCACTGGAAACTTGCCAGTTGAAAAAGTGAGTGAGGAGACAGTGAGGTATACGTTCTTGGATGCTCCATTGAGTCACTTCAACTCATCTGGTGATGAAAACGAGATGCAGAAATGGTCGAAATTGTCAAGAGTTGCAAGTGGATCCATAAAGAGTTTGGTTGGCGATGGGTACAATTCTACAATCAGAAATGAATTCACCCAGGCCCAAAAGACTAATCTTAAAGACTATTTTGATAAAGCTCATGAATACAATTTAAAGACTAGAATCTGGGGGGATATCACTTGGCCATGGAATTTGGTTGATCTGCACTTATTGGATTTGTACCAAGCTGGTACAGATTTGTTGAATGTTGATGACTTGAAAAGGGCTGAAAACCTCTTTCCAGTGAAATAAAAGGGCCATCCAAGGTTGAAGGGCATCCAAGTCTATTAAAATCTATTAAAATCTATTCTATTCTATAATACAGTTGTTTATCGTTTAATTTGGTTTGTTAAAAGTTTCGTTTGAGTAGTTCATAAGTGTAGAAAATCAATGCATTGGCGGGGATACATCTAATCATAGTGATCCCCAATCCATTATATAGGTTCATCACTCCACCTGGTTTTGAGCACAACTTTTTCGTCTCCTTCCAGAAATCCGTCGCCTTGTGATGGTGGAGTTTGCTGCTACTGGTTCCACCTGCTAGTATATCATGCGTCTGTATGTTTGACTTGATGGTGTCAACAGGGAACATGGAAAAGTTAAACAATACACCAGCCATAGCTCCACTAAACAACAACTGCAAATCTTTGTTTTTAATAAACGAGTGTTTCGAAGCGGCGAAATACTCATTGACATATTCATAAGTACCAAACCAAATCAGTGTCCCCACAACTTCTCGAACCATAGTAGATCCCAATCCATTCCATAATCCAATCACCCCTCTTCGCTTCAAGGTATCACCAATAACTGAAGAATAAGTATGTAAGCTCGATTTGCTAGCCAAGTTAGCAACTTGCAACTGGCATTTGACTAGTTCCACCGGAGTCAAGATAAAACTAGCCATGAAACCAGCAAACCCACCACTGGCACATTTAGACCACATTGATAAATCTGCACCATGAGGTTGCAACATACCCGTTGCAAAATTGTAACTGCTAAACAAGACGGCATTTTCCAAACATGCCCCAAGTAATGGAGCCTTCAAACCTTTATAGAACCCCATAAACCCTTCATTTCGAAATGTTCGCGATATCATCGACATTGTAGATACGGGATGGGAGTTGTTTGATTGTAGTCGAACTTTAATGGTGTCGAATGGGAACTCAACGAGCTTGCCAACCATACCGGACACGGCACCAAATGCAATCTCTTTCCATGGGTGGATCTGGGTAACTTCATGATGTTGTTCATCATGTCGTAAGTCAGTGTGGTCCATTAGCTCAATTGTGGTTTACTTAGTTCTGGTTGAAAATTTTTTTGTTTTTTTCTTTTTACAAGCATTGCGCTTTTGATAACGATTCCTTTTTCTTTTTTTTTTCTTTTTGCAACAATTCTCCAACAAAATATGTGAAAAATGAGGGTAAGAATAATGAGACTCATACAACTGCATGACAAGAGATGCAATCCACGTACTCTACAACTGTCCTGAACCACCTTAGTGGAGATATTTTGTGTAGTATTTTCGTTGCAGATAGTTTATTCTGCCATATGTCATGTAATTTATATTTCTTCTCTTAGATGCAGAGGAAAATGAATAGAATCATTAAGGCACATCTTGTCCTTTAAAAAACACTCGATCTAAACAGTTGCCAACGCTTTAACGAACAAGTTGAGAATGTAAGCACAGAAATATCAAAAAAAAAAATCAAAGCCCGACGCGGGACTCGAACCCGCAACCTTGAGATTAAAAGTCTCACGCTCTAGCCGATTGAGCTAGCCAGGCAATTTTCAAGGAAATTGAGTACCTGGTTTAACTCACAAAGTCAAAACTACATAGTTTATTGCTTAAAGGCTGTATTTATTGTTGGTAAACGGAAGCATATCTAGGCCACTACCGACCGGCGACCAGCTAAGCTGTGACCAGGAAACACAGAGCCATTCGAAGCTTACAATTCTCTTCTCATAGATCAAATCAGGCATCTATTTTCTACACATATACTTCACCAGCCACTTTACCCTTACCCCCCCCAATCAATCATCGTCATCGTTTGGCTTATCATTCAATACCCCACTTGCTTGGATCAATGCATCAATATCCTTATCGCTCCATATCTTGCGCAAAACTTTTCCATCCTTTCCCAAACTCAATGTAGCAAACTCTAGTTTCTCACTGTTAAGATTGGATGCGTCCATGGTCTTTGACAATACCTTAATAGCCAACTCACATGCTTCTTTCAAAGTCAAGTCTTCCTTGTAGTCCTTCTTTAACAATGTTTGTGCAGCAGCATTATTAGCCCCAATGCTAGTAGCCTTCCATCCACTGAAATTTCCAGAAGGATTGGAAGTGTACAATTGATATTGGTATCTGTCGTCCCAACCAGCATATAGAAAACTGACTCCAAAAGGTCTCAATCCACCATGTTGAGTATAACCTTGTTTGATATTTGCCACCCTCTTGATTAAAATCTCACAGGGGATTTCCTCATTATAGGTCTTCAAGTATTGTTGCGATTGGACCCTGGCATTATTGACCAAGATCGAAGCATCGGAGGTCATACCGGCAACAGCACAAATTAACTGATCATTTATTATGTACAATTTCTCTGCACTTCCATCGTCATCCAATAGTTTCGACGTTACCTTCTTTTCACATGCCAAGACAACACCTTCACTGGAGACTATCCCCAATGCAGTCCCCGCCATCGATATGGCTTCCTGTGCATATTCAACCTGGTACAATCTTCCCTCGGGTGAGAATATAGTGGTTCTTGAATCGTATCTTCTCGACATGTTTTAAGGCCCTTCCTGTATTGCTGACAGCTGAATCTGGTGTTATATGTATATCAATTGGGTTCAATGAAGAGTCCCAAAGAATGCTATAAGGTGTTTCGTTTCAATTGAGTGCACCGTCTTTCTTGGTGGCGACAGATTTGAAGAATTGAAAGTTTTCGCTCTCTCTCTCTCTCGTTGCAAGTGATTTTCCTTTTTGTTTTTTTTTTTTTTTTGTTTTTTTCTTGTTAACTCACACACCAGAACAATACAAACCTTTGTTGTAGCTTACAGGGAAACAGGCAGTCAGACACAACAACAACTCCTCATCCTCTTCCTCCTCCTCAAGTACGGGAAAGCTCATACACAGATGTCTACATGACAATATTTGTTAGCTCAAGAAGTACCCCTATAGGGTATAGCACCCCAGATTTCCCATCCATATATTGGCCATTAGGAGCCACTAGACCATCATACTTGAAAGCATTTCTATACTATTCATGGGATATTTGGAGATTTACCGTTTTTTGGTCGTTGATACTCTCAGGGGGTCTTTACTTTGTTGTTGGCGTCATAGGTTGCTGCAATAGTATACTCAATAGCTACCGACACAATACACTTCAGAGTTTCAAAGTTTTCAGTTGTGGGTTTATATTGGTGTTTTACTTGTTTACAGGTTTATTGAAAGGGTTTGTTGGTGGAGCAATAATCGGAGTCATTATTGCTGCTATCTACCAGGCAGGAAATTTGACCATGAGTTGTTGGATTCCATTGACATGGGCTATTGCACAAGTATTGTATGATATTGCGTCGTCGTATCTGATTAGCTCAGTGATTCTATAGTTGCTTGAAAACAGAGATGAAGCTCAAGTGTATAGGTAATGTGATTCCCTTTCTCTGGATAGTACTCTTGAAGCGTAGGATACACTGGTACAACTTTAGTTCAACTTTCCTTGGTACATATTTGCCTCTCTTCTTTAGGACACAAAAATTAACACTTTCCAATTTCCAAATTTCCAATTCCGTTTTCTTTCAAAAATTGGTACTGCGGAGCCTATCACCACCAACACCCACGCACTTTGCCTATAGCACATGCCCAAACCAAAAAACAGGTCATGTTTGATATAGACTACATTGGGATAAACCAGTTTGCTTACACGTTCAACAAACTTGTCAATTCAAACAATGCAAATGTGTTTGCAGATCAATTGACTGAAATGGCAACAGAATGCCTCGAACTAATGGACCAGTATCAAGCATTACACCCGTCGTATATACAAATGCTTTCGTTTCTTATGTCGCAAGGTGTTGATATCTCAAAATACAACGACGAATGGGTTCATCGGTTGAACTCATGGCTAGGAACTTATACGTCTCAATTGCGAAAGTACGAGAATGAAACAAACTTGAGAGGAGATGTAGCTACCGAGTTTTTTGAGAAAATAAGAACAGTTGTGATCGCATTGACCATCCAAACCAAATATCAGGAAGCACTAAACTATTTGAACCGGTATGCCTCTGTTGTGGATTTCTCGTCCCAGCCAAAGACAAAGGGTCAATTTCAGTGCAATAGATATGTCGAGTACTTGTTTATGAAGTTCATCATCAATATTTTCAGCTTAATTTGGTTTCCTTTGGATGACAATGACTACACCATTGCTGCTGGAATGTATGTTAAAGATGGGGATAAACTACTTTACTCAACTTCCTCGTTCAAGCCATTATCCAAAATATACAACAATGTGGCTTCGTACCACAAGAAAAACATTGCCTTATTTGAAGAGAATGATGATGAAATGAGATACTACTGGTTGGTGAGGTTTCTACATCTCAGTTTGCTTTTCAAACAATTTGAATTTGTTGAGTTTCAAAAGGAGTTTTTTGAGTTGTTTGTTTCGCAGAAGGAGCCAACCAAGTACTTGTTTGCTGATACTTTACTCATAAAGAGAAACCTCCTCGTCATGTACGCAATAGTGCTAATTTTTACCAAACCATTCAACACACTCACATCTATAAACATTGAAAATGAGCAATTAATAGATTCATATTATAGAGACCCAGCCTCAATCGAGTACAAGTTTTTCAAACGAGTGTTGAAGCCCTTGGGTAAGTTGGATTTGCCTCAAGTGAGAGAAGCTCTTACAAATAGCTCATTTTTATCCGAGCTAATTGCAACATTGGAATACACATTGCCAGTCTCAACAGCAAGATTTCACAATAATTCAAATTTCTTTATAGAACATATGAAGTCTACAATTGATCTCAAGATGTTTTTACTTTTCATTTCAAATTCAAGATCCATATCAAGGCAACAGTTGCTAAGATTGATGGGATATGATTTGGCCTCGACGAATGAACTGGAGTTGAATGAAATTTCAAATCAGTTGGTGGGGACATTGTCCGCACTAAGTTTGGGGAGGGTAGGTATCAATTACCTAGCTGATAAGCAGTTATTTGTTAATAATGGGGGCGTGAATAGCGCAGATGAGGTGTCTAGATTACAAGATGAGATCGACACCGTGCAGAATGAGTTAAAGGGAGAGGCATTGACTGTGTTGATTGCAAACATGGTTCTGGCGAGTATTTACCAAGAGGAGTAATGGTGAATGATGAGAGAGGAGGGTGGACAAAAGGGGGAATGGCTACATATCACACTTAAAAGGTATAAAGTTATAATCTCTGTTGCTGTTACTGTAATTATTTGGGTATATAAACTGTCGTACTACTCTACAAAACAACTTCTTTCATCATTTTCTTCTTTTCTCTGCAGTTTTAACTGCAATTCTTAACAGCGTCTAGCTTTTCCAACTGAAGCAAGTACCGATAGTCAATGGGATACCAAACAAGACCAAAAGGTTGGTTGGTCACTACTTCAACTCCCAAATTCAACGCTTCATCATCAACAAAACTGGCATTCTTTATCAATACGCTTCTAATAAGAGAGTCGGGAATGAAATTATTATGTTTATAGACAATCATTCGTCTGAGCCAGTCAAAGAACCCCTTGGTTGTAGTTGACCTTAACTTAGGATACAGATCAGAATCGTAGCGTGCCACAGATTCCACTACTGCTTCTGGGTTTTTGTACACCAATAACGACAACGTTTGATTGTAGTAATTGAAGAAACTTACTTCTACTTCTGGCATGTTGAAAGCTATATAGGGGAGCGTTTGTACTGTGTGTGGACTCACGTCTTGAGCGTAAAGTTGAGAAATGTCAAAGTTAGAGATGTCTATAGAGAAGGTACTAAAATCGACAAAGTTACAACCTCCCACTGAGAAAGACAGAGTTTGGTTCTCTTTTTCTTCTTTGATAAGAGTATTCAGGTAAGTACTTGGTGGATGTAAAGACATTATTGCTTGATAACTTGTAGTAATGAATTAGAATGTTCTGACAAACTTTTTTTATATTTTTTTTTATATTTTTTACTACTGCTTTTCTTCAGGAAAAAACGAAGGAGGGGAATTTGCTGCGGTATTTATAGTAGAAGAAAGTAAAGTTGGTAGACGCACGCACTTTCATATCTGTGCGTTTACTCTCTTTCTGGAGCTATAAACCATTCTTGCACAACCACGTTACCCTCTCAATCCTGACAGGAGTACCGATACAGATGTCTCTTTTTTTACCCGAGTTCCATCGGGAGATTCAGGCCAAGTTTTTGGATAGCGTAATTCCCGAATTGAAAGACGAATCAGTCAATATCAACAACTACGAAACGATTGATGATTTATTGTGCTTCTTCGAGTCACTGCTGGATCCCCCATTAATTCCGTCACAAGATGTGTTTCATTTATTATTGACCATATCTTCTCGAAGCGCCAGTTGCAATTGGTCAGCTGATATGTCAAAATCAAAGATTGGTTTAAGAGAATCTCATGAACAAATATTGGCATCAAAGCATAGTGATAAGTTGTTGCATAAATCAAGTCTAAATGATCGAAGTATTAGGATATTGGAAAATTACACGGGTCTAGTATACAATGGAAACCTGGAGGTATATCAAGCTTTGCGAGAGATGATTAACCAGTTAGTGACGAAAGTGGGCAGTCGACAAAGGAGTACCACCTCAAGTTTGAATCTAGAACTGTCGCCAACGCCGAGAATTAAAGAAGAAAGAAGGTGTCGGAAAAGGCGACATGAGGAAGCTAAGGAATCACAAGAGGGTAGTGATGACACTGTTATTATAATTAGCGACTCCGAGGAAGATTATAATGACCCTGAGTTTAAACCACTGTTGGAAAGTTTCGATGGAAGTCAATTGACGAGCACTGGAGGTGGAAGCAGCGTCAGGGAGGATATCCCGGAATCTTGGGTTGGGATAAGAGTCTACGATGAGCCTCTACTTAGAGACCAGTTTCGTATAAACGAGGGCAGATTTGGAATATGGGAGTTGATTAATTGGACTTTTTACTGTGCCGGATTATCCACGTCTCGCTATCCACACAAGGATTCAAACTGCCACACCATATACCAAGCACAATCTAGTACGCTACTGTTCATTTTCGATGTGGTGGAGTACAATTTGGTTAACACTTTAAAGGAGCTTTTTGAGGACCAAGATCCATATCTAATGCTATTCAGAAGCTTAGGCAACAGGAACAAATTTGCTAGTTTACAAGTAGAGGACAATTCAAATCTCTTGTTGACGAGGCTCCTACAATCTATTGGTTATCTACAACGACAGTGGTACGATAGAGTTACTGAGTTTGTGTTTAATGGATTAAAGAAGTTACCTGCTTTTCCCAAGACATGCTATCAACATGAAAATATATTGGTAAGACAAGAGTTGAAAAAGAAAGGTATGCCTAAAGAAGAGGGATTTGGCAATGAGAATAGTGACAATATGGATTCCATGTCGTTGAGATTCAAGATTTGTGCCATTGTATACTACTGGAGTTTAGTATTTGACGAGAGAGTATACTCGGGAAGGTCGTTTGGTCGCAACTCGTCAGTTTATTTGAACAGTCTGGAGTTAGTTAAGTTTACAAGTGTCAAGTTCATGGCAATTGACTATCGATACCTTGTGGAGTTTTACTATTCACAGTGGTCCACATCTGCAATTCCCACAAAGTACAAACAATTATTCTTGATGAATTTGGCGATTCGAATACTTAGAAATCTAACGGGGTATTCAGAGAGCGTAAAGTTTGAGTTTGACGACTTTTTAGGTGTGGGCGCAGGCCATCACCATCTCGTGAACAACTTGGACGTTATAGTATCCTTGATCAATGATCACTCAGTCTATGCACAAGTAACAGAAGACGAATCGTTTGAAAGTTTTGAGGCGTTTTATCAAGCATGGATGAAGTTGAATTTTATTCTTGAATGGATATTGTCCATGATATTGGGTGAATTGCAAGATGTTGGAAACAGTGTTTTTAAAGACCCCATAATTTACGATAAACTTACAAATGCAGATGGGTTGAGAGTGCTGGCTTTTCAAAAGTTTCTCGATACGAGTTCGCAACCGAAAGAGGAGTCTAATTTCAAGTTCCAATTGAGTGAAGATTCTGCTGGTTATGCAAAGTGCAACCGCATGGTGTGGGAACCCTTCACGTCAATTTTGTCAAACTACACATAAATTGGGAACCGGTGGTAACCTATTTTCAACACTTCTTTTAGTAGTTGTTTCTATTGCGTTATATACAGCCTAGATAATGTGCTTCACTTTGAAATAATGTCTCAAGTATTGGATTTGCCATGCACCAAATCCAACCAATGAGAGTATAATAATAATCGAGAACCATTTAATTCTAGAGTTTGTTGATTCGTTTGTATCCCTCATTCTCTCCTCTCTTCTTTTCAAGTATTGCAACTCTTGAACGATTTCACCAGTCAAACTCTCAATTTTTTTCAACTCCACTTCTACTGGCTTCAACTTTTCACTAGCTTGCAAAGCATTCCAGTCTCTAGCGGCAGCTCCACTCTCCACCTCCAACTCAATCAACCTTACATTGTTGGAGTCTCTCGATCCATGTTTCTTCCATTCCTGTGTTTGTTGGTTGTAAAAGCAGATATCAATAGCGGCATTGTTGTGGGAAGTGAAGGCAATCTTGACTTTACCAACAATGTCTTTTCTTGAAGCATACCTATTTCCAACAGAGTCAACAATACCCACGTCTAATCTTTGTCCATCTCCTTTGTAGCCATCAGTGTTGATGTTGACAACCACCATTTGGTTTTCTTGGACAAATTCTCGAATGCACATTGGTTCAGGGTTTGGCCTTGCTGGGACCTCAATGTGCAATGCGTTGATCACACATGCAATGAGTGAAAAAATCAATGCAAAATTGAAAAGTGACTGCATTGGGGTTGTGTGCTAGTAATGTGTGTAGTGTGTAGTGTGTAGTGTGTAATGTGT